TTGTAAAGATTTATTAAAACAATTCCGCTTTTACATTATGGAGTATTGTGTGTAGGCCAGTGACACAAAATACATTTTAAATACAGGCTGTAACACAACAAAATGTGTAAAAAGTCAAGGGGTGTGAATACTTTCTGAAGGCACTGTACTACAGTAATTTCCGCAAAAACACAACAGTAAATACTACAGTCTGCAAAAACACTACAGTAAATACTACAGTGTAGTACAGTCCGCAAAAACACTACAGTAAATACTACAGTATACTACAATCCGCAAAAACACTACATTAATTACTATAGTATATACTACAGTTTTTTTACTACAGTATTTATACTATAGTTAACTGTAAATACTACAGTATACTACAATAAGTACTACAGTATTCTGCTAAATGACTAAAATGTAAATGTAAATGTATTCACTGTAGTGTTTTTGCAGACTTTGCAGACAATGGGTGGGAGACACTGCCGTAATTGGGTGTTTCAATTTCAGCTAGGTCTGTCCACAGTGTCAAGTTCACCTACTGTATTTGTATTTATTATGGATCCCCATTAGCTGTTGCCTCCCCATCCTAGCTACTGTTGTATCAATATGTTTTCACCATGACCGTTTACAATCCAGGGTTACTCCAAGCAATTTAGTCTCCTCAACTTGCCCAATTTCCATTATTCATCACAAGATTTAGTTGAGGTTTAGTAAATGATTTTTCCCAAATACAATGCTTTTAGTTTTTGAAATATTTAGGACTAACTTATTCCTTGCCACCTATTCTGAAACTAACTGCAGCTCTTTGTTAAGTGTTGCTGTCATTTCAGTCACTGTGGTAGCTGATGTGTATAGTGTTGAGTCTGTGTTGATGAGGCAATTATAGCTTGAGTTTTAAACATACATTGTTGTTGTTTTCATTCTTGTGCATAGTTTTGAAGAGAGAGCTACTCAGTGTGGGGGATATTTCATTAAGTAGGTTGACCAGGTTAACGAGTTAAAGGAGAATTTAGCTTTTTTACAATAAAGGTTTAATTTCCTGATGTAAATGGCATGTTTTGGAAGGGTCCAGACACTTTCTTAAAAACTTCCCCCAACCAGCGATTCACTTCCTCATTGTGCAGTACGGGGGCTCTGAAAAAACATGAACTATTTGGGTGTTGTTGGAGCCTTTGTTCATGTTTTTACAGAGCCCCCATACTGCACAACGAGGATGAGGAAGTGAATCGCTGGTTGGGCTAAGTTTCTCAAAAACAAGAGATTGGGTTGTAAAGGAGAAGTTTGCTTCTTTAACCTGCATAAACGTTGAGATTTACTGGTTCACTAAAAAGAGCTTAACTTTTAGCTGGGAGTAATTATTCTAACTGACCTGTCTTCAAGATAAGCCTTGAGTGAGAGCCGTGAAACACGACACTCCTTTGTAACTTATTGCTATAGTACAGTTTGTGACCTTCAGGGGTTGTAACTGAGCAATCGGGGGAGAAGGGCCTTGCTCAGGGAGGTGACCAAGAACCTGATGGTCACGCTGACAGTGCTCCAGAGTTCCTCTGTGGAGATGGGAGAACCTTCCAGAAGGACAACCATCTCTGCAGCACTCAATCAATCAGGGCTTTATGGTAAAGTGGCCAGACAAAAGCCACTGCTCAGAAAAGGTACATGACATCCCGCTTGGAGTTTGCCTAAAAGGCACCTAAAGGACTCTCAGACCATGAGAAACAAGATTCTCTGGTCTGATTAAACCAAGTTTGAACTCTTTGGCCTGAATGCCAAGCGTCACGTCTGGAGGAAACCTGGCACCATCCCTACTGTGAAGCATGGTGGTGGCAGCATCATGCTGTGGGGATGTTTTTCAGCGACAGTGACTGGGAGACTAGTCAGGATTGAGGGAAAGATAAACGGAGCAAATACAGAGAGATCCTTGATGAAAACTTGTTTCAGAGCGCTCAGGACCTCAGACTGGAGTGAAGGTTCACCTTCCAACAGGACAACGACACTAAGCACACAGCCAAGACAATGCAGGAGTGGCTTCGGGACAAGTCTCTGAATGTCCTTGAGTGGCCCAGCCAGAGCTCGGACTTGAACCCGATCGAACATCTCTGGAGATACCTGAAAATAGCTGTGCAGCGACGCTCCCCATCCAACCCGACAGAGCTTGAGAAGATCTGCAGAGAAGAATGGGAGAAACTCCCCAAATACAGGTGTGCCAAGCATGTAGCGTCATACCCAAGACTCGAGGCTGTAATCGATGCCAAAGGTGTTTCAACAAAGTACTGATTAAAGGGTCTGAATTCTTATGTAAATGTGATGTTTCAGTTTTAGATTTTTTATACATTTGCACACAAAAAATGTATAACAGTTTTTGCTTTGTCGTTGTGGGGTATTGTGTGTAGATTGATGAGGGGAAAAAACGATTTAATCAATTTTAGACTAAGGCTGTAACGTAACAAAATGTGGAAAAAGTCAAGGGGTCTGAATACTTTCCGAATGCACTGTATATATATCCATATCCATTACATTTTACATTACATTTTAGTCATTTAGCAGACTCTCTTATCCAGAGCGACTTACAGTTAGTGAGTGCATACATTATTTTTAAATAATTTTTTCATACTGCCCCCCCCGTGGGAATCGAACCCACCATGCTCTACCAACTGAGCTACATCCCTGCCGGCCATTCCCTCCCCTACCCTGGACGACGCTGGGCCAATTGTGGGTCTCCCGGTCGTGGCCGGCTACGACAGAGCCTGGATTCGAACCAGGATCTCTAGTGGCACAGCTAGCACTGCGATGCAGTGCCTTAGACCACTGCGCCACTCGGGAGAGAATCACAGTATAGGATGAAGTTCCCAAGCATTGACCTTAGACAAGTTTTTCTTCTCTGTTCTTTATTACGATTTGACTACACTATATATACAAAAGTATGTGGACACCCCTTCAAATGAGTAGATTCGGGCTATTTCAGCCACACCTGTTGCTGACAGGTGTATAAAATTGAGCACAGAGCCATGCAATTTCCATAGACAAACATTGGCAGTATAATGGCCTTACTGAAGAGCTCAGTGACTTTCAACTTGGCACCGTCATAGGATGCCACCTTTCCAACAAGTCAGTACATCACATTTCTGCCCTGCTAGAGCTGCCCCGGTCAACTGTAAGTGCTGTTATTGTGAAGTGAAAACGTCTAGGAGCAACAACGGCTCAGCCGCGCAGTGATAGACCACACAAACTCACTGAACGGGACCGGCGAGTGATGAAGCGTGTAGCTTGTAAAAATCGTTCCAAAATGCCTATGGAAGCAACGTCAGTACAGAAATGGGTTTCCATGGCCGAGCAGCCACACACAAGCCTTAGATCACCGTGCGCAATGCCATGCGTCGGCTGGAGTGGTGTAAAGCTTGCCGCCATTGGACTCTGGAGCAGTGGAAACGCGTTCTCTGGAGTGATGAATCACGCTTCACCATCTGGCAATTAAATGGACGAATCTGGGTTTGGTGGATGCCAGGAAAACGCTACCTGCCCGAATACATAGTGCCAACTGTAAAGTTTGGTGGAGGTAGAATAATGGTCTGGGGCTGTTTTTCATGGTTTGGGCTAGGAAAATTTACCGGAACAGTTTGCCAAAAAACAAATTTGCATGTGAAAATATGAGTTTGCCGCAAATTTACCTCAACATTTTGCCACAAAACTCAAATCTGAGCTTGCTGCAAATTTGCGACAAATTGGCCAAAGGTTTGCCACAAATGTTTGCCGGAAGCCTTTTTTTTTGGTAAGGGTTTGTGGCTGTGCCAGCTACTAACCTGCGCCTCTTAAGGGGAAAGTAATCTAAAAGTAACTGAAAGTAATCACATTACATTACTGAGTTTGGGTAATCCAAAAGTTATGTTACTGATAAAAAATGTGGACAGGTAACTACACTGAACAAAAATATAAATGCAACATGCAACAATTTCAAAGATTTCACTGAGTTAAGGTTAATTTAAGGAAATCAGTCAATTGAAATAAATAAATTAGTGCCTAATCTATGGAATGCAGTGACTTTCTAAATGATTCTTTGCTTCCAACTTTGTTGCAACAGGCCCTTTCCTGTTTCAGCATGACAATGCCCTATGCACAAAACGAGGTCTATACAGAAATGGTTGTCGAGATCGGTGTGGAAGAACTTGACTGGCCAGCCCTGACCTCAACCCCATTTAACACCTTTGGGATGAATTGGAACGCCGACTGCGAGCCAGGCCTATTCGCCCAACATCAGTGCCCGACCTCACTAATGCTCTTGTGGCTGACTGGAAGCAAATCCCCACAGCAATGTTCCAACATCTAGTGGAATGCCTTCCCAGAAGAGTGGAGGCTGTTATAGCAGCAAAGGGCGGACCAACTCCATATTAATGCCCATGATTTTGGAATGAGATGTTCGACGAGCAGGTGTCCACATGCTTTTGGTCATGTAGTGTATAAATAAGGCAGTCAGGCCTTGTCAAGGGTGAACTGTTCCTAGATCAGTAGGGGAACCATATCACATTTATAAGGTCTGCTCTAGGATAAACTGATCCTAGATCAGTAGGGGGAACCTCAGACATCTTTCACAATAGGGTGAGAGAGATACCCCATTTTCCCTGGGGGGAGGGGAGGAAGCCTTAACTTATGTGAAGGAGGGGTCATGGCATGTTAAGATTTACTGGGCAACTATTTTCGCGAGGACCCTGACCGTGCTGTAAAACCGGATATTTACTTAAACGAGTTTGCAGCAGGAGAGGGTTCTCTTGAGCATGTTTTCAAAGCTACATTACCTTACCATTGTCAAAATTCCTAAGATTTCAATTCTAGTTGAAGTCATCATGATAACATTTCATTTCTGAACCCCACAAATGCCATGCTGTCAGCTGGTCATTCACAGCAGCTGTTGGGTAAAAAGTGACAGGATCGCTGATTGTATCATGGACATTGACAATTATGACAACCACATTGTGGTTCAAAAACATAATTATCCAAAAAGCTATTTGAACTGTAGGCTGTAAATGATCATCCATGTCTTTGCTGATGATAACACGTTTGTGATATTCCAATCCCAGATCAACACCAATGGCTTTCTGGCAGTAGAAGAACCTAAGGTTGAGTCTGAGTACCTGGGAAAGATGCCTGCCAGCTTCGGAATGATAGCGGCTTTCCTCGGAGATCTGGACAACAGCGACGGAGTGGGGAAGGTGTACTACCGACAGGACAGCAGGCCTTCTGTGCTTCTCCGGACCACTGACCATATCAGCCAGGCATTCCCTCAGGACGACGAGATCGAGCCCACCCACGCCTTAATCATCACATGGGAGAATGTGGCGGCCCACGGCGCGCCTGGTCGAGGAGATGGGCTGGACAGAAAGGTAAGGAGGACCCTCATAGCTTGGCCTAGATAGGGGTCATTTTCAAGTCTTTTTAAAAATGTCATTGGATATATTGAACTGTTGATAAACTTGTTTTAATGCCACATTGATATAGATAGCAGTTGAAATTATAATTTTACACCATCTTTTCTATCCACCTAATATGAAGTTGCCTAAAACCCATACATTTTACAATGTAGTTACAGGTATGCAGGTACAGTATAATTAGAGTGATGATACTCATGGTTACATAGTCCTTCCAACTGTGTTACCTGTTTGCAGTTTTTGTGGTGGGCTACATAGATTGTTTTGTTCCATATTCAGTTCACTCTACCAAGCCAAACTCAAGGCCAAAGGTAGTGCACTAAAGAAGTAAGAGTTTCCCTCTTCTATTTCTTCTTTCTACAATGTAGAGAAACACATTCCAGCTGGTGGTGGCGTCCATGGCGTCCGCCTCCTACGCCATCTTGTTCTACCCCAGGGAGGGGCTGCAGTACATCTCCACGCCTGTGGCGGGCCAGAGCGAGCCAGTCCACGCCGGTTTCAGCCAGGGCCTGGTCCAGGGCTGGTTCAGCTGGAGCAGCAGCCAGGGGCCCTACTACCGCATCGCCTCCGACGACGAGGCGTCCGTCAGACAGCTCTCCGAGTATGTTGGTTGGTGGGTGGGTTGGTTGGTTGGGTTGGTTGATTGATTGGTTGATTGATTGGATTTCTATAGTGCGCTTCCAGATGCTGCAAGTTCTTTACATAGGCTTACTAAGTCATGTTCATAGAAAACTTGGTTATGCTTCTGTCATTATGTTTTGACCTAGTATTTGCATAGTTACATGGCATTATGATAATTATGTAATGATTACATATAACCTGACATATGCATAAAGCTTCTTCATAGAGGTAGGTCTCATAATGATCCATTCTGTCTTCCGCTAGGGAGACCAACTCAGGCAGGCGTGGTGTATGGGTGTACGAGATCGGCACCTCCCCGTTCTTCTCCTCCATCACCCCAGGCCAGGTCACCAACCTGTCCCCGGAGGAGGGCGTGGCAGGTGGGCAGGTGGAGCCGGTGCCAGAGTTTCCACCCAGAAACACTGGAGAACAACAGGAGATTGAATTCCCTCCCTATGAGCGCGAGGAGGAAGAGGAGACACCTGAGCCGGAGCTGCCCCCAACTGTCCACACGGTCCAGTACCAGCCCAGATACCCTGTTGTCCCTGAGCCGCCTCAGTCCAGATACCCTGAGACGGTCCAGCCCAGATACCCTGGGACGGTCCAGCCCAGATACCCTGAGACGGTCCAGCCCAGATACCCTGAGACGGTCCAGCCCAGATACCCTGAGACGGTCCAGCCGCAGCCACCCCGCTACCAGCCCCAAACCCCACAGGTGGTGGTCGTGGACGAAGATGATGACCTTGATGTTGATGGTAAGCCATGAAAGAAACAACAACAATTGAATCTGTGTCTGAAAATTGTGGACGGAAATAGAATTCTAGTCAAGATTGCCATGAGAGAAACATTGGTTTAGTTTAGTTTATAAGGATCTGCATTAGCTACTGCACATGCAGCAGCTACTCTTCCTGTTGTCCACATAAAACGTCCAAATACATGACAAAGTACCGAACAGTTATAGACAAGAACAACATAAGATATTACATTAAATTCAAAAAAAGTTATATATAAGAAACACACCAAGAGACAACAAAAATACTATTTACACACTATTCATATATACATATTCATATTTTTATATACAGTACAGTTAAATTAGATCTTTAGAAAGAGGAGAGGCGCTGTGATAAAATATTTTTTTACATCCGTTTTTTAAAGCTAAACTTGCTTTTTGCCTGAGTAAACTTTGGAGGCAGAGCATTCCACGATGACGTGGCTCTATACATAACTGAGCGATGCATTAAATCTGTTTTTGGTTTGGGTACCGTGAAGAAACCCATAGTGGTGTGTCTGGTGGGGTATGTATGTCTGTTTTGAAGTGTATGCAAATAGATTATACAAGTAGTTAGGCATTTTCAACACACACGTTTCTTAAAAAGACTAGAACAGAAGTTGTCCATTTCTCCTCAACCCTCAACCATGAAAGACTATCATGCATGTTGTTGTTAGTTCTGTGTGTGCAGTTAGGGCAAGGCGTGCTGCTTTGTTTTGAGCTGCTTTGTTTTGAGCCATGCTGCTTTGTTTAACCGGCCTGCTAAAGTATTTTGTAACAAACAAGAGCGCCAATGAAATTACACTCTTAGAAAAAAAGGGTTCCAAAAGGATTCTTTGACTGTCCCCATAGAATAATCATTTTTGATTCTAATTAGAACCCTTTTTGGTTCCAGGTAGAACCCTTTTGGGTTTCATGTAGGGTTCTTCAAAGGGTTCTCCTATGGGGACAGCCAGATAACCCTTTTAGGTAATAGATAGCACCTTTTTTTCTAAAGTTGTATTTTTTCTAAGAATGTGGTTTGTCTTCTTTTCGGCAGTGTTTGCGTACAATTCTGAAACATGCACCAGTAACAGGCAGAAGTGCTCGTCCTTCGCCGACTGTAAGGACTACACCAATGGCTACTGCTGCCACTGTAGGCCTGGTTTCTATGGCAACGGCAAGGATTGTGTGGCTGAAGGTAGTAGTAACCCCATAACCCATATACATACAGTATTTGTGTAATAAGGGTTAGGGTTAGCTTGCTACATTCATTAATGAAATATGTGAAATCAAGTTTTAAAATGAAAAATCAATTGAAAACCTGATAATTCTTGACACACAGTCACACATCAGTTACATTTTAAGTTACATTAATTAAAATCTAATTAAGTTAAGTTCCTCACATTCCACACGCAGGTAAGCCCCAGCGGATGAACGGCAAAGTGAATGGCCGGGTGTTCGTGGGCAACTCGCCCTCGCCGCTGGAGTTTTCCAACAACGACCTGCACTCGTACGTGGTGGCCAACGATGGCCGCGCCTACGTGGCCATCAGCACCATCCCGGCCGGCCTGGGACCCTCCCTGCAGCCCCTCTCTTCCCTGGGAGGGGTCATCGGCTGGACCTTCGCTCTGGAGCAGCCCGGCTACGAGAACGGCTTCAGCGTCATCGGTAAGAGCTGGTCACCGATTGTTTTGCACATTGTTGTGTCATTAAGAGTTGTTTTAAAGTATGAGCTGACATTGGGTGAATCACAAAAGTGATTCCTCGCTTCCTTGATTCATAGCGTCTTTCTCAAGACTTCCTTGCCCCCGAGAATGTCCATGAGAAGAGAACTCTGATCTTCTGCTAAAATGCGTTTTGGAGAAAGAGGCGACGAATCATCAAGGAATCAAGGAAAAACAGTTGAGAAAGTGCCATAGTGTCATTAAAAAGGCAGCAGTTGATTTGAATACATTTGGCTTTTCTCATGTGTATTGGGTTGCATTTGGTTTTACTGCTCCTTCCATTGTAGCAAAGGCGCCTGGGGCTTGGGGCTTTGTTTGCTGTGGTCTAATGAGATGTCCTCCAAAGATTGAGGTGTGAATGACCGCTGTGGGATTGCTGCTTAGGTCAACATTTTTTCAAGTTAAGTTTAATTAGCTTGATTTATTTGCTCTCTTTGAATTACATATTTTTTGTATAGTCAGAGGCCATGTCCGAAATCTGGCTTGCCAGTCCACAGTAACACTGACTGAACATGGAACAAAAACCCACAACCCCAAGGTGAAAACACACAGTATAAATATGGCTCCCAATCAGAGATAACGAGCCGACAGCTGACACTCGTTACCTCCGATTGGGAGTCACTCAATACAAACATACAACAACCTAGAAATAGACACAACAGAACTACCAACATAGAAATAAACACATAGAATGCACACACCCTGGCTCAACATAATGAGTCCCAGAACCAGGGTGTGACAGTACCCCCCCCCTAAAGGCGCGGACTGCGACCGCGCCTCAAAAACCCCAAACAGGGGAGGGCTGGGCGGGCATACCTCCTCGGTGGCGGTTCTGGCTCCGGCCTAGACCACCACCCTCCGATACACCCCCCACAGTACCCCTGGTCCTGTCTAGCCCCGCTGGCCGGAGCCGGACTGACGACACGCGCCCCTGGCTTGGTGCGTGGAACAGGAATGGACCGGAATGGGCTGGCGACGCGCACCACAGACCTGGTGCGGAGGGCAGGAACGAGCCGGACAGGGCTGACGACGCACCCCGTAGGCTTGGTGCGTGGAGGAGGAACGGGCCTTACCAGGCTGACGACTCGCACCCCTGGCTTAGTGCGAGTGGCAGGAACAGGCCGGACCGGGCTGGCGACGCGCACCGTAGGCTTGGTGCGGGTGGCAGGAACAGGCCGGGTCGGGCTGGCGACGCACACCGTAGACTTGGTGCGGGTGGCAGGAACAGGCCGGGTCGGGCTGGCGACGCGCACCGTAGACTTGGTGCGGGGAGCAGGACTGGGCCGGACAGGGCTGTCGACGCACACCGTAGACTTGGTGCGTAGAGCAGGAACAGGCCGGGCAGGGCTGTCGACGCACACCGTAGCCTTGGTGCGTAGAGCAGGAACAGGCCGGGCAGGGCTGTCGACGCACACCGTAGCCTTGGTGCGTAGAGCAGGAACAGGCCGGGCAGGGCTGTCGACGCACACCGTAGACTTGGTGCGTAGAGCAGGAACAGGCCGGGCAGGGCTGTCGACGCACACCGTAGCCTTGGTGCGTAGAGCAGGAACAGGCCGGGCAGGGCTGTCGACGCACACCGTAGCCTTGGTGCGTAGAGCAGGAACAGGCCGGGCAGGGCTGTCGACGCACACCGTAGCCTTGGTGCGTAGAGCAGGAACAGGTCGGGCAGGGCTGTCGACGCACACCGTAGCCTTGGTGCGGGGAGCAGGAACAGGTCGGGCAGGGCTGTCGACGCACACCGTAGACTTGGTGCGGGGAGCAGGAACGGGCCGGACTGGGCTGTCGACGCACACCGTAGACTTGGTGCGGGTGGCAGGAACAGGCCGGACCGGGCTGTGGAGACGGATAGGAGGCCTGGAGTGAACAGCGGCCACCACCCGTCCTGGCTGAATGCCTACCCTCACACACTCTGTGTGAGGCATCCGCACAGGACGTACAGGGCGGTGTACCCCTGGCCTGGTGGCCTCCTGGATTCGCCCCATCTTTGCCTCCGTCGTCCATGCCGTGTGCCCCCCCCTTCCTCCCATGTCCAATCACCTTGCTCCTGGACACGCTGCTTGGTCCTTTTGTGGTGGGTTTTTCTGTCACGATCGTCTAAGGAGCGGACCAAGGCGCAGCGTGTTTAGCGAACATGTGACTTTATTAAATCAAAGCAACCACGAAACAACAAAAACAAATGACGATAGTGAAGTCACAGTGACAATGACTGAACATGGAACAAAAACCCCACAACCCCAAGGTGAAAACACACAGTATAATATGGCTCCCAATCAGAGATAACGAGCCGACAGCTGACACTCGTTACCTCCGATTGGGAGTCACTCAATACCAAACATACAACAACCTAGAAATAGACACAACAGAACTTACCAACATAGAAATAAACACATAGAATGCACACACCTTGGCTCAACATAATGAGTCCCAGAACCAGGGTGTGACATGCCTACTACTTACCTAAACTGCATACTGTGTATTAATAGTACTACATACTATTAAGAACATACTGTTTAGCAAAAATGAATGCAGTAAGCAACAAATATCAGCATACTAGGCTCATCCATACTGAGAATGTGTAATCTAATGCACAATTGCATTGATTCCCGCCATTCGTTCATTTTGGTACAGCGTGTCCCCTCAGCTGATTATCAGCTGTTGTCCTCTGTAGCTCAGCTGGTAGAGCACGGCGCTTGTAACGCCAAGGTAGTGGGTTCGATCCCCGGGACCATCCATACACAAAAAAATAAAAATAAATTATGCACGCATGACTGTAAGTCGCTTTGGATAAAAGCGTCTGCTAAATGGCATATTATTATTATTATTATTATTATTATTGTCAAACACACGTTGGTCTCGAAAGACGATTCTATTCCTCAATAGTGTGCAGCGAATTCTACTAGATTAAAAGCCGAAATGAGTATGACATCCTGGCATTTAAAGCATACTTTTTTTTGGACATTTCACATACACTACCGGTCAAAAGATTTAGAACACCTACTCATTCAAGAGTTTTTCTTTATTTTTTACTATTTTCTACATTGTAGAATAATAGTGAAGACATCAAAACTATGAAATAGCACATATGGAATTATTTATATTTGAGATTATTCAAATAGCCACCCTTTGCCTTGATAACAGCTTTGCACACTCTTGGCATTCTCTCAACCAGCTTCATGAGATAGTCACCTGGAATTTGTGGAATTTATTTCCTTCTTAATGCGTTTGAGCCAATCAGTTGTGTTGTGACAAGGTAAGGGGGGTATACAGAAGATAGCCCTATTTGGTAAAAGACCAAGTCCATATTATGGCAAGAACAACTCAAATAAGCAAAGAGTTTCCTCTGCTGCAGAGGATAAGTTCATTAGAGTTACCAGCCTCAGAAATTGCAGCCCAAATAAATGCTTCACAGAGTTCAAGTAACAGACACATATCAACATCAACTGTTCAGAGGAGACTGTGTGAATCAGGCCTTCATGGTCGAATTGCTGCAAAGAAACCACTACCAAAGGACACCAATAATAAGAAGAGACTTGCTTGGGCCAAGAAACATGAGCAATGGACATTAGACAGGTGGAAATTTGTCCTTTGGTCTGGAGTCCAAATTGGAGATTTTAGGTTCCAACCGTCGTGTCTTTGTGAGACGTGGTGTGGGTGAACGGATGATCTCCGCATGTGTATGAAAAAATATATAAATAATGTATGCACTCACTAACTGTAAGTCGCTCTGGATAAGAGCGTCTGCTAAATGACTAAAATGTAAAATGTAAAAATGTGTAGTTCCCACCGTAAAGCATGGAGGAGGAGGTGTTATGGTGTGGGGTGCTTTGCTGGTGACACTGTCCGTTATTTATTTAGAATTCACACTTAACCAGCATGGCTACCACAGCATTCTGCAGCGATATGCCATCCCATCTGGTTTGGGCTTAGTGGGACTATCATTTGTTTTTCAACAGGACAATGACCCAACACACCTCCAGGCTATGTAAGGGCTATTTTACCAAGAAGGAGAGTGATGGAGTGCTGCATCAGATTACCTGCCCTCCACAATCCCCTGACCTCAACCCAATTGAGATGGTTTGGGATGAGTCGGACGGCAAAGTGAAGGAAAAGCAGCCAACAAGTGCTAAGCATATGTGGGAACTCCTTCAAGACTGTTGGAAAAGCATTCCAGGTGAAGCTGGTTGAGAGAATACCAAGAGTGTGCAAAGCTGTCATCAAGGCAAAGGGTGGCTATTTAATATATTTAGATTTGTTTAACACTTTTTTTGGTTACATGATTCCATATGTGTTATTTGATATTTTTGATGTCTTCACTATTATTCTACAATATAGAAAATAGTAAAAATGAAGAAAAACCCTTGAATGAGTAGGTGTTCTAAAACATTTGACCTGTAGTGTACGTACTATCAAACTTTATTTATTTGCATACCCAAAATGTCTACTATTTCGAGTAAGGGTATTTGGATTTGCCAATCTCTTTGCTCAGGGAAAGTAGATGCTCTACTGGGCTTTTGAGTGGTATACGTGGAAGTCTGAGTGAATTGTGCCAAGTGGCACTCCTCAACAAGTTGAACTCCACTTTAGTCTTCCACTTGGACATGATTTGTTGGTAGAACGATAATGGGGAAAATTATGGGGAATTTGTTCTGTGTTCCTGTTTTCTGTGAATTTTTCTGCTTTTCGGCCTCAAAATGTTGCTCCAGCTCATTGCTTCCAGCTGGCTTCAGTTCCTTCAAAATGTTTCCCTTTGATGTGTAATATTCTTGGCTCCAGGGAGAACTGAAAGTGGGAGGATACACTCAAGGGTATGGGTGTGGATGCAGAATGGAGTTGCCCCTAAATGCTGATCTTAGGTACGGCTAGGTTTTGTGTTTCATCACATAATGGTTGAGGTTAGCTTTTGGGCAAGGTAAGATGATCCTAGATCTGTGCTCAGGAGCTGAAGAGAACCTCTGAGATTTAGTTGTCTCTCTCTTTCCTTCTCCCACCCCCATCTCTGCTCACACACACACACGCACACGCACACAAATACCCTCAACCCCCCTGCTCCCCCTCCAGGTGGCGTGTTCTCCAGGCAGGCCGAGGTGACCTTCTTACCGGGCAACGAGAGGCTGACTATCAAGCAGGAGTCAATTCCATTTCAATTGAGTCAATTCAGGAAGTAAACTAAAATTATTTTGATCTCCTGAATTTAAATGGAATTGACCCCAATCCTGGAACTCGACACTGTCACAGTTTGTAGTACATCAAATCACATAAGAAAGGTCAGCATTCATCCCAATGTTGTTATTACTCAAAGTGCTCTTACGTGCGACCAGATAGAAGTCTATCCTATTCTTTTCACGAGACACATAGTCTTAGAAACACTTTTGGCAGCAATTACAGCTGCGAGTCTTCTTGGGTAAATGCTCTAAGAGCTCTGCACACCTGGATTGTTGCAATATTTGCCCATTATTCTTTTAAAAATTCTTCAAGCTCTGTCAAGGTGTCGACAGAAATATTCAAGTCTTGCCATAGATTTTCAAGCAGATTTAAGTCAAAACTGTAACTTGGTAAGCAACTCCAGTGCAGATTTGGTCTCCTCTAGGATTTTGCCTGTGATTAGCTCCATCCCGTTTCTATTTATCCTGAAAAACTCCAGTCTTTGCCTCAAGCATACCCATACCATGATGCAGCCACCACTATGCTTGACAATAAGGAGGCAAATACTCAGTGATGTGTTGTGTTAGATTTGCCCCAAACATAAGGCTTTCCATTTAGGCCAAAAAGTGTATTCCTTTGTGTGGTTTTATTGCAGTAGTTTTTTTTGCCTGGTTGCATACAGGATGCATGTTTTGGACTATTCTGTATATATTCTGCAAATGTTTATTCTTCATTTAGGTCATTATTGTGGAGTTACTACAATGTTGTTGCTCCATCCTCAGTTTTCTCCCATCACAGCCATTTAACTCTGTAACGGTTTTAAAATCACCAATGGCCTCATGGTGAAATCCCTGAGCAGTTTCCTTCCTGTCCTGCAGCTAAGTTCAGAAGGACGACTGTCTGGGTGGTTCAATACATCATCCACAGCATAATTATTAACTAGACCATGCTTAAAGAGATATTCAATGACTGATTTGTGATTGTTACCCATCTACCAATCACTGCCCTTCTTTATAAGGCTTTGGAAAAGCTATCTGGTCTTTGTAGTTGAATCTGTGCTTGAAATTCAACACTTGACTGTGGGACCTTACAGATATTGTATGTATGGGTAAAATATTCACGTCAACCCGTATTATTTCACACAATGTGATTTGTTAAGCCAAATTTGACTCCTGAACTAATTTAGGCTTGCCTAAACAAAAACGGTGAAATCTTATGCAACAACTATATTCTAGTTATAGAATTTGTATTAATTTGAAAACATTTGTTGAATTTTCTTTTCACTTTGACATTATGGACTATTTTGTCTAGATCAATGACAACACATCCAAATGAAATATTTTTAAATCCCACTTTGTAACGCAACAAACTGTCAAAAAAAGCCAAGGGGGTGAATACTTATGATACCAACTGTATATGGATGTTCAATGTAGTAACACTCCATTTCTTCAGTGATCACTTCCTCCTCCAACCGCGACTACACCGTGAGCCTACCGGACGGCAGCGTCCAGACCAAGACCTACCAGTGGCGTCAGACCATCACCTACCAGAGCTGTCCCCATGACGAGGCGGTCAGGGCCGTGCAGCCTACCCAGCAGCTCAGCGTCGACCAGATCTTCGTCATGTACGACTCGGGCAACCAGCTGATCCGCTACGCTATGAGCAACAAGATTGGCTCCATCCACAGTGAGTAGAACCTCTTGTGTTACAGCGAATCTTTGTTCATGTTCTCCTATAATGTTATGCTAACCTTGTGCTTATTTTCTGCTAGTTGTGTTCACATTCTTCTAATGTTCCGCTAAAGTTCTGCTAGTTGTGTTAACCTTCTGCTAATATTCTGCTAATGTTTTGCTAACCCTCTGCTAACAGGATTGGGCCCATCCTCAGTGAGTATAGCCTATCGTGTAAATACTGATCATCTTCAGCTAACGTTGTGCTAATGTTCTGCTATCTTTCTACTAACTTTCCGGCTACATATGGCTTATCCTCTATGTTTGGCTGGATGTGGCTGTAAGACAGACACCTGATGCTTACATTTAAATGGTGGTGGAAGCCATGTGTGGATTTGCAACAAGATTGTATGATCGATGTTAATAATGACAGGCAAAAAGGAGTACCAAGAAGGACAATCAAGGCAAAATAACATTGTTGTGGGTGGAATCCCAATCTCCACACAAGACCTGGACGGAGTCTGAGGAGAAAGTGAGAAAAATTATTGATGAAAAGCTGCAGATAGATCATAAGAAGAGTGAGGTGGAGTGCGCCCATAGGATTGGAAAACCTATATCTGGCCCAGGTGACAGACCCAGGTTGATAGTGGTAAAGGTACTGCGGTACAAGGACAAGGTGGCTGTTATGGAGAGAGCCAAGAACTTGAGGAACCAACATCTTCCTCAACAAGGACTACTCTGAAACTGATCCCAGCTATGAAAGCTGCCAGAGAGCGTGGGGACATTGCTCACATCCGTAACGACAGGCTCATTATCCGCCCTCCCACCCAAAAGCCTGGAAGGGGTGAGAGAACCAAGCTGATGGGTTCATAGCCTAACCCCTGCACCCTGATAGAAGGCATGCTTTGTTTGTGGTTTCCCATATTATGTCTATCTCTAATAAGATACCCAGGAAAGGGCAAAAAATAGTCCATATTAATATATGCAGCCTAAGAAATAAGGTTAATGAAATCAATAACTTGCTAACCTCAGGTAGCATTCATACACTACAAAGTATCTGGACACCTGCTCGTCGAAAATCCCATTCCAAAATCATGGGCATTAATATGGAGTTGGTCCCCCCTTTGCTGTTATAACAGCCTCCACTGTTCTGGGAAGGCTTTCCACTAGATGTTGGAACATTGCTGCAGGGACTTGCTTCCATTCAGCCACAAGAGCATTAGTGAGGTTGGGCACTGATGTTGGGCGATTAGGCTTGGCTCGCAGTCGGCGTTCCAATTCATCCCAAAGGGTTAAGTGTTTGTGCAGGCCAGTCAAGTTCTTCCACACCGATCTCGACAAACCATTTCTGTATGGACCTCGCTATGTGCACGGGGGCATTGTCATGCTGGAACAGCAAAGGGCCTTCCCCAAACTGTTGCCACAAAGTTGGAAGCACAGAATCGTCTAGAATGTAATTGTATGCTGTAGCGTTAAGATTTCACTTAACTCGAACTAAGGGGCCTAACCGGAACCATAAAAAACAGCCCCAGACCATTATTCCTCCTCCACCAAACTTTACATTTGGCACTATGCATTTGGGCAGGTAGTGTTCTCCTTCTCCTGACATCCACCAAAAACAGATTAGTCCGTCGGACTGCCAGATGATGAAGCATGATTCATCACTCCAGAGAACGCATTTCCACTGCTCCAGAGTCCAATGGCGGCGAGCTTTACACTACTCCAGCCAACACTTGGCATTGCGCATGGTGATCTTAGGCTTGTGTGCGGCTGCTCGGCCATGGAAACCCATTTCATGAAGCTCCCGACGAACAGTTATTGTGCTGACGTTTCTTCCTGAGGCAGTTTGGAACTTGGTAGTGAGTGTTGCAACCGAGGACAGACGATTTTTACGCGCTTCAGCTAAAGCTAAAGCTAAAGAGTTAAACCTATGAATGAATAAGAGGGGTATTCGTTCCCTTCAGTGATCTATGCTTGACAACAGATGCAAACAATGTACCCCTACTATGTATAGTAACTCCATATCACGGAATCTACCTATGATAACACAATGTCTTTAGTACTAGTCAAATTTGTTCACATACAGTACCAGTCAAAAGTTTGGACGCCAACTCATTCATGGGTTTTTATTTTATTTTTGCTGTTTTCTACATTGTGGAGTGATAGTGGAGACATCAGCTATGCAGTGGCACATATGGAGACATGTGGTAACCAACAAAGTGTTAAACAAATCAAAATATATTGAAAAAAATAATGTATGCACTCACTAACTGTAAGTCGATCTGGATAAGTGTGTCTGCTAAATGACTAAAATGTAAAAAAAAATGTAAGCACTCGGCGGTCCCGTTCTGTGAGCCTGTGTGGCCTACCACTTCACGGCTGAGCCGTTGTTGCTCCTAGACGTTTCCACTTTACAATAACAGCACTTGCACTTGACCGGGGCAGCTCTAGCAGGGCAGAAATTTGTTGGAAAAGTGGCGTCCATTGACGGTGCCACGTTGAAAGTCGGGTGTGGCTGAAATAGCCGAATCCACTAATTTGAATGGTTGTCCACATACTTTTGTATATATAGTGTATATTAGCCATCACTGAGACTCACTTAGATAATTAATTTGACAACACAGCAGTAGCAATACAGGGATATAACATCCATAGAAGAGACAGGAATAAATATGGGGGCAGTGTCTCTGTATACAGTGCATTCGTAAAGTATTCAGACCCCTTCCCTGTTTCCACATTTTGTTACGTTACAGCATTATTCTAAAATAGATCAAATAAAAAAATTTCGTCATCAATCTACATACAATACCCAATAATGACAAAGCGAAAACAGGTTTTTAGAAATGTTTGCAAATGTATTAAAAACTAAAAAACAGAATTACCTTATTTACATAAGTAGTCAGACCCTTTGCTATGACACTCGAAATTGAGCTCCGGTGCATCCTGTTTCCATTGATCATCCTTGAGATATTTCTACAACTTGATTGGAGTCCACATGTGGTAAATTCAATTGATTGGATATGATTTGGAAAGGCACACACCTGTCTATATAAGGTCCCACAGTTGACAGTGCATATCAGAGCAAAACCCAAGCCATGAGGTCGAAGGAATTGTCCGTAGAGCTCCGAGACAGGATTGTGTCAAGGCACAGATCTGGGGAAGGGTACCAAAAAATATCTGCAGCATTGAAGTTCCCCAAGAACACAGTGGCCTCCATCATTCTTAAATGGAAGAAGTTTGGAACAACCAAGACTCTTCCTAGAGCTGGCCGCCTGGCCAAACTGAGCAATCGGGGGAGAAGGGCCTTGGTCAGAGAGGTGACCAAGAACCCCATGGTCACTCTGACAGAGGTCCAGAGTTCCTCTGTGGAGATGGGAGAACCTTCCAGAAGGACAACCATCTCTGCAGCACTCCACCAATCAGGCCTTTATGGAGGGTGGCCAGACGGAAGCGACTCCTCAGTAAAAGGCACATGACAGCCCGCTTGGAGTTTGCCAAAAGTCACCTAAAGGACTCTCAGACCATGAGAAATACGATTCTCTGGTCTGATGAAACCAAGATTGAACTCTTTGGCCTGAATGCCAAGCGTCACGCCTGGAGGAAACCTGGCACCATCCTTACGGTGAAGCACAGTGGTGACAGCATCATGCTGTGGGGAAGTTTTTCAGCGGCAGGGACTGGGAGACTAGTCAGGATCAAGGGAAAGATGAATGGAGCAAAATACAGAGAGATCCTTGATGAAAATCTGCTCCAGAGCACTCAGGACCTCAGACTGGGGTGAATGTTCACCTTCCAACAGGACACCAACCCTAAGCACACAGCCAAGACAATGCAGGAGTGGCTTCAGGACAAGTCTCTGAATGTCTTGAGGACAAGTCTCTGAATGAGTGGCCCAGCCAGAGCCCAGACTTGAACCCAATCGAACATCTCTGGAGAGACCTGAAAATAGTTGTGTTGTGACGCTTCCCATCCAACCTGACAGAGCTTGAGAGGATCTGCAGAGAAGAATGGGAGAAACTCCCCAAATATAGGTGTGCCAAGCTTGTAGCACCATACCCAAGAAGACTCAAGGCTGTAATCTCTGCCAAAGGTGCTTCAACAAACTACTGAGTAAAGGGTCTGAATACTTATGTAAATGTGATATTTCAGATTGTTCTTTTTTATATATTTGCCAAAAAAATAGTTTAACCTGTTTTTGCTTCGTCATTATGTGGTATTGTGTGTAGATTTGATGAGGGATTTTTTTATTTTTATAATCCATTTTAGAATAAGGCTGTAACGTAACAACATGTGGAAAAAGTCAAGGGGTCTGAATACTTTCTGAATGCGCTGTATGTTCAGAGCCAAATTCCTGTGAAGCTCAGAGAGGATCTCATGCCAAAGGTTGTTCTAGTGTTGTGGTTGCAGGTTCACCTGCCTCATCTAAAGCCTCTTCTTTTGGGGTGCTGCTATTGGCCGCCAAGTACTAACATTCATTATCCGGATAATATGTGTGCAATGCTTGATAGTGTATATGATGTTAACAGAGTTCTATTTTCCAGGTGACCTAAAAATATAGGTTTTCATCAAGTGTAATCTGCTTCAGGTTATTAATCAAGCTACCAGGGTGTTTACAAACAGTACAGGAACTACTGTATATCATCCACGTGTATTGATTATATTTTTTGTAATGCTGCAGAACTTTGTTCTAAAGGTGCATAAACACCCATTGGATGTAGTGACCACAATATAATAGCTGTATCCAGAAAAGCCAAAGTTCCAAAGGCAGGGCCTAAAATAGTGTTTAAGAGATCATACACATTTTTGTAGTGATTCCTATGCTGAAGATGTAAAGATTGATTGGTCAAATGTGTGTAATGGGGAGCATCCAGATGCTGCAATACATTTATGAAATTGCTCCTTCCAGTTATTGAAAAACATGCACCTATTAAGAAACTGACTGTTAGAACTGCTAAGGCGCCGTGGACTGATGAGGAACTGAAAAAAAGAGTGGAGTGGCTAGTAAGTCTAGTTGCACATCTGATTGGCAAACCTACTGTAAATTTAGAAATTATGTGACTAAACTAAACAAAAAGAAGAAGAAACTGTATTATGAAACTATGATAAAAGATAGATAAATAGAATATGATGAAAAAAAAGCTTTGGAGAACATTAAATTATGGGCAGAAAGACTTTCAACACCGTCTTTTATTGAATCAGATGGCTCATTCATCACAAAACCCTTTGATGTGGTCAATTATATCAACAACTACTTCATTGGCAAAGTGGGCAAATTCAGGAATGAAATGCCAACAACAAACTGTGAGCCATCATATTCATGCATAAAATACCTAATTATGAAAGAAAAGCAAGGTTCATTTAAATGTCATAAACTTAGTGTGGAAGAGGTGAAAAAATTGTTGCTGGCCATCAATAATGAGAAACCACCTGGTATTGACAACTTAGATGGAAAGCGACTGAGGATAGTAGCGGAATATGTTGCCGCTCTTATTTCTCACATCTTCAATATGAGCTTGGAGAGAAAAACAATTCTCAGACCTGGTGGGAAGCTAAAGTCATTCCGCTACCCGAGAATGGTAAAGCGCCCTTTTCTGGTTCTAACAGCAGATCAATAAGTCTACTGCTGGCTTTAGCAAACTTTTGGAAATAATTCGTTTTTGACCAGATCCAATGTGATTTCTTTATGAACAAACTAACAACAGACTTTCAGCATGCCTATAGAGAAGGGCATTCTACATGTACTGCATTGACACAAATTACTGATGATTGGCTGAAAGAAATTGATAATAAGAAGATGGTGGGAGCTGTACTGTTAGATTGCAGTGCAGCCTTTGATATTATTGACCATAATCTGTTAGTGGAAAAACGTATGTGTTATGGTTTTACACGCATATCGTGGATTAAAAGCTATCTATCTAATAGAACTCAGAGGGATTTCTTCAATGGAAGCCTCTCTAACGTAATACATGTAAAGTATGGAATTCCACAAGGCCCGTTACTGTTTTCTAGCCTTAAACAAAGCCTGTGTATCTATGTATGCTGATGATTCAACCCTATACACATCAGCGGCTACAGCTAGTGAAATCACTGCAACTCTAACTCTGACTCTGGGGAAGTAGATACATCCCAAAGTATCCCTTTAAGCTCTAGACCTAAGATGGTTCTGGTTATGAAAGATGTGACTATAGTTGAGGAAACTAAACTTATTGGTGTCACCTTAGACTGTAAATGGTCATGGTCAATGTATATTGATTAAATTGTTGACAAGATGGGGAGCGGCCTGTCTGTGATAAGGAGATGCTCAGCATTCTTAACACCACAACTAACCAAACAAGTCATACAGGCTGTAGTCGTATCATATCTTGACTATTGCCCAGTAATATGGTCAGGTGCTGCAAAGAAAGACATAATAAAGCTAAAACAGAACAGCATGTCTTGCCTTGCAATGTTCCAAGAGAGCTAATGTCAACAAAATGCATGTTGACCTTTCCTGGCTCAAAGTACAGGAGACATTGTCTGCATCACTTCTCCATTTTGTTAGAAATATTCATGTATTAAAAACTCCAAAACATCTATTCAATCAACTAACATACAGCTCTGACAGACATTAATATTCCACAAGGCATGCAACTAAAGGTCTCTTCATAGTCCCTAAAGCCAAAACAAATTCAAGGCAATGATAACATGGAACTCCCTCCCATCTCAAATCACTCAAGCAAGCAAAAGTAGTTTAAAGAAATTATTTAAACCGCACATCACAACGCCTCTGACCTAAATAGCTGTAGCATCTCCCTCCCTAGCACATCTGGTATTTGAGTTAAAGTTAAAGATAAGATGTGCCCTTGGCATCAGGATATCAAGGACTGCTCAGAGAAAGCAATTGTAAGCAAAACCTCAGTAGAGTAAGGACTTACTGGTCTGGTCAGCTTACTGATGTTAGTCAGTAGAGCCAAGTTTTATTGAAGTGTATGAAAGTGTATTCTTATTTTGTGACTGGTGGATGCTGCTGTGTGTGAGTGTGGTGCGGGGAATGAAAATGGAAATGCAAAACAAGTTTATGATAACCAGACGAAACTCCATAAGGGACTCGGACGAAACTCCATATCAAGGGGACTTTATTCATTTTATGTCCAAAGGCCACGCACTATACCTTAGCTAACCTTTTATGGGCGGATAGACTGTAACACGGCAAATGTTTGGTTTAGTTCATTTCTATGCACTAGACCGGGCGATGGACGTATGTGAAGCCCATCTGATGATAATGATGACTGTTCAATTTATTGAACGGAGTGGAGTGATGGATCTCTAAAAAGTCCACGTATGTAGCTAAAGTGAAGGATTACATTTAAACTTTAGCTGTAGGAAACTCCAATACGGTTGCTGAGATGAAGGATTAAATTGAAGCGAGGAGGAAACTCCATCCATAGCTCATTTATGAGCTGAATGGCATGGTTGCTAGGGTGAAAACTGTGGTTGAAGCCTTAACTGGAAGAATTGTAGCATTTCCATTGTCGTTTTCGTTGCACTTGTAGCATCTATGAATCACATTATTATTATGAAGCGTATTGACGTCAAACGGGAAAACCAAGGACACTGGTGGTTCCTAATGTTGTGAGATTCTTGCTGGTGTTTACAGAACAGCTGGTTCTAAGAGATTAGGATCAGGACCTGCAATTGTAACAGTAAGCATCTGTAACGAAATGGATAACTGCAGTGTAGCCATTAGAATGAGCACCTGTTACATGGATTGCTAAGGCATAAGAATATGAAAGTGTGTATTCTTATTTTACATGTATGTAGTTCTGTACATGTCTATTAACATTATGTATTATGTCATGTTATGTAGTTATGTCCTTCAGCTGTAATTGTCTATTAATGTTATATATTATTATACCATGTTTTATGTTTTGTGTGGATCCTAGGAAGAGTAGCTGCAGCTTTGGCTGTAGCTAATGGGGATCCTACTAAAATACTAAATATACTAAATCTCCATGCCTCATTATATGACTATGAAGCCTTCCAAAAATACTTGGGCAATCATTTAGAATCAACTCAAATTCTTCCACAAACATTGATAGCTATATCTATGAAACATGCAAACAACAGTGTTAATCATACATGGGCAAACTATGGCCCGCGGGGCAGGAAGAGTGACGGTGCTAGGCCGAATTCGACCTGCGGGCCGTAGTTTGTCCATGTATACATTTCCCCAACAGATTCTTCTGTCTCTACTCATAAGTGTGTCTTCTTTAGACATCTGGGGGATGTTGTTACCACTCATTTGTTGTCTCAATGGACCATCGTATTACATACATTTCTCTTCAAGAGCGTTTGAATTCCTGACTATACACAGTATGGAATGCGAGCCAAATGAATAGTAATTATCTATAGTGTAACATTATCCGTAGGTAAACCAAAAACCTAGTGTTGTTGTATTTCCTCAGCTGGCCCTTCAAAGACACCCAAACCCTTGACAGGGTAAAGGATAGCGGCTAAGGTAAACAAGGGGCCGTGCTTCAGTTCACACAAGGTTATTTACTGCAGGTAGGAGGTGTAAGAAGAAGGGGGAGAGTGGGGGAGGGCAAGAGGAAGGCACCGGGAGAGGGGTAAAGGTACATAGGGGAAGGCCGGGGGTGGCGGTCAGGGGGCCGGTGGTAGGTTATGCAAGCAAACTTGACTCAGCTGGAGTTTATTGGCAAAAGTGTAACATCTGTGCCGAGTTTCCTGTGAGGACGCAATGGGGTCTGGAGGAGCAGGGACTTCAAACGTGCCCCCCAAACCCCTAATAAGCAGCTGTCTGATAAACGGTCGGCACATCCCCTCTAACAGCCAGGAGAGGTGTCTTACATGCCTGTGTCTACAAAACGGAGACATTGTGTGTGTGTTGGTGTGTGTGATGTCACAACATCTTGTCCAGCTATTCAACAGCCATTTTCAACAATAACTAATGTGAGGGTTTCTAGGAATCTATTCATTTCAGGTTGTAGTACTAAACTGTGATTTTTCAGACTGAAGTATCCAAAGACATAAGTAACACCAAAGTAGAACTCCCCTGATCCCTTGATTTACAAAATCCATAATCTGAAAACAGCCTCACAAAAGCCTTACTGAAGGACTACATGTAGCCTATAAGTGAATTGCTGTTTGTCCAACCAATTGGTCCCTACCATGTTTACTGCAATTATTTCACTTAAATTCTAGCTATAACATCAGAACTAACCCTGAACTAGTCATTGATGGCATCACCCACTAACACGGATCCCACTGCTGCCTCTCAAGAGAATGGACGTTTGCTTTGATTGACAGGTGGCCCACCAGAGCAGAACCCATGTTTCACCGGCAGACACGGCTGCGACACCAACGCTGCCTGCAGACCCGGAGAAGGCATCCAGTTCACCTGCGAGTGTTCCACTGGTTTCACTGGGGACGGACGTCAATGCTATGGTAGGGGCCCTGCACACTATACATACCAGCTTAAACCTACAGCAGCTGATGCATAATGGACATGGGGAAAAGTCTATTGAAGTTTGGGTTATACTTTATTTTACATATTTACCTGGTAATTCATTAAAGGATGCATGGTAATAACTTTATTACATTATTATCTAATAAACTTAGACAGTGATCTTGGGTCAGTTTAGCATTTTCCCCACTAAGGATTGGGGGAAGGTTAGGATTGGGCGAGCTGATCCTAGATCTGTATGTTTGGTGTGAAAACAGCTCATGACCTTTCATGACTGATCTTCCTAAAATAGGTAATATTAGTAAGATGGCATCTTCATAGTAGTGGTCATGATATTACATTTGACTTATTTTGCACTTTCTAAGAACTCAAAGACGCTTTACATTAGTAAAGGGCAAGACCGCACAAAGAGATGAACAACCATTGCAGGACTGAGACAGACTGTAGCATAGGAAAACAAGCAATGTCATCAGAAATTCTCATCACTAATAATTCATATTATTAATATACTGTAATGTACAGTATATTGCTACATAAACTACAAATGACACAAATAATCACATTCAATAATTTATTACAAATATGCAATGAAATAATGTAATTATTATTATGGCTGTTGATATGACTTGCAGTAAACATGAATCTGGTGCAACAGAATTGCCCTCAGGTGACAAATAAAGTTGTTTGAATTTAATTGAGTTGAGTTTAATTTAATTGAATGTGCTCATTTTGTAGACATTGACGAGTGCAGAGAGACGCCCGAGATCTGTGGTTCTCACGCCATATGCAACAACCAACCGGGAACATTCCGCTGCGAGTGTGTGGATGGTTTCCAGTTTGCCAGCGATGGCAAGACCTGTGTCGGTATGTAGTGCTGAAAAAGTGTGTTTGCAGCTGTGTTGTTCTTTGTTTGGATGGCCCCCAATATAACTGTTGCAGTTCACACAACATTAATACACACTTAAATACACTAACCGTTTACAGATTTTTCATAGCATTTATAGATTCATCTTAAACTCCAATTTAAGAGTTTCTAGGCCATATCAGTCTATTAATCTGTTGTTTTCATTTGTCTATAAAAACCGTCTACTGAGAACTTTCTCACATTTGCTACTCATTTTTAGGGTTTTAGTTTCATCAAACAAAGGATTCAGGGGATTTCTATCTCCACCAAGTCTCAAATCTGCCTCCCCCTTTCCCCCCTATCGCTTGTAGAAGTGGACCGTCCCATAGACCACTGCCAGAGGGGCACCAATAACTGCGACATCCCAGAGCGGGCACGTTGTAGCTACACGGGGGCGTCCACCTATATCTGCTCCTGTCTGCCCGGCTTCGTGGGTGATGGTCATACTTGCCAGGGTAGGGTGACACTTAAACAGTTCTGTGTGTGTGTGTGTGTGTGTGTGAGTGTGTGTGGTGGCGGCAGACACCAGCGGAGAGAGAACCATTAATAACTTATTCGACTGAATGGTGTTGACGTCCTGTTTTCGGAGGTTGAAGGACTTTTTTTTATCTTTACAGAAAAAAGCTAAAAGAAGTCGATAATCCTCTTTACTAATACAATTAATCCATATCCATCCATTCCATATCCGTTGACTTAAATGATCTGAACTCACTCATGGCATTTGTCGTCAGGTGATATGTCTAGACTTGCCTTTGCAGCCCTTGTCTAGTTACTAGGCCATATTAGAATAACTTTACTGTCCAACATGCAAAATAAAGTTGTCTTTTGCTTTTCTCAGAACCCCCCCGGACACCACAGAAACACACACACCCTTCAGCTTAAAAAAAAAACAGACCATGTCTTCTCTCTAAACTCTCCACTGGTTCTCTCTATGTTGAACCCTCTGAGTCCTCCTCGTTGTAATGCACCCACACCGAGGCCCCTGCGAGAGGAAATGTGTCCACCTGGACAGGAAATGCAAACACAACCCGGCCCTACAGCTGGGGAGCTCATTGGTCATGCGTTTTATTCATCCATCCATCCATCCCTGTATTTCTTATTTTCCCTCATCCAATGCGACTTGGCCAGCCACCAAACGAAAGCCGTATGAATTTCCATGTAGGATTTGTATAAGTCCTTTTTCATTTGCTGTCCTTAGAGATAGACTTTAGAGGTTGGGGTAGTGAGCTGGGGTAGTGAGCTGGGTGTGTTACATACAAGTTGCATCCAAAAGAATGGTATCCCTATCCCTATCGAACGCTAAGCTTCAACATGTGTACACAGTACTTTAGTTATGCAGCTGCTATGTTTTATTGACTGTACTTTTCTACAGAATTATGTTTCTTTCCCCATCTAACATCATCACATAACACAGGATGTGACATTTCATGAATGTATATTTCACATTTAGATACTTTATATAGGCATACAGTCTAGTGCACTACCAATACTAATAACAACTGTGTATTTTTTGTATATCTCCATAGCAGGATTTAATATTCACATTCCTATTGACTGTGTATATTTCAGCTATATATTGAAACATTTTTATACATTGCTTTCATTTGAACTTAGCATCTGTGTCCCTATTGTTTCTTATTGACTGTTGTTTCTCACACACACAGACATTGACGAGTGCGAGCAAGGTCGCTGTCACCGGGACGCCGTCTGTTATAACTCTCAGGGCTCCTTCACCTGTCAGTGCCACCCTGGTTTCCATGGCGATGGCTTCCAGTGTGCCTCTGGCTCCCCGGGTATGTAACCCCTGTGCTTTTTGGTGTAAATAAATCACCTTTCCAAACCGCAAGTTGTGTGAGAGGAGTTCTTCTCGGGGTCATGTTCATTTGGAACCAAACAGAAGTTTGATCCCCGGTCAAGTCATACCAATGACTCAAAAAATGGGGGAATCTGCAGTTCGAACAATAACAAAGTGGGCACCCGGACAGTGTTTTGGTAAATATCTCAGGGATGGGGCTGGAGAAATGTAACCATTCTCAAATTTATAGATGGAGCTATGGATGCAAGAACAGACCATCCATGACATCAAAATGATAGTTTTAATCATGTTTTAAAGCTATACATTGTTTGTTTACAATTACAATGTTTACAACCATTGGAGTAAAATAAGCGTATATTTTGGGTTCTGATGGGGTACGGCAGTTGAAATAAGTTCATGAAACATTTATAATATAAGTTGTGTTGTACAGATTGGCCCTTTAAGGAAATGGACAGGGGGCTGGCTCATGCTGCAGAAACAGGATATAGGCTCCTACCCTATGGGCCATTCTGTCTCAGACAATGCTACTGATATTTATAAGTTAAACAGCAGCCAGAGGCAGTGTAGTCCAAAATGTGCAAGGGAAGGCAAGAGAAATGCATTCAGAAGGAACCTCTAAATTGTACGGCTATGTCCGGAAGTATGTAAATATTGTACATTGCATGGGGATAGTTAGAGCTCTCATCAGGCGTCTTCTTCCACTCAAAATGTTAGGATTCGCGTAGCTATACTTGTTCTGTCTTAGTGCCCCCAGCTGGAACATGTGAAGCTCCTAACAGTTTAGTTTGGTTTAGAGAGAGAGGGAGGGGGAGGCGGGAGACAGATTTGTCATCAAAGGAAAGCATAATATACCAGAGACTAACTGTTTATATTGAACGTCCACACAAGCCATAGTGGACTAAACAGTATATTTTACTAATGGAGGTCTGTTCGCTAAGTTAAACAAGTCTATCAGTGTTGCGTCATCACCTGGCACTGATAGAAATATATATATATTTTTTTACATTTTAGTCATTTAGCAGACGCTCTTATCCAGAGCGACTTACAGGAGCAATTAGGGTTAAGTGCCTTGCTTAAGGGCACATCGACAGATTTTTCACCTAGTCGGCTCGGGGATTAGAACCAGTGACCTTTCGGTTACTGGCACAACGCTCTTACCCACTACGCTACCTGCCACCCATGGTAGAACATGGACTGAGGCGAAGGCCTGAACAGTGTGTACTTCCATAAGCCTGATATAAGACTCCATGAGACTGCGTGCTAAAATATGGAACTGTTAGGGGGAGGGAGGATGGATGAAGGGTGTGTGTGTGTGTGCTTCGGGGTTCTGAAACTCACTCTGAACTGAGTGTCTGTTGGTTTCTGTTGTGCCTTGACCAAATGTCTCCCTCTTCCCCCTTGAAAGACATTTGAAGGTTGACATTTGACACTGTGCATCCTTCCTGCGCGGGGATGGGTATAACAACACACATATGTTACGTAGGGAGGATAAAGGAATGGAAACTGAGGTTGGTGTTGAGACAACATACGATCCCCGTCGAGAAAGATCAACATAGCTGCTCATTCTCCATGCAATTAGGGCCAAAGGCCTGGAACATGTCACATGGATGTGCTGGAACAGAGCCAATGCTCCTACACTCCCGAATACAGACTCCTGGCCTGCATCCCTAATGGCCTAAATAGTGCACTACTTTGGGGCAGGGCCCATAGTCCAAGTTAGTTGAACATAAAGGTAAAGGTACCCTGGAGTTACAACCAGGAATTGAAACATTTAATAAACAACAACAACTGAAGTATTAGGAAGAAGGAGGACTTTCCCCTATTGACTTAACAACCAATCCATTTTCTCTTTGATTCAATTCTACTAGTTCCCCTTCACCACTGTATATTTGGGAATATAGGGTATGTGTATTCAAGTGTTCCATACTATAAATTATTATTCTACAGTGAGGGGGAAAAAGTATTTGATCCCGAGCTGATTTTGTACGTTTGCCCACTGACAAAGAAATGATCCGTCTATAATTTTAATAGTAGGTTTATTTGAACAGTGAGAGACAGAATAATAACAAAAAAATCCATAAAAACACATGTCAAAAATGTTATAAATTGATTTGCATTTTAATGAGGGAAATAAGTATTTGACCCCCTCTCAATCAGAAAGATTTCTGGCTCCCAGGTGTCTTTTATACAGGTAACGAGCTGAGATTAGGAGCACACTCTTAAAGGGAGTGCTCCTAATCTCAGCTTGTTACCTGTATAAAAGACACCTGTCCACAGAAGCAATCAATCAATCAGATTCCAAACTCTCCACCATGGCCAAGACCAAAGAGCTCTCCAAGGATGTCAGGGACAAGATTGTAGACCTACACAAGGCTGGAATGGGCTACAAGACCATCGCCAAGCAGCTTGGTGAGAAGGTGACAACAGTTGGTGCGATTATTCGCAAATGGAAGAAACACAAAAGAACTGTCAATCTCCCTCGGCCTGGGGCTCCATGCAAGATCTCACCTCGTGGAGTTGCAATGATCATGAGAATGGTGAGGAATCAGCCCAGAACTACACGGGAGGATCCTGTCAATGATCTCAAGGCAGCTGGGACCATAGTCACCAAGAAAACAATTGGTAACACACTACGCCGTGAAGGACTGAAATCCTGTAGTGCCCGCAAGGTCCCCCTGCTCAAGAAAGCACATATACAGGCCCGTCTGAAGTTTGCCAATGAACATCTGAATGATTCAGAGGAGAACTGGGTGAAAGTGTTGTGGTTAGATGAGACCAAAATCGAGCTCTTTGGCATCAACTCAACTCGCCGTGTTTGGAGGAGGAGGAATGCTGCCTATGACCCCAAGAACACCACCCCCACCATCAAACTTGGAGGTGGAAACATTATGCTTTGGGGGTGTTTTTCTGCTAAGGGGACAGGACAACTTCAAATCTTGGGTGAGAACCTCCTTCCCTCAGCCAGGGCATTGAAAATGGGTTGTGGATGGGTATTCCAGCATGACAATGACCCAAAACACACGGCCAAGGCAACAAAGGAGTGGCTCAAGAAGAGGCCTTAATCCCATAGAAAATCTGTGGAGGGAGCTGAAGGTTCGAGTTGCCAAACATCAGCCTCGAAACCTTAATGACTTGGAGAAGATCTGCAAAGAGGAGTGGGACAAAATCCCTCCTGAGATGTGTGCAAACAAGAAACGTCTGACCTCTGTGATTGCTAACAAGGGTTTTGCAACGAAGTTCTAAGTCATGTTTTGCAGAAGGGTCAAATACTTATTTCCCTCATTTAAAATGCAAATCAATTTATAACATTTTTGACATGCGTTTTTCTGGATTTTTTTTTTGTTATTCTGTCTCTCACTGTTCAAATAAACCTACGATTAAAATTATAGACTGATCATGTCTTTGTCAGTGGGCAAACGTACAAAATCAGCAGGGGATCAAATACTTTTTTACCTCACTGTATAGGCTTCAGCTTTCATTTTACATTTACATTTTAGTCATTTAGCAGACGCTCTTATCCAGAGCGACTTACAGTTAGTGAGTGAATACATATATATATATATATATTTTTTCATACTGGCCCCCCGTGGGAATCTAACCCACAACCCTGGCATTGCAAATGCCATGCTCTACCAACTGAGCTACATCCCTGCCGGCCATTCCCTCCCCTACCCTGGACGACGCTGGGCCAATTTTGCGCCACCCCATGGGTCTCCCGGTCGCGGCCGGCTACGACAGAGCCTGGATTCGAACCAGGATCTCTAGTGGCACAGCTAGCACTGCGATGCAGTGCCTTAGACCACTGCGCCACTCGGGAGAGTGTCATGTACTGGAGCCTTGGGTGTTTGTGAGTTGGCATCTTTCTCAGCCGTTACCTCTTTGTTCAAGTCCAATCCAGGTGTCAACTGCATGTATTTACTCCACCACGCTAATTATAGCTCCTTCTCCTCTGCCTCCACAGTTTTGTCATATTTTGAACAAGCTGTCTGAAAAGGGGCATCATTTTGTCCTCCTTTGTCTGAACTTGTACTTGTAGTAGACACTGTAGTGTCTGGACCTTGTGAGAGTTGACCTGGTTATCTTCCTCACTTTTCGATGGTTGATGACTGTCTGATAAAAACTGCTTTGATCTTTGCCTCCTCAGAGACAACAGTTCCCAATGTTGACTAGTTGTCTTTTTTTGGTGGCTTTTGTTGATTGTTGCGGCCAGACGTTGTGCATAGCGCAGATTGTATGTTGCGGCTGTTTGAGATTGTTATGACTAGTCTGTGGTTAACCAGACAGATACCCTGGGGATAAGTCTTTCAGTGAGACACTATATTCCAGATGTCACCGTGTCCCTTATGTCAGATTTACGTGACCGCAAAAATGAAATACTCTACATTGAATCCATGTTTTCCATATTAGTAGTGGACAAGTAACTTTAGTTTTGAACTGCCATGTGCCATGTCGTACATTAAGGCAATTATATTTAAACCAAAGCTAAACAGCACTTTAAAAAGAAAGAGCAATTTCTTAGAAACCTTTCTTAATTTCCTCTATTACTTTTATTACTCCTCATGTCGTCTTTCTGTTTTATTCCAGAGCGTGAGAAGACGCAGTGCGAGCGAGACAGAGAAAGCATCCAGGTCTCCTCCAACACAGGCTCGTTTTCCTTCTTCCGCCCACGCCCCACCGTCAGTCAGTACGTTCCTACCTGCGACCAGCATGGTGCCTACGAGCCCACCCAGTGCCACGGTAGCATTGGACAGTGCTGGTGTGTGGACGGCAATGGTCAGGAGATCCCCAACACTAGAATTGGCCCCGGCCAAAAACCTTTGTGTGAGTGACTGCCTCAAAAGATGGAGGGGCCGATCGGTCATCCTTGGCTTGTACCTTAATATTCATATTCAACATATTCATGCATTCATAGCACTCATGTCTATTCCATTACATTCAACATTTGCCCCTGCATGCTAAATAAAAATACTGTAGGAACCCACTGGGCACAAACTGGTTGAATCAACATTGTTTCCATGTCATTTCAACCCCAAAATTATATGTGTTTAAATCAACGTGAAAAACTTATTGGATTTGCAAAAAGTAATCAAAGTAAAGGAACTTTTAACCTAAATTCAATGGCATGGTTGAAAGTTTTGTTGATTTCACATTTAATTCAGGTTAGTTGAAAACTCAATCATAGATAAATCAAAACTAGACGCTGATAGGACATCTGTGCCCAGTGGGAAATGACATTGTAACTTCAGTTGTCCTCCCTTGACAGGTATTGACCAGGGAGTGATTCCTCCCCCGATTGGACCCACCACCAGGCCGGATGTCTCTCCTGTGGCCCCAGGGACCCACTTGCTGTTTGCCCAGAGCGGGAAGATCGAGCACATCCCCCTGGACGGATACAGCATGAACAAAGGGGAGGCCAAAGCCCTGCTCCACCTGCCTGTGAGGCTTCACATTGACGCACCTCAACTCACCTCACATTCTCAGTCAGACAGACAGTCAGTCAGTTAATCAGTCAAGCACTGCACATCACTTGTTACAAGCACTGTGGGAAGTTACTTATTGACTCACAAACTTTAACTCACTCACTCTCTTCTCGAGTTAATGATTCACTCAGTCAGTAACTCACTCCTCTGTAAGCCCTGGCCTACCACGCTTTGTCAAGATGGCCGCTCACCAGATGGCCAGAGCTGTCTTCTCAGACCCCCAGTCTTAGGTTGAATGAAAAGAGGGGGATTTGATTATCTCTTCGTCGCATGTCAGATATTTCCTTTGGCCGGACTGAGAGTGCGTTGATGGGTGTTGTGGGTCCACGCATCCACTCTCTGGAATGTCCCAAATGCCACTTGAACAATCTCCTGATTGTGTGAGTTGACCATCCATACTCGTCCCCAGGCTTTTCTTCTTTCTTCTCACTAGCGTGGAATGGTCTGGCAGAACATGTAACTGGACATACAGAGGGATTCTTCCCAATAAAAGCTTCAATTGTTTGGCTAGCCGCATTCTGCCATTTTGAAATGTAATGTAACATTGTGTACATCTTATGTAATTTGGTTGAACCCATCTGTGAAATGAATGGGGTGAGATATTAACATTAACACTATTAAAGTAGTATAACATTACTGCAATGTTCTCTTGCTTTGAACAGGGGCTCTATTGAGTGTGTGTGACATCCTATATTCTGACGCTCGCATGGTTTCCAATTAGCAGTTAAGTAGGGAAAGCACAAGGACTGTGCATCAGATGATTGGTCTATTGAATGTTTCAATGTGTTTGTATCTGTCCCGATCTAAATAAACCATTAATCAATAAATCAATAAAACCGTCTCTATGTGTTGCTCCCAGGACAGAGTGGCGATTGCTGTGGCCTACGACTGTGTGGAGAAGATGGTGTACTGGACGGACATCACAGGGCCCTCCATCAGCAAGGCCAGCCTGGAGGGAGGAGACATAATTTCTCTCGTCACAACAGGTGAGCAGTACACAGGTCTCAGGTCAGCCTGGAGGAAGGAGACACCATCTTTTGACATGTGTGAAACAAGACGGACAAATGACGGATTGCCATTCATTGTAGTCTTTCAATGTACACTATATATACAAAAGTATGTGGACACCCCTTCAAATTAGTGGATTTGGCTATTTCAGCCACACCCGTTGCTGACAGGTGTATACAATCGGGCACACAGCCATGCAATCTCCATAGACAAACATTGGCAGTAGAATGGCCTTACTGAAGAGCTCATTGACTTTGAACGTGGCACCGTCATAGGATGCCACCTTTCCAACAAGTACGTTTGTCAAATTTCTGCCCTGCTAGAGCTGCCCCGGTCAGCTCTAGTAGCAACAAAGGCTCAGCTGTGAAGTGGTAGGCCACACAAGCTCACAGAACGAGTCCGCCGAGTGCTGAAGCACGTAGCACGTAATACTCACTACCGAGTTCCAAACTGCCTCTGGAAGCAACATCAGCACAATAACTGTTAATCGGGAACTGCATGAAATGCGTTTCCATGGCCAAGCAGCCAGCCGCACACAAGCCTAAGATCACCATGCGCAATGCCAAGCGTCGGCTGAAGTTGTGTAAAGCTCGCCGCCATTGGACTCTGGAGCAGTGGAAACGCGTTCTCTGGAGTGATGAATCACACTTCACCATCTGGCAGTCGGACGGACGAATACCTTCCCGAATGCATAGTGCCAACTGTAAAGTTTGGTGGAGGAGGACTAATGGTCTGGGGCTGTTTTTCATGGTTTGGGCTAGGCCCTTTAGTTCCAGTGAAGGGAAATCTTAAAGCTACAGCATACAATAACATTGTAGACGATTCTGTGCTTCCAACTTTGTGGCAACAGTTTGGGGGAGGCGCTTTCCTGTTTCAGCATGACAATGCTCCCATGCAGAAAGCAAGGTCCATACAGAAATTATTTGTTGAGATCGGTGTGGAAGAACTTGACTGGCCTGCACAGAGCCCTGACCTCAACCCCATCAAACCCCTTTGGGATGAATTGGAATGCCGACTGCGAGCCAGGCCTAATCGCCCAACATCAGTGCTCGACCTCACTAATGCTCTTGTGGCTGAATGGAAGCAAGTACCCGCTGCAATGTTCCAAAAAAACACCATATTAATGCCCATGATTTTGGAATGAGATGTTCGACGATCAGGTGTCCACATACTTTTGGTAATGTAGTGTATAACCCCCAGGGATGGAAATAACGCTAGCTTGCTGCTTGCTGGCTAGTGACATTTTGTCTTCTTAAATATCCCACAGATTTTGGACCCGGGCTTGTAGGAATTGCAGTCTACTAGCCCAGCTGGCCAGAGCCCAAAATCCTTAAGTTCCATCCCTGATGACCCCCATAGAAAATCAGTAGTTTCTGTCTGAACTAGGCGTAATGATGTCCTCCTTCTCTCTTCCTTAGACCTGGAGAGCCCAGAGGGTTTGGCTATCGACCACCTGGCCCGGCTAATGTTCTGGACGGACTCCATGAAGGACAGGATTGAGGTGGCCAGACTGGACGGAAGCCAGCGCCGTGTCCTATTCGACACCGACCTGGTAAACCCTCGGCCCATTGTCGCTGACCCCTCCTATGGGTAAGTGTCTTTGGACAATGTCTGACTTTGATTCCTTTGATGCAAATTTGTGATTAAATAAGCAGTTAGTTCTTTGTGCTGAAGATGTATTGTCCTTAACCGCTAAGGCCTGGAACGATTTCGAAATCCCCAGTGCTGTGTTCATTTTAAAGCTGTTGGTTTAAAAATATGGTTCTAAACATCATGACAGGAACATGTTTTCTCTGGCTTGTTGTCCAGACGACTCTACTGGGCAGACTGGAACAGAGACGGGCCCAAAATCGAGATGTCCAACATGGACGGAACCGACAGGACAGTCTTGGTTAAGGACGACCTGGGGTTGCCCAACGGCCTGACATACGACCCTGAGAGCCAGCAGTTGTGCTGGGCCGATGCTGGTAAGAGGCTACGCTAAACATGCTAACACTATCGATGCTGGTAAAAAGTTATAAAACATGCTAACACTATCTGTAAAAAGCTATGCTAAACGTGCTTACACTATTGATGTTGTTATGAAGGTATGCTAAACATGCTAACACTAGTGATGCTGGTAAGAAGCTATGCTAAACATGCTAACCCTATCAATGCCGGTAAAGACACTACACTAAACATGCTAACACTATTGATATCGTTAGCTAAACATGCTATGTAGCAATCCATGGGAAAATCCCACTGTACTGAGGCAGTTCAGATGACTCAGATAGTTGGAGCATGGTGCTAGCAGCAGGGATGTTGGTTTGACTCCTGCATGTTTTTTTTTTACCTTTCCAGGTACTCGTAAGGTACAGTGTATGGACCCCAACGGTAGGAACCGTAGGACCATTGTGGAGGGGATTCAGTATCCTTTCGCCATCGTATCCCATGGGAGGAACCTTTACTACACTGACTGGAGAAGGTATGATCACCTGGGCATGGTTTCCTAAAAGCATCTTAAGGCTAATAAGTTCATTGTTTGAACCTTCGTAGGAGCATCGTTAAATCTCCGAGCTGTTTCCTAAAACTATTGTTACTAAAGTTGCACTTGAAAATGCTTGTTATTTACAGACTGCCTCAGACCACTCAGAACAGCTAAGTGCGTCGTTTTTTTGCCCTTCCGTAGATTCTCCTACTATACACAGAAAATCTCTGCTATATATACATAGAATCAAGATGTTTAGGCCTATCTTTCTCTCTGTGACTGACGATAACTGCAGAACGAAGTTGACTACAAATACAAAGTCGCCAATGTCTTTGCAATTGTTACAAACAAGCGAAGGATAAAAATATGCTTCAAATAAAAACAGAGATGACTGCATTAAAATAGAAATACAGTAGGCCTAGAACTATAGGCTACATATCCCTATATATTTAAATCATATTAAAATACATTCCATGATCAATTATTTGAGTTCTAATTAGCTAATTGTCGGCTACTGTCTGTAATTTGTGCCTAAATATATTTCATGATGTGTAACAATAAGCATTTCACTGCACCTTTCATACCTGTTGTAAGCTGTGTACGTGACTAATACAATTTGATTTGATTAATTAATTCATACACACCTATTTCATGAGCATGCATACATTTCCCATTACTTAAAATGCACAGGTTTGTATACACCAGGTCAGTATATTGCCCCATTTTCAATAGATTCATGAAAATAAATCAATAACCTTGGCAATGAATGATAGAAAGGATTATTTTCATGTAGAATTAATTTTTTCATGGTAGTCAATAGAGTAAGAGCCTTCATAAGAATAGTAGTAGCCATTTGAAACTGTACTATTTATTTAAAAACGTGAGTTTGTTTAATGCCAATGTTTATTTGACGTGGCTCAAACATTGGTGTGTGGTCCTGGGGGTCCCAGCGAATGTTTAGAGAATGTTCTGATAATGTCGTTTTCTGTTGCCAGGGAAGCGGTGGTAGCCGTGGACCGCACAACGGACAGAGAGACGGACGAGTTTCTGCCACAGAAGCGTTCGCGAGTGTATGGCATTGCCACGACCCCAACTCAATGCCCACAAGGTAAGCCTCCTCACACTTCCTAGTTCTCTCAATAGCCTTGGTTTGCATCCCAAATGGCACCCTATAGGCTCTGGTCAAAATAAGTACACTATAAAGGGAATAGGGTGCCATTTGGGACGTTGTCTAGGTCAGTGGTCACCAACCTTTTCTGAGTCAAGATCACTTTTGTAGTCAAAAAGGAAGCCGAGATCTGCCGCTCAGATAAAAAAAAAAAAAACGTGACTTAAAAAATGTTACATTAACCTAATAAAAACAGTTCTGTAGGAATGAGGTTTGTGCAGTAGGCCTAATACATTATCAAAGCATATTGGCTATATGCTTGGCCTGCCAATATTGTTATTCTCTGACCATATTATATTTCAAAACACGAGCTTTGATAACAAAATAGATCAGTTGGTCTAGCACTTGCGAGGCACAGCTGAGCATAAATTGAAATAATTTGCTTTTTTATTTTACTGGACTGATGGTAGGTACCTGCATCTGATGGTCATAGTGCTTTCAATACAACTGGGAACTCGGAAAAAACTAGGTCAAATTATGACGTCAGTGAACATCAGGTTGGAAAGTCGGAGCTCTAGAATGATGCCGAGTTGGATGACGGATCAAAACAAATTTTCCCCAGTCGGATCTAGTTTTTTTCAGAGTTCCCAGTTGTCGTGAACGCACTGAAGTCGGAAGTCTGAGATTTCCGAGTTCCCAGTTGTTTTGAACACAGCATTAGTCTCAGTGGAGGGAGGGAGAGAGCAGCAGAGGGTCTGCCTCTCACGGTCACTGCTCTCTCTTTTCTTTCCTCCGGTGAGGCTGTCCAGAGAGCGGGGACACAGTCTTCCAGCTGATGGCGAAACTAGAGTCACCTCAGGCACAAATTCATCTTGTTCCCATGACCAGAGAAAGTGAAATATTATTCGATATTAAAATAGACACGACAAGCTGCTAATAATAATAAAAACGCAGGGCTATCGATACACTTGGCTACTCATTCATTGCAGCTGCAAAGCGAGTGGAAGTAGAGAAAAACGCATTTTATGTTTTGTAATAGTGTTGAATAAAAACTGTTGACAGTGCTGAATAAAACTTAGACATGAACTCACTCATAAAAACAGCAGCGATTTTCTGTATTCTTTAACAGTTTCAGACATGGTTTTAAAAGTTATGAAATCTCTTATAGGCTAGTATCAACCTTTGCTGTGTCCGGGGTTGTGGAAGCTGTAGGTAGGCACGGTGAATTGAGCTATCCAATTTAGGCAAAGATCTCCTGGTCCGCCGGGTAGGCAGAGTTGATCTTTTCAGACAAATTAAATGGTTCAAACTGGTGCGCAGGGCTTCTAAATCATGTGCACCAACAGCCAACACAAAACAAAGGGACCGCAATCCTTTATGCATTTATCTTCGGTTTTTCTACAGAATGTTTGGTGATCGACTAAGAATGCCTTGAAGATCGACCGGTTGGTGACCACTGGTCTAGGTCTATACAATAAACACATACTTATGTGTTCTGAATGTATGTCCAATTCTATTCCTGTATTGACAGGGAATTGATCCCAACTCTAATGGTTGTGGTTCTAGACTAGTTATATAGCACTGAAGCAGAATCAGTGAAGTTGGATACATAGCTTTAAATACACAGCTGTACAAGGGTACAGCTGAGAGTCTCATAATCGTAATGTTACAGCTGGCTATGCAGAGATTCACTTTACTCAGCAACCTCCGATTTTCCCAACCCCCCCTTCCTACATATATATCCTCACATTGTCTGGATGCAATTACTCGGGTCTGGTGGAATGTGCACCGCCTGCCATATTCGTACATCTGCGCTCCCGCTGGATTTATCTGGTCTGGTCCAATCCACCATGGGGGGCTGTTCTTATTTTGTGTACAGTATGAGTAGTACAGTAAGTACTTATAGTATAGATAGTCGGCTGTGTGCAGTAGATCGCCTGTTGAGTGTCGACGAACGGTGGCCATTCAACATGCAGAATTGTCGGGAAATGAACAGAAAATGACAGCCGATGTTGTGTGATCAAAGGCTTTAGGACAGCCAACCGTCGGCCAACTGCTTTTAACCATTCATCAAGACAGTCTGTTTTCATTTGGATTCAAGGTGTTTTAGGTTTAAACATACAGCAGTCCCTGCCTTACATTAAAGCTAATGTAGAGGTACAAATGGTTTGATTGGACTGTACTTAGCCCTGTGAAAGACTCTCTCAGGGCTCTATTTAATCCGTATCGCGGAAGTTCAGCGTTACAGTGTGATTGAAATTTAAAGGCAATGTTCCCACGTTAGCGGAGACTGCATTCTGTAACGCTTCAGCTAAATTGTTAATTAATGGTACCCAAACTATTTGCACTGACTCTACGCACTATATATACACACCCACACACACTACACTGTCACTCCCACACATTCAAACACTACATATGCACACATACACAACACTTGCTGCTGCTACTGTTCTTTATCTGACTCTGATTATTATCTATCAGGATGCCTAGACACTTTACCCTGCCTTCATGTACATAATTACCTCAAACCTCTGCACATTGATCTGGCACTGGTACTCCCTGTATATAGCTCCATTCTTGTGTATTTTATTTAATTCCTTGTGTAAGTTACTATTTCATATTTGATTATATTTTTTAAAACTCTGCATCGTTGGGAAAGGTTTGTAAGCAAGCATTTCACTGTAAAGTCATGTGATAAATACAATTTGATTTGATTGAATCCCTCAGTCTGGTTTACGTTACTGCAGAACCAAGACCGCAGATCCAATTTTAGATATATGAACAGCGTAGATCTGTCCTGACTGTCTTTTTCAAAGTACTCTGGGAGCCTGAATCCCTCCCAAAGCATACAGTGAATGTTTTTTGGGTGTGTGAAATGTCCCATGTTATCAATTAAACACTTTTTAGTGTAAGAGTATGTAGCTGTGTATTACATTTTACATTTTAGTCATTTAGCAGACGCTCTTATCCAGAGCGACTTACAGTTAGTGAGTGTATACATTTTTCATACTGGCCCCCCATGGGAATCGATCCCACAACCCTGGCGTTGCAAGCGCCATGCTCTACCAACTGAGCTACAGGAGGGCCTGTATGTTGTTATAGCACTGAATATCCCTACTACTGCTTTTGGTGGGGTTTGCTCTTATTCTTATTCAGATCATATGAAAAACATTTTATTTGATTTCAAAGTACAATTGTGCCAAATGACTAGAAACTCCTGTAAATGATGGTAATGTTATCCAAATGTCTCCCGCAGCATATAACTACTGCTCGAACAACGGAGGCTGTTCACACCTTTGTCTACCTCGCCGCGGCGGCTTCACGTGCCGGTGTCCAGACGTGGTGGACGGAAGCTGTGTGGAGAGGAACTTGTAAGGACGGAAGAAAGAACAGTAGATTCTCCTGCTAACTGCACAAAGGGGTTGTGACACGTGTGCCTTCCAACTTCCTCTTTAAAGGAAGAATGATAAGCTGCATCCGGCTGGGGGTTACTCTGTGGCCAAATCCATTCAGATTGCTAGGCCTCTACTGCTCAGTTCCCCTCTGGCAGATCTGAGAGGATTGGGTAGTTTGTAAAGATATGATGGTGATCTCTACTGTAGTTCTCTGGTTGGTTAGGTGGAGTTGTTATCCTATCGCTTACACATCTAGTCCTTTGACCTTGTTACTGTTACGGTGTGTATTAGAAACCTCCCAAATTATTTTGCTGATTTCTGATACATTTGAAAAAAAGTAACATTTTATTTTTTTGTATTGTAAATAAATACCTGAAATATAGACGTATTATCTGAAGTACAGGTTTCCAGTGGTGCTCTTGATGACCAGTTATAGCTGATTATTACTGTGAAGGTGTACAGGTTGTTGGGCATAACGCCAGGTTGTTGGTGTTTGGTAGCCACAAGCCCACCTGGAGAGAGGTTGGCCCAGCGCCTTTTGATGACCTCATTCTCCCCATAAGAGGGTTGACAGCCCACCATAGGAGTTTTACATAAGGTTAATGCATGTACTGTGTGTGCAGCTGTGCGGTGACAGAGAAAAAACAAGAACATTTACATTCTGTACAGCTGTCCTATTAAACTTTTTTTTTTACAAGTTTGGTGTACATTGTGTCTTATTTCTTGTTAGTACAGTAACATGTTAGTTATCAGAAAGCTATTTGTATTTTTTTAAAGCATACAGTAACTATAATACCAGTTTGAGGTTTGTGAAATCACACGTCATTAGTCTATCAAAGGGCTATACCATCAATCCAGCTCCTTAATTCTGAGTGCCAAGCAGAGGCATCGGTCCCATTTTGTACAGTGCCTTGCAAAAGTATTCATCCCCCTTGGTGTTTTTCCTATTTTGTTGCATTACAACCTGTAATTGAAATTGATTTTTATTTTTATTTCATGTAATGGACATACACAAAATAGTCCAAATTGGTGAAGTGAAATGAAAAAAAATTACTTGTTTAAAAAAATTCAAAAGAATAAATAACGGAAAAGTGGTGCGTGCATTTGTATTCACCCCCTTTGCTATGAAGCCCCTAAATAAGGTCTGGTGAACCAATTACCTTCAGAAGTCACATAATTAGTTAAATAAAGTCCACCTGTCTGCAATCTGTGTCACATGATCTGTCACATGATCTCAGTAGATATACACCTGTTCTGAAAGGTCCCAGAGTCTGCAACACAACTAAGCAAGGGGCACCACCAAGCAAGCGACACCATGAAGACCAAGAAGCTCTCCAAACAGGTCAGGGACAAAGTTGTGGAGAAGTACAGATCAGGGTTGGGTTATAAAAACAATATCCCAAACTTTTAACATCCCACGGAGCACCATTAAATCCATTATTAAAAAATGGAAAGAATATGGCACCATAACAAACCTGCCAAGAGAGGGCCGCCCACCAAAACTCACGGACAAGGCATTAATCAGAGAGTCAACGAAGACACCAAAGATAACCCTGAAGGAGCTGCAAAGCTCCACAGTGAAGATTGGAGTATCTGTCCATAGGACCACTTTAAGCCGTACACTCCACAGAGCTGGGCTTTACGGAAGAGTGGCCAGAAAAAAACCATTGCTTAAAGAAAAAAATAAGCAAACACGTTTGGTGTTCGCCAAAGGCCATGTGGGAGACTCCCCAAACATATGGAAGAAGGTACTCTGATCAGATGACACTCAAATTTAGCTTTTTGGCCATCAAGGAAAACGCTATGTCTTGCACAAACCCAACACTTCTCCTCACCCCGAGAACACCATCCCCACAGTGAAGCATGGTGGTGGCAGCATCATGCTGTGGGGATGTTTTTCATCGGCAGGGACTGGGAAACTGGTCAGAATTTGAAGGAATGTTGGATGGCGCTAAATACAGGGAAATTCTTGAGGGAAACCTGTTTCAGTCTTCCAGGGATTTGAGACTGGGATGGAGGTTCACCTTCCAGCAGGACAATGACCCTAAGCATACTGCTAAAGCAACACTCGAGTGGTTTAAGGGGAAACATTTAAATGTCTTGGAATGGCCTAGTCAAAGCCCAGACCTCAATCCATTGAGAATCTGTGGTATGACTTCAAGATTGCTGTACACCAGTGGAACCCATCCAACTTGACGGAGCTGGAGCAGTTTTGCCTTGAAGAATGGGTAAAAATTCCAGTGGCTAGATGTGCCAAGCTTATAGAGACATACCCCAAGAAACTTGCAGATGTAATTGCTGCAAAAGGTGGCTCTACAAAGTATTGACATGGGGGGGTGAATAGTTATGCACACACAAGTTTTCTGTCTTTGTGTCTTATTTCTTGTTTGTTTCACAAGAAAAAATATTTTGCATCTTCAAAGTGGTAGGCATGTTGTGTAAATCAAATGATACAAAGCCCCCAAAAATCAATTTTAATTCCAGGTTGTAAGGCAACAAAATAGGAAAAATGCCAAGGGGGGTGAATACTTTCGCAAGCCACTGTAAGTCTTTGGTATGACTCAACAGGGGATTGAACCCCTAAACTTCCAATCTCAGAGGAGACACTAACAACGAGGCCACTGAGTTGGCCAGTTATCCTCTTATACAGTGCATTCGGAAAGTATTCAGACCCCTTGACATTTTCCACATTTTGTTACGTTACAGCCTAAAATTGATTTTTTTTAAAATCCTCATCCATCCACCCCCATAGTGACAAAGCAAAAACAGGTTTTTAGAAACGGAAATACCTTATTTACATAAGTATTCAGACCCTTTGCTATGAGACCTCGAAATTGAGCTCAGGTGCATCCTGTTTCCATTGATCATCCTTGAGATGTTTCTACAACTTGATTGGAGTCCACCTATGGTAAATTCAATTGATTGGACATGATTTGGAAAAGCACACACCTGTCTATATAAAGTCAGACAGTTGACAGTGCATGTCAGAGCAAAAACCAAGCCATGAGGTCGAAGGAATTTTCTGTAGAGCTCCGAGACAGGATTGTGTCGAGGCACAGATCTGGGGAAGGGTACAAAAAAAATTCTGCAGCATTTAAGGTCCCCAAGAACACAGTGGCGTCCATCATTCATAAATGGAAGAAGTTTAGACTCAGGGAGGTGACCAAGAACCCCATGGTCACTCTGACAGAGCTCCAGAGTTCCTCTGTAGAGATGGGAGAACCTTCCAGAAGGACAACCATCTCTGCAGCCCTCCACCAATCAGGCCTTTATGGTAGAGTGGCCAGACGGAAACCACTCCTCAGTAAAAGCACATGACAGCCCGCTTGGAGTTTGCCAAAAGGAACCTAAAAAGGACTCCCAGACCATGAAAACAAGATTCTCTGGTCTGAATGCCAAGCGTCACGTCTGGAGGAAACCTGGTACCATCCCTACGGTGAAGCACAGTGGTGAAAGCATCATGCTGTGGGGATGTTTTTCAGCGGCAGGGACTGGAAGACTAGTTAGGGTGGAAGGAAAGATGAACGGAGCAAAGTACAGAGAGATCCTTGATGAAAACCTGCTCCAGAGCGCTCAGGACCTCAGACTGGGGTGAAGGTTCACCTTCCAACATGACAACCACCCTAAGCACACAGCCAAGACAACGCAGGAGTGGCTTCGGGACAAGTCTCTGAATGTCCTTGAGTGGCCCAGCCAGAGCCAGGACTTGAACCGGATCGAACATCTCTGGAGTGACCTGAAAATAGCTGTGCAGCGACCCTCCCCTTCCAACCTGAAAGAGCATGAGAGGATCTGCAGAGAAGAATGGGAGAAACTCCCCAAATACAGGTGTGCCAAGCTTGTAGCGTCATATCCAAGAAGTCTCGAAGCTGTAATCTCTGCCAAAGGTGCTTCAACAAAGGACTGAATAAAGGGTCTGAAGACTTATGTAAATTTTTATAAATGTGCAGAAATTTCTAAAACCTGTTTTTGCTTTGTCATTATGGGGTATTGTGTGTAGATTGATGAGTGGGGGAAAAAACGATTTAATCCATTTGAGAATAAGGCTGTAACATAACAAAATATGGAAAAAGTCCAGAGGTTTGAATACTTTCCGAATGCACTGTATGATAGGGCAAAATGTTGATTTCCGCCTACATAGACATACCTAAACGTAATTATTTGTCATGGGATGGCCATAAACAATAACTGGTAATGTTGCATAGTTTTAGAAGGTCTGGAACTCATCTTTCTGGTAAAAATTGTTATAAATTGCTGAGGTGTACACACTTTTGAGGACACAATCTCAAGTACATAGTACACATATAATAAAAAATCGTATGATTTTCCTATTCAACAAAAGTGGGACTAATGCTTTCTAAATATAACAACAATCAAATTATAAATGACTTACTATAAGATTTCACTTTATAAATGTAAAATAAATATGATCATACTTAGTGACAGTATAATATTGGCACCATTTCATATAACTGACGACATCATTTTCTCCTAAACGTCCACTGAGCAGCGAAGAGACACCATTAAAATGTGTGCAGACTCGTTATAACCTCAGCTTTAAGCACAAAGTGATTTCGTCCGTCTGTGGAAGTGGGCCACCTACTGGTAGAGTTTGTTTTTTGGATCTATTTAAAAGTTGGTTTTCAAAAAGTACTGCATGGCATTACAACACCAACCAGCCAGGCCTTCATGGATATATGTCTTTACTCTTAACTGGTGCATGCATACATTTTCGTATGGGTGGGCCCAGACGTTGCAAGTCAATTGCTTTACCAACTTAGCCACACAGGACCACATGGGACAGGTAGGGACATGGATGACCCTGGTTTAACCCCTGGACTGAGACTGCTGTCAACCCAGAAAATGTGTATAACATCTTTATTCATGATTTCTTTGCAAGCATCTTCCAGTATAACTAACAAAGCATTTGATTGACAACTGTAGTGCTAATATAGGCTAAATTTGGTGCAAATACATTATTTTGCAAGGAAAAAATGTACTGTGAAAAATGAAAACAACAGAATAACACATGTTCACTCTAGTTTACACATCCCACGCTTTCCATTTCGTTAAGAAATTCCTCGATTTCCAAACATCTTCTCCTGATCGGACCCCGGCTATTGCACTCATCACTTGTGGGCCAGTATTCAAGCCATGTCCGCTCACCCAAAACATACTCGAATCTAGAAACAAAGACATAGCTCTTAGCAGGGTGCCGTCTAGTAGTGTGAGGAAATATAGTTACAAATAATGAAATGGTTCATTTATAGCTTTTACTTAAAGGAGTAGTTCAGGATTTTACAACTTGATGTTAGATGAAAGTATTTTATATGCCAGGAGAAACTGTAATCCATGGTTCAGTTTTCTTTAAACAGTCACTACAAATTTAGGCACCGCTAGCAAAAAAACATTGAAAGTGATGGGGGCATGTGAGCATGTAAAAAAATTATTTATCCAAATCACCTGAAATCAATTACAATCAACTCCATATTTGGCTTGATGTTTATTTTGTATTCTTAATTTTTTTATTTTTTATCTATTCTTTTTTTAAAAAAAATTTTGTGTGGGTAGATCAGCTTTAATATTGCAGATACAATGGGGGAAAAAAGTATTTAGTCAGCCACCAATTGTGCAAGTTCTCCCACTTAAAAAGATGAGAGAGGCCTGTAATTTTCATCATAGGTACACGTCAACTATGACAGACAAAATGAGAAAAGAAAATCCAGAAAATCACATTGTAGGATTTTTAATGAATTTATTTGCAAATTATGGTGGAAAATAAGTATTTGGTCAATATCAAAAGTTTCTCAATACTTTGTTATATACCCTTTGTTGGCAATGACACAGGTCAAATGTTTTCTGTAAGTCTTCACAAGGTTTTCACACACTGTTGCTGGTATTTTGACCCATTCCTCCATGCAGATCTCCTCTAGAGCAGTGATGTTTTGGGGCTGTCGCTGGGCAACACAGACTTTCAACTCCCTCCAAAGATTTTCTATGGGGTTGAGATCTGGAGACTGGCTAGGCCACTCCAGGACCTTGAAATGCTTCTTACGAAGCCACTCCTTCATTGCCCGGGCGGTGTGTTTGGGATCATTGTCATGCTGAAAGACCCAGCCACGTTTCATCTTCAATGCCCTTGCTGATGGAAGGGGGTTTTCACTCAAAATCTCACGATACACAGCCCCAAAGCATGATGTTTCCACCCCCATGCTTCACAGTAGGTATGGTGTTCTTTGGATGCAACTCAGCATTCTTTGTCCTCCAAACACGACGAGTTGAGTTTTTACCAAAAAGTTCTATTTTGGTTTAATCTGACCATATGACATTCTCCCAATCCTCTTCTGGATCATCCAAATGCACTCTAGCAAATTTCAGACGGGCCTGGACATGTACTGGCTTAAGCAGGGGGACACGTCTGGCACTGCAGGATTTGAGTCCCTGGCGGCGTAGTGTGTTACTGATGGTAGGCTTTGTTACTTTGGTCCCAGCTCTCTGCAGGTCATTCACTAGGTCCCCCCGTGTGGTTCTGGTATTTTTGCTCACCGTTCTTGTGATCATTTTGACCCCACGGGGTGAGATCTTGCGTGGAGCCCCAGATCGAGGGAGATTATCAGTGGTCTTGTATGTCTTCCATTTCCTAATAATTGCTCCCACAGTTGATTTCTTCAAACCAAGCTGCTTACCTATTGCAGATTCAGTCTTCCCAGCCTGGTGCAGGTCTACAATTTTGTTTCTGGTGTCCTTTGACAGCTCTTTGGTCTTGGCCATAGTGGGCCAAAGAAGAAGTTACAGGTCTGTGAGAGCCAGAAATCTTGCTTGTTTGTAGGTGACCAAATACTTATTTTCCACCATAATTTGAAAATAAATTCATAAAAAATCCTACAATGTGATTTTCTGGAGAGAAAAAAATCTCAATTTGTCTGTCATAGTTGACGTGTACCTATGATGAAAATTACAGGCCTCTCTCATCTTTTTAAGTGGGAGAACTTGCACAATTGGTGGCTGACTAAATACTTTTTTCCCCCACTGTAACTGAGCCTAAAACATCTGGTTTTCGATTAATTGTTTTTTTCTTCATGAAAGTTACTCTTTAACACCGCAAAAATATGAGTTGTGGGCAAGATTTCTCTTCAAAACCGTTTTGAAACTAGCGTAGTGTAAAAAGGTTCTAAATGACTCAAAGTGCTGAAATGATGAGAGACATTTCTTACCTGTCACCACTCTGGATAAGATCTGCAGTGTCTCCCATGAGCAGGTAGCTCTGGCCTTCTTTCAGATCCAGTGCATTTCTACAGGAGGGGTGGGCCAGGAACAAACGCTTTCCCCCGTCCAACACATGGTCAGTGCCTAAAGAGAAATTGAACATTAACATTGATCTCATTTCTAAAGAACTTGGTTTTAAACTTTCTGGAAAAACAAAAACATTTGCATGTGTGTGCAAAACCGTCTAGGAAATATTTAGGTCGCTCTATGAATAGATTGCCTTTTATGTACTTCAGACATTATGTGTGTAAATGTTGATAAAACACTCAATTTACCAGTTGGATCACAAACATCTATGCTCTAACTTAACAATGTTAAAAATTCCAATAGCAATGTGTTTTTATTCAAATAAGTGATTTGTTTTCTCTGAAAATCACCATTTTGGCATGTCCCACATCATGTTTGTCCAATTTTAACCCACATCACCCCAAGATTTTCACAAGTTTTCACCATAATTGTAAAGCCCTATTTATTTTGTTGCTTTGGGAAAGTCATTTCTGAAGATGTTTACTTATTTCATGTGATTAGTGATTCATTAACATTTGTCCCTCAGTTTTAAGGTCAACCCTGTAATGTGAACTGAAGTCTCGTTTTAACCTGGTAAAACTAATATTTTTTCAAAAGAATGTCTAATAGTCAAATCAAAGTGTAAAAGCATGTGAGATGGCCATTTTCTGGTGTTTAATAGTGGAAAACTGAGCACGTTGAACATAACAAGTCAACACTGTTACCCATCGATAGATAGGCTAGAAATATTTTAACAAGTAAAATATTTTTATTAAGCTTGATTTAAATTGCCCCTCCCTGTTGCACACAACAAGCTTCCATTTGCCCTGTCACAAGGGAAGTTATGGCTGATTCAAGATGAAATCGTGAACACTGTTACGATCAACCCTGTTACTTTTATAGTTATTTTTCTTAATTAAACCTTGAGATGGGGAAACATGTTATTTTTTAAAAGTTGAACAGAATGTGAAAATTAGGTGAAAAATTCAAAAAATATATTTTTGACAAATTACACTACTCAATAGGCACTCTATTTGTGGAATGACACATTTGCGTTAAAGTGAGAGGAGCATTTGAAAATGTTAACAAAATATCAACAGTCACTGTTGATATTCATAGTCCTACTCCATATAATCCAGCAATGAATGATTATCGTGTGGAAACTCATGACTAAACATTAAGGACTTATCCTACCTTCTTTGATAATCCTTTCTATTTTCATGCGGTATGTATCGATGTAGGACTCCAGTGTTGCATTAACCAAGGAGACTTTGAAAACTGTGAAAAATACAAAGTCATATGAATAAGTAAACATATAATTTTGTTCACTTTAATAATACCTGAGTCATGTCCAGTAGGGAGAAAACACACATTTTCCATTGCAAAGCACTTTGCATCGCTGTGCCATACTACTGAACACAATTGTTTGTCTCAAAAGACTAGAGACTTACCATAATCCATAGCAGCTTCGCAGGCTTTGTCCAACAGTTTCACTTTACTCACGTCTCCAAATTTCTTCTGGTAGCTACAGCTCTCTATGAAAGAAAGATCATGTGTGAGTATGAAAATGTCAAAGTAACCAGCCAATCTATATAGTGAGGACAGTATTACTTTGGCATACAGTATATTAACATTAGGCTGAAATTCAGAACCTGTTTTGTACAAACATTCCACTCCTTGTACTCTGTGTCATTGTTTGGCGTGGATTGATGGCAGAAACAGACTGGTACCCAGGCTACATTAACATATTATTGTACAGGCAAAGTGATAATTCCATGTGAAAATAGAACATGATATTTTAATGGATGATGGAGGGATTGTTGACAATGGTAAAAGGATCAGAGTAGGGTAAGCTCATCCTATAACTGCAACTACTTTTTGGCAGCAATTTGGCAACCGAGGCATGGTACCTTCAGCACAACGACACACATCATCTTGACAAAGCCTGTTCAGGGTTCCATCCTTCTTCATTGGGTGGTAGAACTTCACACAGCGGTTCTCTAAAATGACAAAAGTCCCTATTCAAGACTATTTATTCTGTGTGTTGGCATTTCTAGTGAATGCATTGTAGTCTATGAGGTACATGTGAGTGTGTGTGCATATATCAGACCTGGGTTCAAATAGTATTTGTTTTCTTTTAAATACTTTGAGTGTTTGATTGAGCCTGCCTGGAATGCTAGATGGGCAGGGTTTATACTTTTGGGACTATTCCATTGGTTCCATTCCACCAGACAAGCTGAATCAAGCACAGGTTAAGTATTTTAAAGAAATGTGAATTCTATTTAAACCAGGTCTGGTTCATATTTCCTCTCAAATAAAGCATACCTTGAGCATAGTATTCATAAACGGTGACCCCAACAGGTTGAATCAGACCTACATCTTGTACCTTGTGTATTCTGAACGCCACCTTGTCTGCTAGTTTATTAGATACCTTAATGAATACCGGAGATATAGTGAAAGTTGAATAATAAAATGAAGTTACGTCATTGTATACATGTCACTGAGAAGAATAAATCCATGTCAATACCAGTGTGGCATGCAGTCACAAACAGATACCTGGTCAAGATAGATGATGAGGGAGCCCCTCTCAGACAACTTTTTGTCCATTTCAAATTTCTGAATGTACCATTCCCTCCCGGTTGACAACTGCAAGCAGAAACACAAGAGTGAACTTTGAACCATTAATGTTTATTGTATTATCCACAAAAAAATCTGAAATGAAGAAAAACTGTGTTCTTAGGAGTGATTAAGAGTATTGCCATAACTACACCAGAGCTGCATTAAGCAGTTGCAATGGTTGAAAAAGAGACACCCTTTTGATATTTTTTAAACCTAAAGTTAAGCTGTCTAATCAATTTCGTATTTATCTCCTTCAAGCTGTAGCTGTAGTTCTACCATAAATCCAATAGATTGCGCTGTTACTCTGTAGCGGTAGTAGGGATGGAAGAAGTTCTGGCCAGGCACGAGATTCTTCAGAATAAAGAATGCGCCAGAACTGCAAACACAGTAACTTTTGTGTCCAGTTATCGACTACTACAGGTATGTAAAAGCATGTATATAAAAACAATATGTTATAATTTCCTCAGTAACAATTCCGTCAAAGGTGTAATCACGTGTAAGGCCCAGTGCACTCAAAATTATGTTTTTCCTGTTTTTTGTATTCTATTGTACAACAGCTGATGAAATTGACACTGTAAAAGTGTGAAACAAATTGATCTGTGTTATACCTGATAGTTGCTGGTTGAAAATAAAATGTACACAGGACCTTGTAATCAAGAGGTTTTGCATGGGTGGAGTTTTGGCTTATATATAAGTTAATAAACCATTAATAAAGAGTGTTCCAAACCTCTTGGCCAATAATAACAGGTAGTTTTCAGGTTACATATCCCTCCTATTAGGCCACTCCAATTAGGCCCCTCACTCAGACCACTCCCAGATAGTCCTAGCAAAATTATTGCTTGGGAAATTATTTTTTGCTCAAATGCAAAAAAAAAAAAATCTTATTTTTGACCATTTTAATGGGAAACTATAAGAGTAAGGTACTTAACTGCTACGAAGGGACTTTAGTGCAGACGGTATGGTTGTCTGCTACAAAGGGACTTTAGTGCAGACGGTATGGTTGCAGAAGACTATAGACACAATTTAATGGTTTATATAATCTGGTGACGCTGAATGTAATGTTTAACAGTTTTATGCATTTTGGCCATATTCTGCCACACTCAGTTGTTTCTTTCTGTATCAGTGGATGCTGGTGGGAGGAGCTATAGGAGGACGGGCTCATTGTAATGGCTGGAATGGAATATTTAGAACAGAGTCAAACGTGGTTTCCATATGTTTGATGTGTTTGACTCAGTTCCATTTATTCCATTCCAGCCATTACAAAGAGCCCATCCTCCTATAGCTCCTCCCACCAGCCTCCTCTCATCTGTATGTATAGCTACATGTTTATATTATGTGAAATAGAAATACGTAGGACCATACTTACGAACATTCAAAAAAGTTTCAGTTCAAGGTTAAGGTTAAGCATCAGCCAATTAAAATCGTTGATGTAGTGTCACGTGATAGAACGCTACATTGTAGCTGGTCCCATCAGATAACCTGGCGCACGTTAGCCCTATGCTAACCTCACCAGGTGAGCTAATTGTCCAGTTAGAAATTGGTGAGCGTTTTAGTAACTGATTAGAAGATGGTGCCGTTTGACTGCTGTTAAGGAAAAGTGTTCTATCACGTCCAACTACGTCAACGATTTTAAATTGGCTAATATGGAATTTGAACAGGATATAATCATGGCCATATAGTGAGGTTAGCATAGGGCTAAATATGCCAGGTTATGTCATGGGAACAGCTAACATGTAGCCTTTGATCACGTGCAACTACATCAACAATTTTAATTGGTTGATGCTTAATCTTAAACGAACACTTTTTTTTATGTTCGCAAGTCTGGACCCAATTGATTTTACAGGGAAATATTACAGTTAGGCTACTGAAAGACTACTAAGGATAAGAGTACATACAGTGGGGAAAAAAAGTATTTAGTCAGCCATCAATTGTGCAAGTTCTCCCACTTAAAAAGATGAGAGAGGCCTGTAATTTTCATCATAGGTACACGTCAACTATGACAGACAAAATTAGAAAAATAAATCCAGAAAATCACATTGTAGGATTTTTAATGAATTTATTTGCAAACTATGGTGGAAAATAAGTATTTGGTCAATGACAAAAGTTTCTCAATACTTTGTTATATACCCTTTGTTGGCAATGACACAGGTCAAACATTTTCTGTAAGTCTTCACAAGGTTTTCACACACTGTTGCTGGTCTTTTGGCCCATTCCTCCATGCAGATCTCCTCTAGAGCAGTGATGTTTTGGGGCTGTCGCTGGGCAACACGGACTTTCAACTCCCTCCAAAGATTTTCTATGGGGTTGAGATCTGGAGACTGGCTAGGCCAGTCCAGGACCTTGAAATACTTCTTACGAAGCCACTCCTTCGTTGTCCGGGCGGTGTGTTTGGGATCATTGTCATGCTGAAAGACCCAGCCACGTTTCATCTTCAATGCCCTTGCTGATGGAAGGAGGTTTTCACTCAAAATCTCACGATACATGGCCCCATTCATTCTTTCCTTTACACAGATCAGTCGTCCTGGTCCCTTTGCAGAAAAACAGCCCCAAAGCATGATGTTTCCACCCCCATGCTTCACAGTAGGTATGGTGTTCTTTGGATGCAACTCAGCATTCTTTGTCCTCCAAACACGACGAGTTGAGTTTTTACCAAAAAGTTCTATTTTGGTTTCATCTGACCATATGACATTCTCCCAATCCTCTTCTGGATCATCCAAATGCACTCTAGCAAACTTCAGACGGGCCTGGACATGTACTGGCTTAAGCAGGGGGACACGTCTGGCACTGCAGAATTTGAGTCCCTGGCGGCGTAGTGTGTTACTGATGGTAGGCTTTGTTACTTTGGTCCCAGCTCTCTGCAGGTCATTCACTACGTCCCCCCATGTGGTTCTGGGATTTTTGCTCACCGTTCTTGTGATCATTTTGACCCCACGGGGGTGAGATCTTGCGTGGAGCCCCAGATCGAGGGAGATTATCAGTGGTCTTGTATGTCTTCCATTTCCTAATAATTGCTCCCACAGTTGATTTCTTCAAACCAAGCTGCTTACCTATTGCAGATTCAGTCTTCCCAGCCTGGTGCAGGTCTACAATTTTGTTTCTGGTGTCCTTTGACAGCTCTTTGGTCTTGGCCATAGTGGAGTTTGGAGTGTGACTGTTTGAGGTTGTGGACAGGTGTCTTTTATACTGATAACAAGTTCAAACAGGTGCCATTAATACAGGTAACGAGTGGAGGACAGAGGAGCCTCTTAAAGAAGAAGTTACAGGTCTGTGAGAGCCAGAAATCCTGCTTGTTTGTAGGTGACCAAATACTTATTTTCCACCATAATTTGCAAATAACTTCATTAAAAATCCTACAATGTGATTTTCTGGAGAAAGAAATTCTCAATTTGTCTGTCATAGTTGACGTGTACCTATGATGAAAATTACAGGCCTCTCTCATCTTTTTAAGTGGGAGAACTTGCACAATTGGTGGCTGACTAAATACTTTTTTTCCCCACTGTACATGTACAACGTTTTACATGCATTATTATAATCATCTATTTCGTCACATATTTGAATCGATCATTGAGGACCAGCAGAGAACAATGTTTTCCTTAACAAAAAAGCTTGACACAAGGGGGCCTCGAACCCACTGATACTGTACCCCGCAGATTCACAGTGAACCGGTTTAGCGTGTATGCCACCTGGCAGCGATTGTAATGGAGGTACATGACAGCTATTTAACAAGACTATAAGGCTCTTAGACTTTTTTTTTTTACTATGTACGATAAACTTAAATGTTGTATAGACCTCCTTTATCTTTTCCCTGTAAAAGCACATGGATGTGTGTGAAACGGATAAGCAAAAATGTGCGATTTTGTCATATATGGGAAAAAACATGCCTTTTTAGTTTTGTCTAACGTTAGTAGCTAGTAGCCTGGTCAAGGATCATACAATATTGGGACACTACACTTTACAAACCAAGTGAAACAAAAGTTAACCTTACATTTGGAGGTTTAAAATATCCCTCTGGTGGCCAAATCGACCTATTTTAAGAAATGCCATTGGTTGGTGGATATAAAGTCTAAGAATTTGTCACAGGAAATAATCACCGGCGAGCTTGTCAGGTTAGCATAGGGCTAAATGTGCCAGGTTATCTTATGGGAACAGCTATACAGGGCGGAAGGTAACCTAGCAGCTAAGACCGTTGGGCCAGTAACCGAAAGGTCACTGGTTCAAATCCCTGAGCCAACTAGGTGAAAAATCTGTTGATATACCCTTAACCCTAATTGCTCCTGTAAGTCGCTCTGGATAACTGACTAAAATGTACATGTATCACGTGCAACTACATTGATGATTTGAATTGCCTGATGTGTATTTTGAGACAGAAAAAGTTTAAACTTAAATGTTCATAAAGATGGACCCAGTATGTGTTAATAGTACGGTATCTAAGCTTTACTTTTTGCCACTCTGTTTTCAAGGTAACGAGTGGAGGACAGAGGAGCCTCTTAAAGAAGAAGTTACAGGTCTGTGAGAGCCAGAAATCTTGCTTGTTTGTAGGTGACCAAATACTTATTTTCCACCATAATTTGCAAATAAATTCATTAAAAATCCTACAATGTGATTTTCCCCACTGTACAGATCTGCTATCTTAATTTGACCATGTTTCTCACAGCAGGAAGATAATCCTGTAGCAACAAGAAATGTGAATTATCATGTGGATTATAACTACTGAACTTTTTTGTAGGGGTTGATACATTTTTCATTAGGGCAAATCAAGTCTGATTTGTGGAAACTTTAGAAGCCTTTTTAAACCTCAAATACAGTACAATTTGCATTTCTCTGCGACAACGGAGTGATCAAATTAAGATAGCATATCTGCAAGCTGTTTTGCTAGGTATGTATCACAGAAATTGTTCAGCCAAAAGGAGCACTGTGATCCCTCTCTGACATCCAATGAATCCAGGCGTTCTGGAGAAACCTGCTGGAATGCCTGGAGTCGAGGCTATCTGCAAGAAGCACAGTCAATACTACTGACCCAGTACATGCCAATGCGTTTTCTGGATACAGGCCTGGGCAACAGTACTTCTAGGCCTCAGAAAGGCAGTAGCGATGCACCACAAGCCATCTGCTATATCAACATTGATCACTCACCTCTTTCAGATCCTCAAAGTCAACTACAAAGCCAGTCAGCAAGCCGATGTCTAAAATGGTCATGGTGGCCTTTCTGTCAGAGTTAAACCTTAGGAGAGAATGGGAGTGTCCATAAGGAAGACTTGATTTTAGCTGATTTCATTTTTGGATGTATTTCCTATTCCTCACTAGATACGAATCAAATATAACAATATTGGCCTATGGCAGTATGACAGTGATTACAGTATATCCTGAGAATTCAGGTTTTTCTTTTACTTACAACACGTCAATGTAGAGTTTATATGTCTCTTTAGCTCCATTGAGTGAAACTTAAAAAACAAGAGATATCATTTTGAAGGTAGATTTAGCAATATGACATCATCATACACAGTGGGGCAACTAAAGTCTTGCAGATATCAACAACCACAAAACTTAAATCTGCCACTATTAGCACTGCCCCATTTCAATGAACTAAAACAAAACAAACAAAACTTCAATTATCACTGTTGAGTGGAAACAAGTTCAAATACAATAGCCATGACAAGTAGCCTACCTTTAGCCTGCTTTAATAGTTTCACATTAAGCACAAAGTTTTTGCAGTCTTGGTTCTTCTCCTTGGGCATGGCATAGTATACAGTTGTAACCTTGACACGGATAGGCAAGGAGAGGGTTGGTGTTACTTGGTTAGCCTTGGGTACTCATTTTATCTTTATGTTATCAATCAAATGTTTTCAAACATTATTCTTACCAATAATTCCCCCTGACCAGTTCCTTTGGCAGTTACTGTGAAGTTCTCATGCAGTTGGACCTATACAGAATACAAACTTTCATTTAAGACCTGCCTAACAGACAAAATAGCCTTCCTTTGTCTCTCACTGTGATCAACTATTCTTTTAATTCACTTCCTCTAACATACATTTCTCCTTCCCCCTCTGTGATGCAGGTTGCTTTGTTCCTTTCCTCAGGGAACCATGTTCACACCCACAACATTTTGACTGAGATGGGTGATTCGAGTGACCCAAAAGTTTGGCAAGACTGTGTTCTAGGCTCGTGGACAATAGGTTTGTACTTGTCACGTGTTACAAAGGGGCTTATGTGTACATAGGTCCTTACCTTGTTGGTGCGTGTGAGTAAGGCGTTACCCTTGTTAAATGACAACTTGATGACTTGAGCTCTCCCTGAGATATCAATATCCACATTCAGATCAATGTCTTTAACTTTTCCTGCTTTCGTCATGTATTCTGCCACAGCCTGGAACACCATGATAGTGGCCTATTTTGGAAGAAACAGAAGGAGGGGGTTAAAAGTGTACCACACCTATATACAGTCGGGTCCGAAATGAATGACACCCTTGATAAAGATTAGCAATAATGACTGTATAAAATAAAGAATTCAAATACTGAGCCATATTGTATGCTGCAAATTGCTTTGAAATTATCTTTATTCCCAATCACGTGAAATCGATAGATTAGGGCCTAATTTATTTATTTCATTTGACTGATTTCCTTAGATGAACTGTAACTCAGTAAAATCTTTGAAATTGTTACATGTTGCGTTTATATTTTTGTTAAGTATAATACCATTGCTCAGAAAAAGAGATTTTTGTTTTTACAAGTAATACTTTTTTTTCTCAAAAAGGTAGGGGTCAAAAGTATTGACATCCCTAAAGATTCTTATAAATAAAGTTTAGTATTTGGTCCCATAGTCTTAGCACGTAATGACTACATCAAACTTGTTGGGACTCTACAAACTTGTTGGATCTATTTTCAGTTAGTTTTGGTTGTGTTTCAGATTATTTTGTGCCCAATAGAAATGAATGGTACATAATGTTTGGTCTCATTTTGGAGTCACCTTTATTGTAAATAAGAATATAATATATTTCTAAACACTTCTACATTAATGGGGATGCTACCATGATTACGGATAATCCTGGATTAATCATGAATCACAATGAGTGAGAAAGTTACAGAGGGTCAAAGATCATATCCCTAAGACAAGCATTTTGCTACACCCGCAATAACATCTGCTAAACACATGTATGTGACAAATAAAATTTGATTTGACTTGATTTTATTTGCTAACCTCCCCTGTTTTGACCCCTACCTTTTTTAGAAAAAAATAAATACTTAAAACAAAATGGCTCTTAAGTGTTGTGTTTGTTTATCCTAAATGCAGCTTTCTCCAACATTATGCATTCCACACGGCATATTTCCATATATTGTATTATAATGTTGCATGACCCCGAAGCAGCCTGTTTCAAATGATGTATGGACATTAGCCCATCTTAGCCAAGGTTAGTTAGCCAGCCTGTTTGCCCTTGTTGGATGCTTGATGTTACGTGTTACATGTGTCTGGCTGTACCTGAGTGGATGAGTCACCTCCTCTTTGAAACCCCTGGCTTTTGAGCCATCTGACGATGGGACCAGCTTCCTCAAAGGCATCAGCCTTCACCAGGGCCAACAGGGCGTAAGCTGTGGCCTCCAGTGTGAGAAGGTGATTGTCTGAAACAGACCAGTGGGTACGGTCTGTGGGGGAAACACAAACATTATTTATTATTACAAAACCAAAATGTACAAAAACACATCTGCTACACTGGCAAAATGTAGCTCTTTGATGCAGAGAGCACCGGGCTATAAGAGTCAGAAATGGGTTAGGCTACATAATACTGTCCATCATAGGTTTCAATTGCTCAATATTTCCTACTATACTGGTGTAAAGGAGGATGTATCCTGTCACCTGATGAGTGTTTGAATAGGATATCCTTGTTAAGCTTGCCCTCGTTAGCCAGGGCGTATGAGGTCATAGCCACTGAATAAGGGTTGGTCAGGTATTGATTCCGAGATTCCAGGTATTGCTTAGCCCTTTTCATGCTGTCTGGCAGGTTCTGGAGAGAGAAGAAGAGAGGCAATTGCTAACTTCTTAAAGTATCCTAAAAGGCATTCAAAAACTACTCAATAGACTTCTTAAAATACTGCCTTTGTTGTTCGACTATGCATGGCCATAGAAAACATGGGTATGAAAGAATGAATAGGAAAACATGAGAATGTATACATTTCACTTACATTGATACCATCGTAATGTTCACATATTGTGTGTGCTTCCTGCATGGCTATGAGCACGAACGCTGTCAGTGTGTCATCCACGTCTTTCCCCAGTACATCTCCCTGTAGACAGGCACAGACAGAAATGACCATATCTAAGTAGATATCTGGGTTTGTTGTTGAATATTTTACATTCTCAAAAACCCAAGATACAACAGAGAAATACACTGAAAAAATATATAAAGGCAACATATAAAGTGTCTGCCCCATGTTTTATGAGCTGAAATAAAATATGATTAATAAAATGTTTATTATTTTTTTAAATAGAATTTCTGCCAACAACACAAACAGTACCATCATGGTGGGATGTAGGAGTTTGCCAGATTCCTCGAAAATGCCATTGGGACGCTGTCTTTCCATGACAAGCCACTTGACTGCACTGCACAGGACATCATCCGAAATAACGATGAATGAGTTTGACATGGCAAATACCTTAGCAACATAAGCTGTGAGCCTAGATGGAAGGATGAGATTTAGGTACAGTTAGGTATCATTTGCCCTGCCTTGAATTAAATGTCAACACGTACAGTGCCTTCAGAAAGTATTCACACCCCTTGGCATTTTCCATATTTTGTTGTGTTACAGCATGAAGATAAAATTAATACAATTGCGGGGGGGTTGTCACGTGTCTACCCACAATACCCCATAATGTCAAAGTGGAATTATGTATTTCTTTTTTTTTAAATTTCTTTTTATTTCTTTTTACAAATGAATAACACAATTAAAAGCTGAAACATCTTGAGTCAATGAGGTCAAGGTTTTACTGCTGACCTACAAAGCATTACATGGACTTTCTCCTACCTATCTCTCTGATTTGGTCCTGCCATACATACAGTGAGGAAAAAAGTATTTGATCCCCTGCTGATTTTGTACGTTTGCCCACTGACAAAGAAATGATCAGTCTATAATTTTAATGGTAGGTTTATTTGAACAGTGAGAGACAGAATAACAACAACAAAAATCCAGAAAAACGCATGTAAAAAATGTTATAAATTGATTTGCATTTTAATGAGGGAAATAAGTATTTGACCCCCTCTCAATCAGAAAGATTTCTGGCTCCCAGGTGTCTTTTATACAGGTAAAGAGCTGAGATTAGGAGCACACTCTTAAAGGGAGTGCTCCTAATCTCAGCTTGCTACCTGTATGAAAGACACCTGTCCACAGAAGCAATCAATCAATCAGATTCCAAACTCTCCACCATGGCCAAGACCAAAGAGCTCTCCAAGGATGTCAGGGACAAGATTGTAGACCTACACAAGGCTGGAATGGGCTACAAGACCATCGCCAAGCAGCTTGGTGAGAAGGTGACAACAGTTGGTGCGATTATTCACAAATGGAAGAAACACAAAATAACTGTCAATCTCCCTCGGCCTGGGGCTCCATGCAAGATCTCACCTCGTGGAGTTGCAATGATCATGAGAATGGTGAGGAATCAGCCCAGAACTACACGGGAGGATCTTGTCAATGATCTCAAGGCAGCTGGGACCATAGTCACCAAGAAAACAATTGGTAACACACTACGCCGTGAAGGACTGAAATCCTGCAGCGCCCGCAAGGTCCCCCTGCTCAAGAAAGCACATATACAGGGCCGTCTGAAGTTTGCCCATGAACATCTGAATGATTCAGAGGTGAACTGGGTGAAAGTGTTGTGGTCAGATGAGACCAAATTCGAGCTCTTTGGCATCAACTCAACTCGCCGTGTTTGGAGGAGGAGGAATGCTGCCTATGACCCCAAGAACACCATCCCCTCCGTCAAACATGGAGGTGGAAACATTATGCTTTGGGGGTGTTTTTCTGCTAAGGGGACAGGACAACTTCACCGCTTTTAGTTGGTAAAAGACCAAGTCCATAATATGGCAAGAACAGCTCAAATAAGTCCAAAGTTTCTTCAAGTTCAGTCGCAAAAACCATCAAGCGTTATGATGAAACTGGCTCTCATGAGGACCACCACAGGAATGGAAGACCCAGAGTTACCTCTGCTGCATCCCATCTGGACAAGAGGAATACCTATGTAAGAATGCTGTTCATTGACTATAGCTCAGCATTCAACACCATAGTACCCTCCAAGCTCATCATTAAGCTCGAGGCCCTGGGTCTGAACCCCGCCCTGTGCAACTGGGTCCTGGACTTCCTGACGCCGCTGCCCCCAGTGGGGATTAGGTTATTTTCTGCATGAACATGGCTCTTTTTACGCCAAACCCACCTCTGGTGTTTGTTGCCAAAAAGCTATTTTTTTGTCTCATCAGACCACAGAACCTGGTTCCAACAGTTTTTTGGTTACTACATGATTCCATATGTGTTATTTCGTAGTTTTGATATCTTCACTATTATTCTACAATGTAGAAAATAGTAAAAATAAAGAAAAACCCTTGTATGAGTAGGTGTGTCCAAACTTTTGACTGGTAGTGTATGTAAATTAGATATTTCAATATTTCATTTTCAATATATTTGCTAAAATTTCAAAAAACATGTTTTCACTTTGTCAATATGGGGTATTATGTGTAGATGGGTGAGATTTTTAAAAATATTGATTACATTTTGAATTCAGGCTGTAACGCAACAAAATTGAGAATAAGTCAAGGGGTATGAATACTTTCCGAAGGCACTGTAAATTGCCTTAATTTGTGATTCCTTAAAGTGGATTCCTCACAGTGTAACCTGCTTCTGGTCTTTTCTCACCATTATGAGGTCTTATTGTCTTGAATTATAGGCACCCTAGGTAAATATGAACCAAAAAGGCTGTGAAAAATGTATTTGTTGTTTATCAGCTTGATCTTACACTAAACTATCATATGAATCTAACCTTTAATTGAGTTAAAATTGTTACGAAAATAAAATAAATCGTCATCAAGAAATAATAATTTTATTCAAAAACATGCATTTCGCAATTATTGGCACCCCTGCATTTAGTCCCTTGTGCACCCTTCCTTTGCCAAGATAACAGCTCTGAGTCAACTTCTATAATGTTTGATGAGGTGGGAGAACACATAGGATGGGATTTGAGACCATTCCTCCATAGAGAAACTCTCCAGATCCTTCAGATTCCTTGGTCCTCACTTGTGGACTCTCCTCTTCAGCTCACAACACAGGTTTTCAATGTGGTTTAGGTCAGGGGACTGGGATGGCCATTGCAAAAGCTTGATTCTATGGTCAGTGAACCATTTTCGTGTGGATTTGGGGGTATGCTTTGCATCGTTGTCCTGCTGGAAGATCCAACAACAACCCAGTTTTAGCCTCCTGGCAAAGGCAGACAGGTTTTGGCCTAAAATCTCCTGATACTTGATGGAGTCCATGATGCCATGTATCCTAACAAGGTTGCCAGGGCCTTTGGAAGTAAAACAGCCCCACAACATCACAAATCCGCCACTATACTTCACAGTGGGGATTAGGTTATTTTCTGCATGAACATGGCTCTTTTTACGCCAAACCCACCTCTGGTGTTTGTTGCCAAAAAGCTATATTTTAGTCTCATCAGACCACAGAACCTGGTTCCAATCAAAGTTCCAATGACATTTAGGAAACTCCAGGTGCTTAAATGTGTGGTTTGGTGACAGCAGAGGCTTTCTTCTGGCAACTCTTACAAATAACTTGTTGGCATGAAGGTGGCGTCTAATTGTAGTTTTGAAGACTTGGTGACCCCAAGATGTAACCAACTTCTTCAATTCTCCAACTATGATCTTAGGAGATTGTTTTGCCACTTGAACCATCTTTCTCACTGTGCGTGGGGGCAAAATACACTTGCGTCCTCTTCCAGGCATGTTCATCACAGCTCCAGTTATTTTACATTTCTTAATTATTGCCTTAACAGTGGAGACAACAGGCATTTAGCTATCTATTTTATAGCCATTGCCTGATTTGTGAAGGCCAACATCCTTTTGTCTTATTTCATTTATCTGTTTTCTGGCCTTTCCCACACTGATGGATGACTAAGGGAGTTTAGCCTGTGTGTCACTTCATATTTATACCCCAGTGAAACAGGAAGTCATTGAGCACTTAAGAGTTCCCAAAGACTCAGATGAACTTTAAAAAATAAAATCTTAATCGGAATATATATAAATTAGATTTTGTTCATAAGAATTTCTTGGGCTGCCAACAACTGTGACACACATGTTTTTGAATAAAATAATAATTTCAATATTTTTTTCTCTGAACAATTTTAACTCAATTATAGGTTAGAATCATATGAACAAACATTTAACATTTTCACATCTTTTTTGTTTATATTTACAATTCAGTTAAAGCTGCAGTCTGCAATTCGTTTACAAACAAACGTCGTCAAATGAAGCAATTTTATTTTGTACTAGTAGCGTACAGCCTGGGTTGTCGACAGTAGTGTAGTGGAAGTAAACACACTTATTTTGAGTGGCCGTTTACCCACGAATCGCGGAAAAATGCATTGAAAATATAGGGCGCGTTACTCACCCCAAAGTGGGCATTTACCCACCTATTTTAATTTACACCTACATCACTGATTGTCGAGAGATAAAGTACCAAGTTCGCTACAAAGTCTAGGAAACCCACCCCTGATCTGTTCAAGCATAAAAATTAAAAAACGTCCAAAATCTAACTATTGCTTTTTGTGTTGTTGTTAACCAAATCAAATGTGATAAACAAAAACATGAATTGCTAAAACTTCACTGTAACATTAGGCCAATAGCATAACTATAATGCAAATACTCCAATCAATGTTATCAATGCTAAATACTCCATTCATAACTTTCTCACCTTTTTCAATGTAGTTGACTGCTTCCTTTCTGCGTTCTAATCCCACCTTATCCCACTGTTTGGTCTTGTCCAGGTAATGTGTGGCGATGAGAGGTAAAGTCATGCGTATCATGTTCTGCTCCCCACAGCCACCTGGTTGGCGAAGGAGGTCGCCCAGGGGTGAACCACTGATGGCAGCCTCTATCGTCTGGGCCAACTGCTCACCTAAAAAGATGCAGATAGTAAAACATAATAATATCTGCAGACAGTAAAATATAATAAATGCAGACATTAAAACATTATAAATACAGACAATTAAACATAATAATAACTGGAATATGACTTACTCAATGGTCAGTGACAACATGACAAAGATATTTTCATAGCAGAAATGATAAAGAATACCATGGAGCAATAGACCTACACTACAACAGCATTATTACGGATCTCGACTTATCCCTACACTACACTCTTAGAAAAAAGGTGCTATCTAGAACCTAAAAGGGTTCTTCGGCTGTCCTCATAGAATAACCCTTTTGGTTACAGGTTAGAACCCTTTCCCCAGAGGCTGAAGAACCCATTTTCTAAGAGTGTAAGCTTCCGAAGCTCCACAAAATGTTTTATTCTATAGACCTACTGATGATCTTAATAGCCATGGCAGATACATTTGCCACTCTGTGGTCATCTAGCTTTGTGAATCCAGACGAGACTAGTGAGCCTAGGGCAACTCTAGCTTATTCAAGTAATGTTGTTAACACGTATTCACAGTACATTTCTAAATGGTCCATGTGTGTGTCAGATCATGCTGTCTCACCTGTCACACTTATGTGTGTTCTGGCAGGTGTATTTGGAACCTGGTTAGTCAGTGCACCATTCCTAACACGCACAGTATCAGTCCCCCCTTTTAACCGGAGAGAGACAGAGACAAAGACAGAGAGAGAGACAGAGAGAGAGAGAGAGAGAGAGAGAGAGCGTGAGAGTGAGAGTGAGAGAGAGAGAGAGAGAGAGCAAACAATGTAAACAGTTGTTACGAGTTTTTCCATTCAGTCTCACCTACAGGTAGAGCCATACAATTTGACTTGCATATTAAGAGAGGAAATTGTATATTATCAACCATCATGATACTCATCAGTGCAACGAATGGCAACATTGTCACTGGAACTATAGATGATCTACATCTGTATATGCTACACTTACCATGTCTTGCGGGATCCAGTTCCACATTCTTCACCAGAAGCCTTGTCAGCACCCCTTCGGCCTGTCATTGTTAGAATGAAAACACTGTAATTTGCTCTTATGCTTATTTATCAACTCAACATACATGTTTTTTGCTTGAATTACAACAATTCACCTGGTGGCCTAGGTTATCCAAATAGGGGCGATAAAGTATTTACTTGAACAACAAATAGGCCTACGTCTTATGGGAATAGTCTGGAATCATAGTAAAATAGCTGGGCTTTCCAGTTACCAAAGATTCATGGTTCAAGAACCGCCACATTACTTTGGTATCAAAAATGAGGACAATGGTCTCATGGACCATCAGATGTTAGTACAAGGAGTCCCATTGGGTATATTTTACATTAAAGAAGAGCTTACTGTATTTGCTGACAGGTTTTGACGCACCAGTACAACGCCAGACGAGCCAAATAGTCAACCTCTTCGAAAAGCACCTTGCACCAGCTGAAATCTCCCTTCTTAATCAAGATTCATATTTTGTTACAAAACACCTATTATTGACTTTAACATTTCTATTGACCAGAAAATGTTCAGCACTACCAGAGTATGTGTTTTTTACCCTCACAAGTGTTACCCAATCCACCTGTCTTGAAGAGATGCAGTTCAAACCCATTAATACCTTGTGGAAGACGAGGTAAAAGTCTGGTGTGAGCAGAATAAACAAAACAAAAACAAAAAATCTGAGCCAATAGGAGTGCCTGAAAAAACTACAGTCTGATCCTACCCTCAATATTTTCATCAAGTGGACCAGGGTGGGCGACAGTGATTATGGATACTGGCAGTGCTGACGCGCCACTACAGTCTGGGGTTCCATCCCAGGCTGTGTCACAGCCCGCCGGGGACTCCATAGGGCAGCACACAATTGGCCCAGTGCCGTCCAGGTTAGGGGAGGGTTTGTCCGGAGGGCTTTCCTTGGCTCATCGCGCTCTAGCGTCTCCTTGTGGTGGGCCAGGCGCCTGCAAGCTGACATCGGTTGTGAGTTGAATGGTGCGGCTGGCTTCCGGGTTAAGCGAGCAGTGTGTTATGATGCAGCACGGCTTGGCGGTTCATGTTTCAGAGGACGCATGACTCGACCTTCGCCTCTCCCGAGCCCGTTGGGAGTTGCAGCGATGAGACAAGATCGTAACTACCAATTGGATATCACGAAAAAGGGGTCAAAGGAGACATTGGTGGAAGCGTTAAATCACTGAGGAGAAAATGAGAGTATTCCTGTATGTCCAACATCCCCCTCTTCTACACGTAACTGAAGATCCACAAGGGCCTGGACAGGCAGACCCATTGTGTTTGATATTGGGAGCTTTCTACTCTGCCATCTTATCATAAAGACAGGTAACTTCAAGGTACCAGAACATCTTGATTTAAGAACTGATACCAGTCTACCTTCCTCTTTTCCTGCAACACTAATTATTTTAAGTTTGACGCCCTCTTACAGTGTAGTTCGACTGAAGGTTACATGGATGGCACCAAATATTGCCAACCTGCACCTCGGATAGGTTGGGAAAGGTCACATTCTTAATGAGTCAAAACCTTGTTTCAATAACTTAGTCATTTGAAAACGGCTACATTGACTACAGGATGTTTCTGTGAAGGGCAAGGGCCTCTTCCCTATGTTGGCCCAGAGAACCCCACTTATTGGTTACAATTGGATTATAATTTTTTTATGTGGCACCTCATCTCAAATTGGTTGAGCGCCTTCTACTCTTCTCCAGGTTTTACCTATTAGCATAACGGTAAGATGGCTGCCCTTATTTTTCAAGGACTGGGATTTCAGACTCAATCAATCAGATTCACACTGATCGACACATGTTCATATATAAATTCCATATCATCCTCAGGGTAGATACTAGATTCATCTGTCAAGAAGCGATGGTTTGCCTTACCACCACACGTAGCTCCTTCTTAACACCGTCTTGACTATCCGAACCTCGGACGGAGGCCTTCACCTCGATGGTATGGAGGCCCAGCTTCATGGGGATGATGACAAAGGGGACACTTCGTGTGGACCTGGCGTCCACCATAACAGTAACAATATACTTCCCTTTCTTGCTGGCAGAGCTGCAAACGTCTGATGTCTTCCTCAGTTCTACACGGACCTGCCATTAAGGTGGAGAGGGTGTAGTCACATCACCGTGCATCTAATCTGATAAATACCACACTGAATGGTATAATAATAATAATAATAATAATAATAATAATAATAATCAGGCACAGAAGGGGTCATACTGATTTTAGAATGAAATATTTGGGCAATCTAGCCATTTACTCTGTATACCTGCATCTGCAGGTTCAACTCAAGACGGTCTGGGTTGCGTGCCTGCTTTTAAATTACAATAAGTTTACCGTTATAGTGTCCTCCCTGTAGTTGTGAAGAATGGCTTTGATTTCCAGCTGCTCATTGCGTACGGCAGAGTAGGGCAGCTTCAGATCAAGGAAGAACTTCTTCCAAACAGTCAGCGGAAAGGGTTCAGACACACAGATTCCTATTGAGCAAGAGCAAGAGTTGCCATAAGATGTAGAAAGAGTAGGCATCAACATAGAAAGAGGGGCACAAATAAGTGACAGTACCATGTGTTTTGGACAGGCCAATGGCAGTGATCTGCCAGGTGGTGATGGATTCCGGTAAGTTTATATTTTTCTGTTTAGCACTAAATGGTAAAAAGAGAAAGAAAATAGGTAGGATTTTTTTTACAAGGGAAAAGGGATATGCATAAGAAGGCATTTTACTGTAGTGCATTGAACGATCTCACTAAATACTGATCTTACCACTGCTTTTTGTTAGGACACTGTGGCAGACTCTCCTCATTCCATAGCCAACTCTCAGGGAAGAAGGAACGGGAAATGATGTTGTAAAAACTTTCAAAATCGTCATCGTTATCCTCACCTTACCAAGAGTGACAAAAAGTCAGACAGTTCACATCACTGTGAATGTATTTCTCTTTTACATAGAAGGGAATACCAGAATATTTTATACATTCACACTGGTTTTGTTTATCACACTGGATTTCCATAGTGTTCCAGTCCACTACAGTTGTTTTACTTACTGCGGGCTAATATGAGCTGGTCAGTCCTGGTCTCTTCGCGTTTGGTGGCCATTTCTCTACAACATTTCAGGAAGGCTTCCACACACTCTGTTCCATCGCTGATGTATTGGGCACGCCGCTCGCAAGTGTAATCTAGAATGTTCTTCCTTATACCGTCCATGCAGCACTGTCTCTCCATGCCTGTGTACTGGCTCGCTAGGACAGAGAGAAGTGCATTGTCAGTGGGATGGCAGAGTGATCTGCAAAAGCTTTGGGGAAACCCATTGCTGAGAGTTAAAGGAATTTTAAATGAATACAATTCAATGAATAAAAATACGAACATCTGAACATCATTTGAAGTTTGTTTAGTGGCCAATCTGGACAGCGGTCTTCCTATTTCACAATTGGTTCTCATTCCCAGAGGTTGAAAACATAAACAATAAAACACTATTTGACATCCTTGCAACATATGTCTATTTGGTAAGAAAGTAGTACTAAGTTCTACTAATAAATACATATGTACATGCGTACATAGATACATACAGTACATAGTTAAAACAAAAACATCCAGTTTTATGATCAGGCATCGAAAGCAGAGAAACTCTTGTCCTACCCAGTGTGGTTACGACATCATTTATAGTCACTGCTCGTCGTCTCCTTGAGTTGACAGGGCAGCCGGAGACTAAAGCACACGAAGAACAAGACTGATTTCAATGCACAAAACATACCTGGAAAACTTGGCAAGACAATATTAAGGACAAATGTATTAGGCCTACATCAACCAAACTCAGATACAATGGTGAAGTGATATATGATACATCAGCTGATAACCTGCTGAAATGTGATATTGTAATCTGCCAATAGTGTATTTTTTAACTTAAGTAATAATAACAATTATAATAATAATACATAGGATTATATAGCGCTTTGCAAAGAACCAAAGTCGCTTTACAATTGTAGAAATGAAAAAAAAAAACAGTAATCAAAACAAAACAAAGCCAGACTAAACAAAAGCATGAAACAAAGTAAAGGGAGGGCTCAACGAAGGGAAAGAGAGTGATGTATCAGTGTACGAATGAGTGAGCAGGTGTTGTGTGTGTCCGAAAACAAACGCTTAGTAGTCCTTGGTATCTTTTTGCTATGTGTCAGAACCGGCTGATGTGGATGTGGTGGAGGAGTCACACGCAGGACACAGAAGCTAAGTCAAACCGACTTTACTGCACAGGAGGAGCAGCCTCGTCCGAAACCGTGACACTATGTTGTAAGACTTTTACAAAATGTCTAGAAATGCTAACAACTCTGCGTGGCCAACCAAGGTATCAACCCTTATGAGGTCAGAAGTAGAATTAAGCTGACTGCCTGTGGTTTTGGGAGACACACAACATCCAATTTTCGGCCAACACATCTTTTGCACACATTCAGATCAGGTTAAAGAGATTGTCAATTTGTCAATGTTCAGATTAACTCAAGGATACCATTTTTATGTCTCTGCGTGCAGTTTGAAGGAAATTGCTAGCATTGATCAATGAGATTACAACCTATATTCACCCACTCAAAAAAACAGCCGACAGTTATTGAATTTCTAATGTGTTATCACTATGCTTTCAAACATCTAAAAGCAAAATTCCAATGGAAAAACAATGTCCGATTTTTGGTTTAGTTGTCACCCAAATGTCTATCACTGCGCTTTCAACCATTTAAAAACATAGCAAAGTTCAAATGGGAATACAATGTCAGATATTTTGTTTATTTATACAACAGATTAATGCGTTATCACTGTGCTTCATCTAATAGCAGAACCAAATCACCTGGATTGCAGTTGAGATTACTAGGGCTCCCGAGTGGCGCAGCAGTCTAAGGCACTGCATTTTAGTGCTAGAGGCGTCACTACAGACCCTGGTTCGATTCCAGACTGTATCACAATTTGGCCGTGATTGGGAGTCCCATAGGGCGGTGCATAATTGGCCCAGTGTCGCCGGGGTAGGCCGTCATTGAAAATAAGAATTTGTTCTTAACTGACTTGCCTAGTTAAATAAAGGTTAAAAGTACATGGTCCAAATGATTATTGCTGTTTGAGATTCTGCGCAGATTATTACAGCAATGTGAAGATCTCCACAGAGCTGCGACGACCTATGCATGCTATCTTGAACATGCATGCTTTATATGATTACATAAGAAGACATTTATAGTTACAGTAACCTCAATATGTGGCCATGGATGTGTTACTCATTTTAAGGTTGAATGTTACATTAGTTTGTAAAATAGCCTTACCTTTAGACAATTTACGGTCTCCATCCCAAACAAAAATCTAAATGAAAGAATAGGACTAAATCAAATCAAACTTAATTTGCACTTTAAATAAAGTTTGATTTGATTTAGTCCTATTCTTCATCTTTGATTTTTGGTTGAGAAGGAGGCGTGAATCCAATATATATATTATTAATTTGTAGACAAACTGGAATTAAAGACAGACTAAGTCAGTGGCAAAGATGGAACTACCAAGCAGAAGATACAGCGTTGACCACCAAACATAATTCAATATCAATAAATATAATTAATTTTGAAATCAACCAGAGCTTGAAACCCTAGTCCTACAATATGTATTGTCTATTTAAGCAATAAGGCCTGAGGGGGTGTGGTATATAGCCAATATCCAAGGCTAAGGGCTGTTCTTAAGCACGACGCAACGCGGAGTGCTTGGATACAGCCCTTAGCCATGGTATATTGGCCATATACCACAAACCCCTGAGGTGCCTTATTGCTATTATAAACTGGTTACCAACATAATTAGAGCAGTAAAAATACATGTTTTGTCATACTCGTGGTATACGGTCTGATATACCATTGCTGTCAGTCAATCAGCATTCAGGGCTCGAACGACCCAGTTTATAATTGTTGTTAAATCCTGTGTTGAATTGAAACAATAGCTGTTGATGACTTTGCAAATTCATGATACAGTGCATTCAGAAAGTATTCAGACCCCTTGACTTTTTCCACATTTTGTTAATTCCTTCGACCTAATGGCTTGGTTTTTGCTCTGACATGCACTGTGAACTGTGGGACCTTATATAGACAGGTCAGTTGTGTGCCTTTCCAAATCATGTTCAATCAATTACATTTACCACAGGTGGATTCCAATCAAGTTGTAGAAACATCTCAAGGATGATCAATGGAAACAGGATGCACCTGAGATACATTTCGGGTCTCATAGCAAATAGTCTGAATACTTATGTAAATAAGGTATTTCTGTATTTTATTTTTTATTAATTTGCAAACATTTCTAAACACATGTTTTCACTTTGTCATTATGGGGTATTGTGTGTGTCAATTTTAGAATAAGGCTGTAACATAACAAAATGCACTGTATATGAGTGATAAAGTATGGTCACATTTCATTTGCTCTGTTAAAACTACCCATTGGAATGACTTCGATAGCAAAAGTGAATCTATTTCGTTTTTAAGTGGAGCTCTTACAACAATCATTCTCATGATAGCACATTAGTAATAATTGGGCTCCCGAGTGGCGGAGCGGTCTAATGTGCTAGCGGCGCACAATTGGCCCAGCGTCGTCCGGGTTAGGGGAGGGTTTTGCCGGGGTAGGCCGTCATTGTAAATAAGAATTTGTTCTTAACTGACTTGCCTAGTTATATAAAAATAAAATACATAGTAATATTAAGTGACACATATCATAGCTAAGCAGGGCTTGGTTAAAACCCTAGATGGGAGACCAAAGGGTAGCTGTTGATAGATCAAGTCTCCAGTTGGAGGTGCTGCCCAGCCTATAGTTTTTTTTTCTGATACTGGATATAACGTTGAAGATCTGACGTTGTTTTAAAGGTACAAATTCAAAGGTTTGTCTATGTTGAAATTTGGTCACCATGATGACATAATCCTGTGGTTGAAATTTCACCCTCAAAACAACAGTTTACGTTGATTACTTTTTTCAAATCCAATGTATTTTCCACATAGATTCAACATTACAATATGTTGACAAATGATGTTGAAACAACATTGATTCAACCAGTTTGTGCTCAGTTGGTAGTGACGCATTGCTTCTATCAAACCAATAAAGTATTTTGAATAGGTGCAGTTCCAAAGAGACATTGAGTTTTAAAAAATACCTCTGACTTGCAACAAGCTAGAATGCATAAGATACAAAACAAATGCCGCATAGGCTACCATAACAGAGACACGGACAAAACAAGGAAAAAAGCGAAATACAAGGAAATGCCTCTACATTTACATTTTAGTCATTTAGCAGACGCTCTTATCCAGAGCGACTTACAGTTAGTGAATAAATATATTTTTATACTGGCCCCCCGTGGGAATCGAACCCACAACCCTGGCGTTGCAAACGCCATGCTCTATCAACTGAGCTACATCCCTGCCGGCCATTCCCTCCCCTACCCTGGACGACGCTGGGCCAATTGTGTTCGCCTACTAAGGCAATAAAATCAGAGCGCTGAATGCAATTGACTCCGACCGTTCCCATTCAAACTAGAAATCCAAATGTGAAGTTCGCCTGACTTCCAATAGTCAAGTGAACGAGAAAGGATTTTGGAAGGCTGGCCACACAAGACCAGGCAGGCCTGAATGTGTATTGCAGCTTTTATGTAGAGGCCTTATGCTTCACATACCTGTCCTCTGAGGGGTGCCCCCTGCAGTGTTGGATGCAAACACCAGCCCAGCATCGTAGAAAACCCCCATACTGTCCTTTCCACTCCCTGCAGTGCAGCCTGTGTCATGTTTCTCTATTATGTCCCAGATCTAAGGATGGATTCATGTACATACCCATGCCATGTACACACACACACACACACACACACACACACACACACACACACACACACACACACATTTTACTATCCTTGTATGGACAAAACAATTGATTCCCATTCAAAATCCTATTTTCCCTAATCACTAACCCAACCCTAACCCTAACCTTAACGCTAAACCTAAACCTCTAACCCTAATTCTAACCCTAACCCCTAAGCCTAAAATAACCTTTTCCGTGTGGGGACCTGCGAAATGTCCCCACTTTCCTATTTTACTATCCTTGTGAGGACTTCTGGTCCGCACAAGGATAGTAAAACCAAAAACACACATACACACAAATCAGCTAAGTCCCAAAACATTCGCAAGTGTTGGTGGGCAAGGAGGGTGCTATCTTCTGTTTTGTCCAAATTTATTTAAGTCTAAGAGGACATAGTACGAACGGAAATGTTGCATCTATCAAAAACCCATTTAGCATATTGTTTTTATTTGAAAGATTCTCCAAGCTGAATTTCATCATACATTAATTTGATTTATCAAGCCAACCAGTTTCCCAAGTACAATTTTGTTAAATACAGTGCATTTGGAAAGTTTTCAGACCCCTTCCCTTTTTCCACATTTTGTTACGTTACAGGTTTGCACACACTGCAGCAGGGATTTTGGCCCACTCCTCCATACAGACCTTCTCCAGATCCTTCAGGTTTCGGGGCTGTCGCTGGGCAATACGGACTGTCAGCTCCCTCCAAATATTTTCTATTGGGTTCAGGTCTGGAGACTGGCTAGGCCACTCCAGGACCTTGAGATGCTTCTTATGGAGCCACTCCTTAGTTGCCCTGGCTGTGTGTTTCAGGTCGTTGTCATGCTGGAAGACCCAGCCACGACCCATCTTCAATGCTCTTACTGAGGGAAGGAGGTTGTTGGCCAAGATCTCATGATACATGGCCCCATCCATCCTCCCCTCAATACGGTGCAGTCGTCCTGTCCCCTTTGCAGAAAAGCATCCCCAAAGAATGATGTTTCCACCTCCATGCTTCATGGTTGGGATGGTGTTCTTGGGGTTGTACTCATCCTTCTTCTTCCTCCAAACACGGCGAGTGGAGTTTAGACCAAAAAGCTCTATATTTGTCTCATCAGACCACATGACCTTCTCCCATTCCTCCTCTGGATCATCCAGATGGTCATTGGCAAACTTCAGACGGGCCTGGACATGCGCTGGCTTGAGCAGGGGGACCTTGCGTGCGCTGCAGGATTTTAATCCATGACGGCGTAGTGTGTTACTAATGGTTTTCTTTGAGACTGTGGTCCCAGCTCTCTTCAGGTCATTGACCAGGTCCTGCCGTGTAGTTCTGGGCTGATCCCTCACCTTCCTCATGATCATTGATGCCCCACAAGGTGAGATCTTGCATGGAGCCCCAGACCGAGGGTGATTGACCGTCATCTTTAACTTCTTCCATTTTCTAATAATTGCGCCAACAGTTGTTGCCTTCTCACCAAGCTGCTTGCCTATTGTCCTGTAGCTCATCCCAGACTTTTGCAGGTCTACAATTGTATCCCTGATGTCCTTACACAGCTCTCTGGTCTTGGCCATTGTGGAGAGGTTGGAGTCTGTTTGATTGAGTGTGTGGACAGGTGTCTTTTATACAGGTAACGAGTTCAAACAGGTGCAGTTAATACAGGTAATGAGTGGAGAACAGGAGGGCTTCTTAAAGAAAAACGAACAGGTCTGTGAGAGCCGGAATTCTTACTGATTGGTAGGTGATCAAATACTTATGTCATGCAATAAAATGCAAATTCATTACTTAAAAATCATACAATGTGATTTTCTGGATTTTCTCTCACAGTTGAAGTGTACCTATGATAAAAATTACAGACCTCTACATGCTTTGTAAGTAGGAAAACCTGCAAAATCGGTAGTGTATCAAATACTTGTTCTCCTCACTGTATATAAAAAAAAAACATACATCACTATTCAGACCCTTTGCTATAATACTTGAAATGGAGCTCAGGTGCATCCTGTTTCCATTTATCATCCTTGAGATGTTGAGATATCCACCTGTGGTAAATTCACTTGATTGAACATGATTTGGAAAGGCACACACCTGTCTATATAAGGTTCCACAGGATCGAGGGAAAGATGAACGGAGCAAACTACAGAGAGATCCTTGATGTAAACCTGCTCCAGAGCGCTCAGGACTTCAGACTGGGGCGAAGGTTCACCTTCCAACAGGACAACGACCCTACGCACACAGCCAAGACAATGCAGGAGTGGCTTCGGGACAAGTCTCTGAAAGTCCTTGAGTGGCCCAGCCAGAGCCCGGACTTGAACCCGATCGAAGGAGAGACCTGAAAATAGCTGTGCAGCGACGCTCCCCATCCAACCTGACAGAGCTTGAGAGGATCTGCAGAGAAGAATGGGAGAAACTCCCCAAATACAGGTGTGCCAAGCTTGCAGTGTCATACCTAACAATACTTGAGCCTGTAATCGCTGCCAAAGATGCTTCAACAAAGTACTGAGTAAAGGGTCTGAATACTTATTTAAATGTGATATTTCCGTTTTTTTATATATATGTAAATATGCCCAAAATTCTAAAAACCTGTTTTTGCTTTGTCATTATGGGGTATTGTGTGTAGATTGATGAGGGAAAAAAACTATTTAATCCATGTTAGAATAACGCTGTATCGTAGAAAAATGTGGAAAAAGTCAAGGGGTCTGAATACTTTCTGAATGCACTGTACCCACATGGGAATTCTTTTTTTAAATGCATTTTAAAAAGCACGTCACTTTTTTTATACCCACATGAAATACATTCCGTGGGGTCTGAAATAATTGACACCATTGATAAAGATCAGCAATAATGACTGTATAAAATAATAAATCAACTAATGTATACTAAACATTTGACTATTTTATTTATAAGAATCTTTAGGGGTGTCAATACTTTTGACCCCTACCTTATTTTTATTAGTTGTTAAACAAAATCTCTTTCTCTGAGCAATTGTATTAGTATAAAATAATATAATTTCCCAATTTTTTGGGACACGCAATATACAGTGGGGGAAAAAAGTATTTAGTCAGCCACCAATTGTGCAAGTTCTCCCACTTAAAAAGATGAGAGAGGCCTGTAATTTTTATCATAGGTACACGTCAACTATAACAGACAAAATGAGATTGGGATTTTTTATGAATTTATTTGCAAATTATGGTGGAAAATAAGTATTTGGTCAATAACAAAAGTTTCTCAATACTTTGTTATATACCCTTTGTTGGCAATGACACAGGTCAAACGTTTTCTGTAAGTCTTCACAAGGTTTTCACACACTGTTGCTGGTATTTTGGCCCATTCCTCCATGCAGATCTCCTCTAGAGCAGTGATGTTTTGGGGCTGTCGCTGGGCAACACAGACTTTCAACTCCCTCCAAAGATTTTCTATGGGGTTGAGATCTGGAGACTGGCTAGGCCACTCCAGGACCTTGAAATGCTTCTTACGAAGCCACTCCTTCGTTGCCCGGGCGGTGTGTTTGGGATCATTGTCATGCTGAAAGACCCAGCCACGTTTCATCTTCAATGCCCTTGCTGATGGAAGGAGGTTTTCACTCAAAATCTCACGATACATGGCCCCATTCATTCTTTCCTTTACACGGATCAGTCGTCCTGGTCCCTTTGCAGAAAAACAGCCCCAAAGCATGATGTTTCCACCCCCATGCTTCACAGTAGGTATGGTGTTCTTTGGATGCAACTCAGCATTCTTTGTCCTCCAAACACGACGAGTTGAGTTTTTACCAAAAAGTTATATTTTGGTTTCATCTGACCATATGACATTCTCCCAATCCTCTTCTGGATCATCCAAATGCACTCTAGCAAACTTCAGACGGGCCTGGACATGTACTGGCTTAAGCAGGGGGACACGTCTGGCACTGCAGGATTTGAGTCCCTGGCGGCGTAGTGTGTTACTGATGGTAGGCTTTGTTACTTTGGTCCCAGCTCTCTGCAGGTCATTCACTAGGTCCCCCCGTGTGTTTCTGTGATTTTTGCTCACCGTTCTTGTGATCATTTTGACCCCACGAGGTGAGATCTTGCGTGGAGCCCCAGATCGAGGGAGATTATCAGTGGTCTTGTATGTCTTCCATTTCTAATAATTGCTCCCACAGTTGATTTCTTCAAACCAAGCTGCTTACCTATTGCAGATTCAGTCTTCCCAGCCTGATGCAGGTCTACAATTTTGTTTCTGGTGTCCTTTGACAGCTCTTTGGTCTTGGCCATAGTGGAGTTTGGAGTGTGACTGTTTGAGGTTGTGGACAGGTGTCTTTTATACTGATAACAAGTTCAAACAGGTGCCATTAATACAGGTAACGAGTGGAGGACAGAGGAGCCTCTTAAAGAAGAAGTTACAGGTCTATGAGAGCCAGAAATCTTGCTTGTTTGTAGGTGACCAAATACTTATTTTCCACCATAATTTGAAAATAAATTCATAAAAAATCCTACAATGTGATTTTCTGGAGAAAAAAATGCTCAATTTGTCTGTCATAGTTGACGTGTACCTATGATGAAAATTACAGGCCTCTCTCATCTTTTTAAGTGGGAGAACTTGCACAATTGGTGGCTGACTAAATACTTTTTTCCCCCACTGTAGCTCAGTATTTCTTTTATACAGTCATTATTACACATCTTTTTCACGCGTGTCAATAATGTCGGACTCACTGTAGGTATGGACTAACATCAATAAAAAAACAATTATGCACAATTTAGATGATAATATTAATTAGGTGGCAGAAGTAGGGAATGTTTAGTCTACAGATCTTCACCTTAGTCTGAGTAAGTCGGCTTTTGTCATTCAGGATGTAGACCCCCTTATCCACGGCCACAAGTCCCACCATGGCCTCTGGATCACCAATGATAGACAGGGTGACTATTTCCCCAGGTGCATAACTAGCACTGGGTCTGACAGCCTCCACATTTAGCTGTGGGACACAGACGGAGGTAATGTTTGAGAAGTCTTGAATGCAATACCTCACATAGAAATACTAACACAGTAAGGCAACAGTTTTAAGAGGGGGAGACAGGCAAATGGGTATAACAGTAGAAAGGGTGGACACGGGAATTGAACCCCGATCTCCAGTGGAGAGTGGACGATGTGACTAGAGCCGAGTGTTACCACTAGACGATGGGCTCTGCACAGTAAGGCAACATTCTTACCGATCCCATGCACGTGTCCTTGACGTCGACCCATACAGAGTCAGACACAACCTCTGTCTGGCCCACGTGGTAATACGCCACGACACGGAAGGAGGGGATCATATCCTTGTTCACCGTCAGTGTCTCTGACATCAGATTATTTCCCTTCTTCCACTCTAACTTTTTGGAGTAAATGAGCTGTCCTTTGCTCAAGATCTGTGAACACAGAGACCGGTAATTGTCAGTATTCATCCCTACGGGGACGACAAACTGGCTCTAACTGGAAAAGAGTGCCAGCCAGTGATTGGTGGAGTCAGAGAGTTCCAGGTTTAAGTAAGGATCAAGACCCAGGGTTATTGTTCCTTGCTCAAAGCGGCACCTCTGCACTTTTAAGTTTTTCAACAAAAAAAATATATATATATATACAGTGGGGAGAACAAGTTTTTGATACACTGCCGATTTTGCAGGTTTTCCTACTTACAAAGCATGTAGAGGTCTGTAATTTTTATCATAGGTACACTTCAACTGTGAGAGACAGAATCTAAAACCAAAATCCAGAAAATCACATTGTATGATTTTTAAGTAATGAATTTGCATTTTATTGCATGACATAAGTATTTGATACATCAGAAAAGCAGATCTTAATATTTTGTACAGAAACCTTTGTTTGCAATTACAGAGATCATATGTTTCCTGTAGGTCTTGACCAGGTTTGCACACACTGCAGCAGGGATTTTGGCCCACTCCTCCATACAGACCTTCTCCAGATCCTTCAGGTTTCGGGGCTGTCGCTGGGCAATACGGACTTTCAGCTCCCTCCAAAGATTTTCTATTGGGTTCAGGTCTGGAGACTGGATAGGCCACTCCAGGACCTTGTGATGCTTCTTACAAAGCCACTCCTTAGTTTCCCTGGCTGTGTGTTTCGGGTCGTTGTCATGCTGGAAGACCCAGCCACGACCCATCTTCAATGCTCTTAATGAGGGAAGGAGGTTTTTGGCCAAGATCTCGCGATATATGGCCCCATCCATCCTCCCCTCAATACGGTGCAGTCGTCCTGTCCCCTTTGCAGAAAAGTATCCCCAAAGAATGATGTTTCCACCTCCATGCTTCACGGTTGGGATGGGGTTCTTGGGGTTGTACTCATCCTTCTTCTTCCTCCAAACACGGCGAAAGGAGTTTAGACCAAAAAGCTAAATTTTTATCTCATCAGACCACATTACCTTCTCCCATTCCTCCTCTGGATCATCCAGATGGTCATTGCAAACTTCAGACGGGCCTGGACATGCGCTGGCTTGAGCAGGGGGACCTTGCGTGTGCTGCAGGATTTTAATCCATGATGGCGTAGTGTGTTACTAATGGTTTTCTTTGAGACTGTGGTCCCAGCTCTCTTCAGGTCATTGACCAGGTCCTGCCGTGTAGTTCTGGGCTGATCCCTCACCTTCCTCATGATCATTGATGCCCCACGAGGTGAGATCTTGCATGGAGCCCCAGACCGAGGGTGATTGACCGTCATCTTGAACTTCTTCCATTTTCTAATAATTGCGCCAACAGTTGTTGCCTTCTCACCAAGCTGCTTGCCTATTGTCCTGTAGCCCATCCCAGCCTTGTGCAGGTCTACAATTTTATCCCTGATGTCCTTACACAGCTCTCTGGTCTTGGCCATTGTGGATAGGTTGGAGTCTGTTTGATTGAGTGTGTGGACAGGTGTCTTTTATACAGGTAACGAGTTCAAACAGGTGCAGTTAATACAGGTAATGAGTGGAGAACAGGAGGGCTTCTTAAAGAAAAACTAACAGGTCTGTGAGAGCCGGAATTCTTACTGGTTGGTAGGTGATCAAATACTTATGTCATGCAATAAAATGCAAATTGATTACTTAAAAATCATACAATGTGATTTTCTGGATTTTTGTTTTAGATTCCGTCTCTCACAGTTGAAGTGTACCTATGATAAAAATTACAGACATGTACATGCTTTGTAAGTAGGAAAACCTGCAAAATCGGCAGTGTATCAAATACTTGTTCTCCCCACTGTATATATTTTTTTACATACCACACTCGAGTAAAATACATACACACCATGCATAATTTTTGCCCTGTAATGTTGCCAACCAATGCACCCCAGCTAGGTCAAATGCACAAGTCTAAGTGATTAAAGTTGACTGGTACACACCAGGTAGGTTATTTCATGTTTGTCATTTTGGATCATATGTCTGTTGCCGAGGCTTAGGTCTACTTTGAGTTTATCTTCGATTTTGACCTCTGCAGAATGGATGTTTATGTGAATGTAGTTTTTTGAGTTGTCTTTTGTTTGATAGGGCTTGGCAGTCATGTTCTGTTCATCCTGCCTGTCATCTCCAAGTCCATTGACGTTGGTTTTCACCTGTGTTGAAATGGAGCAACAAAATGAATGACTACAAGGCTTCAACACTGTTCTTGACACAATTAAAAACCAAGTTTTGGTTTTGAACTTGCCTTGATTGACAGCTCAGCAGTGCCCGCCTCCGTGTTAATGGTCATTCTGGCAATACCATTGTCATTGGTCTTCTCCTGCTCTTTTTTGTCGTTGTGTAAAATCTCCACATCGATATCTTTGGCTGGAGAATCATCTGGATTGGTCACATACACCTAATGGTACAAATGGAAAGAGGTACAATTAGACCAATAGGTGGGAAAGACAGTGCAATCCCAATATACCATCCTACCCCTTGACCACAGTTAGCTGGTTGGTTTCCATGTTTAAAAGAACTGGGCAACACTTTGGATTAGCATAGTAATTGAGTTAATGTAGAATGTAGAACACTGTGATTGAATGTTCTTAAACGTACCGAGACATCATACGGCATTCCTGGTTTGAAGTACGGTGGGGTCTTCTTGAAGTGAATTTTATACGGTGACTTGACTATGCGGATTCCACTTTTCTCTGCTTTTACCATCTCACTACCTGAGGGATAAAACCAACACCTTCCCTGTTTGAGACTGAACACAAACACACACTTCATAAGATGCAAAAGTATGCGCGTACCACAAACAGACACTACTTACCTGTGTCTGTTAACACATTGACTGATATGTATAGGGAATCCCGCAATAGGTTATTGATGTCTGGAAAAGTTGCTTTAATGTCCTGCATCTTCAGTACCGCGTTGCCAACTCCTTCCATAAGCTGCATTCATAAGAAACAAAGCAAAGATGTCCGTCTGTCAGACTTCTTGTGTTGTTCTAGCTATAAAGCTCATGAAATATAGACTACCCATGGTGAATGTTTGTGAATACCTGTATGTGTACCGAATCATACAAATAAACTCCCTCCCATATTACATGCACAAACCTCCACTCTCCGGAGAGAGCTAGGAAAACTCGTCCTGTCATCTCCTTGGATCACCCCGAACACCACAATACCTGATCCTCTCACAGGCTCCCCAAACAGGTACCTTCAGACCCAAACCATACAGCAATATCAACACAGAGAATTGAAGGGGAGGGGGAAATATAGAGGAGTACTGTAAATGAGATGACATGTTACAGTGGGGAAAAAAAGTATTTAGTCAGCCACCAATTGTGCAAGTTCTCCCACTTAAAAAGATGAGAGAGGCCTGTAATTTTCATCATAGGTACACGTCAACTATAACAGACAAAATGAGAAAAGAAAATCCAGAAAATCACATTGTAGGATTTTTAAATGAATTTATTTGCAAATTATGGTGGAAAATAAGTATTTGGTCAATAACAAAAGTTTCTCAATACTTTGTTATATACCCTTTGTTGGCAATGACACAGGTCAAACGTTTTCTGTAAATCTTCACAAGGTTTTCACAAACTGTTTCTGGTATTTTGGCCCATTCCTCCATGCAGATTTCCTCTAGAGCAGTGATGTTTTGGGGCTGTCGCTGGGCAACACGGACTTTCAACTCCCTCCAAAGATTTTCTATGGGGTTGAGATCTGGAGACTGGCTAGGCCACTCCAGGACCTTGAAATGCTTCTTACGAAGCCACTCCTTCGTTGCCCAGGCGGTGTGTTTGGGATCATTGTCATGCTGAAAGACCCAGCCACGTTTCATCTTCAATGCCCTTGCTGATGGAAGGAGGTTTTCACTCAAAATCTCACGATACATGGCCCCATTCATTCTTTCCTTTACACGGATCAGTCGTCCTGGTCCCTTTGCAGAAAAACAGCCCCAAAGCATGATGTTTCCACCTGGCACTGCAGGATTTGAGTCCCTGGCAGCGTAGTGTGTTACTGATGGTAGGCTTTGTTACTTTGGTCCCAGCTCTCTGCAGGTCATTCACTAGGTCCCCCCGTGTGGTTCTGGGATTTTTGCTCACCGTTCTTGTGATCATTTTGACCCCACGGGGTGAGATCTTGCGTGGAGCCCCAGATCGAGGGAGATTATCAGTGGTCTTGTATGACTTCCATTTCCTAATAATTGCTCCCACAGTTGATTTATTCAAACCAAGCTGCTTACCTATTGCAGATTCAGTCTTCCCAGCCTGGTGCAGGTCTACAATTTTGTTTCTGGTGTCCTTTGACAGCTCTTTGGTCTTGGCCATAGTGGAGTTTGGAGTGTGACTGTTTGAGGTTGTGGACAGGTGTCTTTTATACTGATAACAAGTTCAAACAGGTGCTATTAATACAGGTAACGAGTGGAGGACAGAGGAGCCTCTTAAAGAAGAAGTTACAGGTCTGTGAGAGCCAGAAATGTTGCTTGTTTGTAGGTGACCAAATACTTATTTTCCACCATAATTTGCAAATAAATTCATTAAAAATCCTACAATGTGATTTTCTGGATTTTTTTTCTTCTCAATTTGTCTGTCATAGTTGACGTGTACCTATGATGAAAATTACAGGCCTCTCTCATCTTTTTAAGTGGGAGAACTTGCACAATTGGTGGCTGACTAAATACTTTTTTCCCCCACTGTAAGTAGCAATTCTACCACTAGTTACCATGGAAATAACAACTATAAATATATTTTGATATTCTACAATGGCTCCAACCTGGCATTAATGTTGACCGTTAGCTCATCATCGTCAACGTAGAAGAAGGACTTGCTCACTTCCAATTTGACTTCAAAGCTGGGTAGAACTAGATAGGAAGTTAGTTATGAATTAATATACTGAACATAAATATAGACGCAACATGTAAAGTGTTGGTTTCATGTTTCTTGAGCTGAAATAAAAGATCCTCAACATTTTCCAAAGGCACAAAAAGCTTATTTCTCTCAAATGTTGTGCACAAATTTAGTGAGCATTTCTCCTTTGCCAAGATAATACATCCACCTGACAGGTGTGGCATATCAAGAACCTTGTGCTGGGGACAATAAAAAGTAACTCTAAAATGTGCAGTTTTGTCACACAACAAAATGCCACAGATGTCTCAAGTTTTGAGGGTGCGTTGCACTGCAGGAATGTACACCAGAGCTGTTGCCAGAGAATGTAATGTTCATTTCTCTACGTCATTTTAGAGAATTTGGCAGTACGCCCAACCGGCCTCACAACCGCAGACCACATGTAACCACACCAGCCCAGGACCTCCACATACGGCTTCTTCACCTGCGGGATCGTCTGAGACCAGCCACCCAGACAGCTGATGAAACTGTGGGTTTGCTGAAGAATTTCTGCAAAACTGTCAGAAACCGTCTCAGGGAAAATCATCTGCATGCTCGTCGTCCTCACCAGGGTCCTGAACTGACTGCAGTTCGGCGTCATAACCGACTTCAGTGGGCAAATGCTCCCCTTCGATGGCCACTGGCATGCTGGAGAAGTGTGCTCTTCACTGATTAATCCCCGTTTCAACTGTACCGGGTAGATGACAGACCGCATGTATTGCGTCATGTGGGCGAGCGGTTTTATAGATGGCAATTTGAATGCACAGAGATACGGTGACAAGATCCTGAGGTCCATTGTCGTGCCATTCATCCGCTGCCATCGGCCCCATGTTGCAAGGATCTGTACACAATTTCTGGAAACTGAAAATGTCCCAGTTCTTCCATGGCCTGCATACTCACTACACATGTCACTCGTTGAGCATATTTGGGATGCTCCAGATCGATGTGTATGACAGCATGTTCTAGTTCCCGCCAATATCCAGCAACTTCGCACAGCCATTGAAGAGGAGTGGGACAACACTCCACGGGCCACAATCAACAGCCTGATCAACTCTATGCAAAGGAGATGTGTCGCGCTGCAAATGTTGGTCACACCAGATACTAACTGGTTTTCTCATCCATGCCCCTACCTTTTTGGTCACAGATGCATATCTGCATTCCCAGTCATGTGAAATCCATAGATGAGGGCCTAATGAATTTATTTCAATCGACTGATTTCCTTATATGAATTGTAACTAAGTAAAATATTTTAAATTGTTGCATGTTGCATTTATATATTTTTTCAGTTTATGTAGTTTATATAAGCCCTATTTATTCAGTACAAACACTGTACAAACACTCCAAGTCCTAAACTAGTGAAGCCTGCTCTTAAAGGGCAATTCCACCACTTTTCATCTCATTGAAAATGGCGCATTTCTATGTTTTATAGAAAAAATATATAAACTAAAATGTTCTACCCAATGACATTGTCAGAGATTAAAACATTAAACAAAGAGTGATTTTCAAACATTATGAGATTTGCATTGACGTGGGGAGAAAGAAAATACCCTCCCTCTGGCTAGAAACTCGTTGCAGGTTTTGAAAATCACTGTTTTTCTTACTTTTAATCATACCCTGTGATGTCACAGAGAAGCATTTTATTGGACCTTTCTTCTTATCTTTTTAACCACAGATCATAGAAACGTGCCGTTTTCACATATCTAGACTGGTACAGTATGGTTCTGGAGATAATGAATATGAGGTTGAAAAGTGGCGGAATTGTCCTTTAATAAAAGTCCACCCAAACCAATACCCTTCTTACCATATTCTTTCACCTCGAAATCTGCCGTGAAGTTCTTATGTGGGGTATTCTTGAACTTGGCCACCACTTTCCAGTTTCCAAAGCTATATAAAGAGAGAATGAGAGCAGAAGAGTTCACAGGCAAAAGTTTTCCTGATAAGTGTGTTAGGATGATTGAATAACAAAAACAAACCTGGTGATTTCTGGGACAGCGAAGACTCCAGATTGCATCCCATTAACTGGTTTGTAATCTTTCTGCAGTAAGGTGATTCCATCAGGGGTCTATAAATAAATAATATACATGAAATGTGAAAGACTAACATGGATGGATCACAGATAATGAATCTGTTACTACTCAGGACTGACAGTAGTAAACATGAGTGATGTCAGAAAATACCTATTTTGTCAACTGGCCATATGCATCAACCACTACTAAGGAAGCATTGTCAATGCAGTTTCATTTTTTATGAGGACTACTTACCATAATTTCCACGTTGATGCTATCTGTTACAGGCTCTAGACCGGCGTTTAAGGCGAAGACTCTGTATTTAACTGAAACATATATTACTGAATTAATACACTAAGAATGTAGTTTAAGATGTTAGGTTTATATAGAGTAACACCCTTTTATCTGTGGATTAAGTAGAGAAACACGATTTTGACTCTGGGTCAAAATTCTACAAAGATCTGGCAAAAAAAAGAACCATATGTATTTCAGGTAAAATAGCACCCCAATGTTCATCTCCCAGCTAGCTAGCTAAATGTCCATGAATGTTTCATGTGAGTTTCGACCTGACCCCAAATGAATCAAATTGATTCACATGGGCAGACTGGCCGTCTGGCATTTCCGGCCGGTCTAACTAGTTGTTTTTGCGCTAAATGATCATTATTTGGCTAATATTGGGGGCCCCAAGAAGAAAACATGACCGTGTGGGGGCCTCAAGTAAAAAAAATGGTCCGGGGTGTTAGAAATACCAGGGCCGATTTCTGGTCCCAGTCCGCCCCTGAGCAGAGGTGGTTGCTGAGCGATGCTAATTCGAAGGCTTTAGGTCAGTGGGCTAAACCATACCTTCACTTTCTGGCGTGTAAATGGTTTTGTCCGTCTGTACAAATATGTAGCCGGTTTGAAAGGAGACTAGGACTACTTTTTCAAGCATGATGCCTGGGAACACGGCTTGCAGGTACACATACTGGTTCAATGTGTAGTCCTCATCAAAGAAGCCACGTCCCTCCAGGATCTGACAAGTTTGAGAAAACACAAGTGATGAGGATTTTTTGTGCAAAGTACACAACCACTGGTAAAATAGTGAAATTAATATCTTATATAAAGTGATCTCAGATACAGTGCCTTCAGAGAGTATTTATACCCCTTGACTTATTCCACATTTTGTAATACAGCCTGAATTCAAAATTGATCAACAACAAACAAATTATCACCCATCTACACACAGTACCCCATAATGACAAAGTGAAAACATGTGTAAATGTTTTGGAAATTAAATGCAGAAATATCTCATTTACACAAGTATTCACACTCATGAGTCAATACTTTGTAGAAGCACCTTTGGCAATGATTACAGCTGTGAGTCTTTCTGGGTAAGTCTCCAGATTTCTACACCTGGATTGTGCAACATTTGCCCATTATTCTTTTCAAAAGTCTTCAATCAATCAATCAATCAATCAATTTTATTTTATATAGCCCTTCTTACATCAGCTAATATCTCGAAGTGCTGTACAGAAACCCAGCCTAAAACCCCAAACAGCTAGTAATGCAGGTGTAGAAGCACGGTGGCTAGGAAAAACTCCCTAGAAAGGCGAAAACCTAGGAAGAAACCTAGAGAGGAACCAGGCTATGAGGGGTGGCCAGTCCTCTTCTGGCTGTGCCGGGTGGAGATTATAACAGAACCATGCCAAGATGTTCAAAAATGTTCATAAGTGACAAGCATGGTCAAATAATAATCAGGAATAAATCTCAGTTGGCTTTTCATAGCCGATCATTAAGAGTTGAAAACAGCAGGTCTGGGACAGGTAGGGGTTCCATAACCGCAGGCAGAACAGTTGAAACTGGAATAGCAGCAAGGCCAGGCGGACTGGGGACAGCAAGGAGTCACCACGGCCAGTAGTCCCGACGTATGGTCCTAGGGCTCAGGTCTCTCAGTTGGCTTTTCATAGCCGATCATTAAGAGTTGAAAACAAGCTCTGTCATTGCTAGACAACTATTTTCAGGTCTTACCATAGATTTTCAAGTAGATTTAAGTCAAAACTGAAACTCGGCCACTCAGGAACATTCACTGTCTTAGGTCCGTTAGGATCACCACTTTATTTTAAGAATGTGAAATGTCAGAATAATAGTAGAGAGAATGAATTATTTCAGCTTTTATTTCTTTCATCACATTCCCAGTGGGTCAGAAGATTACACACACTCAATTAGTATTTGGTAGCATTGCCTTTAAATTGTTTAACTTGGGTCAAACGTTTCAAGTAGCCTTTCACAAGCTTCCCACAATAAGTTGGGTGAATTTTGGCCCATTCCTCCTGACAGAGCTGGTGTAACTGAGTTAGGTTTGTAGGCCTCCTTGCTCGCACACGCTTTTTCAGTTCTGCCCACAAATGTTCTATAGGATTGAGGTCAGGGCTTTGTGATGGCCAATCCAATACCTTGACTTTGTTGTCCTTAAGCCATTTTGCCACAACTTTGGAAGTATGCTTGGGGTCATTGTCCTTTTGGAACACCCATTTGCGACCAAGCTTTAACTTCCTGACTGATGTCTTGAGACGTTGCTTCAATATATCCACATAGTTTTCCTTCCTCATGATGCCATCTATTTTGTGAAGTGCACCAGTCCCTCCTGCAGCAAAGCACCCCCACAGCATGATGCTGCCACCCCCGTGCTTCATGGTTGGGATGGTGCTCTTCGGCTTGCAAGTAACCCCCTTTTTCCTCCAAACATAACGATGGTCATTGTGGCCAAACAGTTCTATTTTTGTTTCATCAGACCAGACATTTCTCCAAAAAGTACGATCTTTGTCCCCATGTACATTTGCAAACCTTAGTCTGCCTTTTTTATGGCGGTTTTGGAGCAGTGGCTTCTTCCTTGCTGAGCGGCCTTTCAGGTTATGTCGATCTAGGACTCGTTTTACTGTGGATATAGATACTTTTGTACCTGTTTCCTCCAGCATCTTCACAAGGTCCTTTGCTGTTGTTCTGGGATTGATTTGCACATATCACACCAAAGTACGTTCATCACTAGGAGACAGAACACGTCTCCTTCCTGAGTTGGTATGACGGCTGCGTGGTCCCATGGTGTTTACACTTGCATGCTATTGTTTGTACAGATGAATGTGGTACCTTCAGACGTTTGGAAATTGCTCCCAAGGACGAACCAGACTTGTGGAGGTCTACAATTCTTTTTCTGAGGTCTTGGCTGATTTCTTTTGATTTTCCCATGATGTCAAGCAAAGAGGCACTGAGTTTGAAGGTAGGCCTTGAAATACATCCACAGGTACACCTCCAATTGACTCAAATGATGTCAATTAGCCTATCAGAAGCTTCTAAAGCCATGACATCATTTTCTGGAATTTTCCAAGCTGTTTAAAGGCACAGGCAACTTAGTGTATGTAAACTTCTGACCCACTGGAATTGTGATACAGTGAATTATAAGTGAAATAATCTGTCTGTAAACAATTGTTTGAAAAATTACTTGTGTCATGCACAAAGTAGATGTCCTAACCGACTTGCCAAAACTATAGTTTGTTAACAAGTAATTTGTGGAGTGGTTGAAAAACGAGTTTTAATGACTCCAACCTAAGTGTATGTAAACTTCCGACTTCATCTGTACCATCCAAAGTGTAAGTTGTAACTTCACCATGCTCAAAGATATATTCAATGTCTCTTTTTTTTTATTCTCACCTATCTACCAATAGGTGTCCTTCTTTGTGAGGCACTGGAAAACCTCATTGGTCTTTGTGGTTGAATCTGAGTTTGAAATTCACTGCTTGACTGAGGGACCTTAAAGATAATTGTATGTGTGGGGTACAGAGATGAGGTGGTCCTCTGTAGCTCAGCTGGTAGAGCACGGCGCTTGTAACGCCAAGGTAGTGGGTTCGATCCCCGGGACCACCCATACGTAAAAATGTATGCACGCATGACTGTAAGTTGCTTTGGATAAAAGCGTCTGCTAAATGGCATATTATTATTAGTCATTAAAAAATAATTTTCTACACTTTTATTGCACACAGAGTGAGTGCATGCAACGTATTATGTGAGTAGTTAAGCACATTTTTATTCCTCATCTTATATAGGCTTGCAATAACAAAGGGATTTAATACTTATTGACTCAAGACATTTCAGCTTTTAATTTGTAAAAATTTCAAAAAAACATAATTCCACTTTGATATTATGGGGTATTGTGTGTAGGCCAGTGACAAAACATCTAAATGTAATACATTTTAAATTCAGTCTGTAATACAACAAAATGTGGAAAAAGTCAAGGGGTGTAAATACTTTCTGAAGCCACTGTACATTTAATTTATGCGAGGGAATACAGTATGTATAAATACTTACTTTAACATCCTTAAGTGCCTGGTATTTGTTCACTGAATTCAGGGACACACTTGTGGATGCGAGCAATTTATCTTGCGCAGGGAAGTTCTTCACCATGATTTGGACATCGAAGTCAGCCCCTGAGTAATCTTGTGCTTCAACAAAGACCCTCTCCATGCTACCCACCCGTAGCGGGTTAGGAGCAGACATGACATACCTGCAGTGGTGAAGAGAGGAGAAAGGAAGATGAAAAATATGGAGGGTGGAAGATTGATTTGTATTTGACTAAGGTTGGGATTTAATTCAAGGCACGTCATAGCACAATACACTATAACAGACTTTAAAGGTAATTTACAGTTGAGCTGAAATGTACAGCGTTTACCATGAATGTGATCTCTGTGAACGTTGGGGAAAATGCCTTTAAAAGGCATATTGTTGGCTGTATAGTGCACCACACTATAACACACCTTGCACTGAATCACGGCCTAGACCTTTTTGTTATGGAATGACTGACATCTGATCAATGTGTACATGCATCTGTCTGCATGTGTGTTTATTGGGCATCTGTCTGCAGAAACATGCTGTGTTTGGAGCAGCATAATTATCATTTTTTAGTTCCCATTTCTCACGCCATTCATAAAGTATAGCAACATTTAGTAAACTGCAGAGAACATCATTGTGTGTTAGAAATGTATTACCCCCTGAACAAGGTTCTAGTAGGCTATGTACAAATTAGAATTGTGCAATAGCAGAGCATAAGAGAATTGCCACATCAATGTTACACTGAATTAATTAGTTAAGTTATTGTTATTAAATGTTATATTCCAATGTTATATTCCATTCCAATATTATATTTCAATGAATATTACCCCGGTACTGTCACGATCGTCGTAAGAACCGGACCAAGGCGCAGCGTGATAGGCGTACATCTTTTAATGAGTACTTTATACAATGCAACAAAACGTGAAGTCAAACGGTTCAACAACACAAACCTATACAGAACAAGATCCCACAAAAGACAATTGCACAATAGGCTGCCTAAGTATGGTTCCCAATCAGAGACAACAAGCAACAGCTGATTCACGTTGCCTCTGATTAAGAACCACTCCGGCCAACATAGAAACACATAAACTAGATCGTGAACATAGAACACAACACATAGACACTACACACCCTGGCTCAACATAAAAGAGTCCCTAGAGCCAGGGCGTGACAGGTACTTTAAAAAACCTGGCCCTTTTCTATAAACAACATTTCATGAAATAACTAAAAGAAGTGTAACTGTAGCCATTGATTTCCCTTTATAGTTTATTCACATAAGCATGACTTTCATTCACATACCAATTTTTTTCCAAAGGTTGCTTTTTTGTGTCAGCAATTAGACATTGTTCTTAGGGGTGGCTAGTTACCCCCTAGTACCCTATGTGCAAGTTGGCTTTCCATAGCAGAGCATTCAGAGGTGGAGACAGCAGAGGTGGAGATGGTGGCTAAAGGAAGCTGATGTTTGTAGAGATTGTTTAAAGAAAACCAAACCATAGATTACAGTTTCTCCTGGCCAATAGACTACTTTCAGGGTGAGGAACTTCTTAACATCAAGTTGTAAAATCCTGAACTTCCTCTTTGATTTAAAAAGTGAACAATCCCTTTAAGGATTTCCCCCATCCTTTTAAAAAATATATATTGACATTTTTGTGTAATTGCAAGGGTTAAAAAATTCAATTGGTGTGTCATAACATTATGGTACCTGCAGTGACCATGCAAACAAAACATGAATAAATCCACAACGCATGCACAGTAACTGGTAAACAATAAATTGTATAGCACTAACCATGTTTCCATCCACAGTAAAGTTATCATATAAAATAAAATAAAATCACGACAGCTGTGATGTAAACTGAAAGTTTCGGTACAATTTTATAAATGCCGACAAATCATTTGTTCGTTTGACATGATTGTGTGATCTTTTTGTGTCGGTAAAATTAGTTATGCGAGAAATGGCGGTGGAAACGCCTTTATGCACAAATACTGATATAATAACCATCATATCGAACTAAACTTGGAGTCACGCGATGATATGGTGTGTGGTCCTCCCACTACGATCCGGGAAACCATGCAGTTTATTAGGCTACAGATTCAGTTATGAAGTTATGATGAACTTCACAGGGTGGTTAAAAATGCACAGTGATCTTGATGCTCCTTTCCAATAAATATTGAGGGTCTTATTCTGGCGATATGATGATCGATGCTTGACTGCCGTTTGACAAATACAAATATTCTCGCTCTTATCCATAATAATCTCATCATCTAGACCAGGGGTGTCAAAGTCAAATGGACGGAGGGCCAAATAAAAAATTTAGCTACAAGCCGAGGGCCGGACTGTTCGAATGTTCATTGAAAATTTTTTAAATGACGCATATAGTCTAGTGAACCTAATTGAACCTACTGAAAACCTAACAAATATATTCCAATATGATCAGATAAATAAAGCAATATTTTCTTATGGCTCTGTCAGTAATCTTTAATTTTCAACAGACACAAAAGACAAATTTCCTTTATATAAAAATCCCCATAACATGAACATTAAATGAAAGAAACCGGTATTCAAGGCACCATCAGTAGCCTATATTTTCTATTTTAGCAAAAGTGGGCTAAATTTACTTCAAAGAAAAAAACAATAATAGCAATTTTCTATCATCCACTCAACTGAAATATTTTTAAAATATAATTGGATTGAAATACAATAAAATAAAGTGCAAAAATCTATTAATCAAAAACAACACTTTGTTTAAGGAGAAGTAACATGCGGTGATTCAAACCTTTGGCTCTGATAAAGTTAACTGTGCGCGTGATGATGCTCATTACATGCTCCATTTTCAAGGCTTTACCGCACAACGCTTCCTGGTGTATGATACAATGATAAGCTGTCAGCTCACCTGTCGCGTTTTCCTCTTGCATCTTTTCCCGTATCTTCGCCACCAGTCTGCTCCTGTGTCCACACATCGCAGGTGCTCCGTCGGTTGTCAAACCCACGAGTTTTTCCCAAGGCAGCTCCATCTCATTTACACATCTTGACACCTCTTCATACAAATCATGCCCCGTAGTTGTGCCATGCATAGGACGTAAAGCCAAAAACTCCTCTGTCACGCTTAGGCTGGAGTCCACTCCGCGGATGAAAATTGACAACTGGGCAATGTCAGAAATGTCGGTGCTCTCATCCACAGCCAAGGAATATGCAATGAAATCTTTTCCCTTTTTCACAAGCTGCTCTTTTAGATTGATGGACAACTGGTCTACTCTCTCGGCAATGGTGTTTCTGCTCAGACTCACATTTAAAAAGAGTTGCCTTTTTTCTGGGCAAACTTCGTCACAAACTTTAATCATGCAGTTTTTGATGAAATCCCCCTCCGTAAATGGCCGGGCTGATTTAGCGATCTCTTCTGCCAAAATAAAACTGGCCTTGACAGCAGCCTGGCCTTGTGATTTGGCTTTTTTGAACAGAGCCTGTCGAGATTTGAGGCCTCGTTTTAATTCCTCTGCCTTTTGTAGCCTTTGTTCCATGTCCATATTCTTGTTTTTGTCCGCGTGTTTCGTTTCATAATGTCGTCTCAGATTATACTCTTTCAGTACCGCCACACTTTCTCCACACAGAAGGCACACAGGTTTTCCAGCTACCTCCGTGAACATATACTCCGACTCCCACCTTGTTTGAAACCCCCGGTTCTCAGTGTCCACCTTCCGTTTTGCCATTTTTGATGGGTATCTGAAAGTTAATTTTACTGTGATGCTGACGACTGCTGTGCCAATAAATATTGAAATGAAGCAGCCTACTGCTCGGTGCGTCACCGTTGCATTGTGGGAAATGTAGTATTGGTGCGTGTAAAAGATCTGCGGGCTGCCGGCTTGCTGCGGTCTGCGGGCCGGTTCTAATAATAAATCAAGATCATCCCAGGGGCCGTAAAAAACCTTCTTGCGGGCCGGATGTGGCCCGCGGGCCTTGACTCTGACATATGTGATCTAGACTATCCTACCCGCACTGTATCTGGGAGCTGTTGGCTAGAGCGGACGTGCCAAGACCAGAGTAGGCACATTTGCTATTTAACGCAACAGTTTTTGTGACAAAACTATTGGTAGAGTTGAAAATGCGATGGAAACATATTGAACCTTAGATTTTGATTTGGTACAAGTCCATTTTATCCGCAACAAATCCGTTATGCGGATTCTAGAATATTCAAATGAAAATCTGTCGCCAATTGGATGGAAACCTATTAGGAGTAATATTTATTATTTATCAATGTTTCTATGACCCGTTAACCATGACAATTCTAGGAATGATGGCTGATGTATTGCCTTTACAATTGTGGGACCAAATGTTCTACCACATTGTAAACTATTTTATTTATGATGTACTCACAGCACTTCACCATTGGAGAGCATAGGGAGAGACAGAGCCACAGCGGCCAGCAACACCAGCTCCACCCGCATCATGGCAGTCTGATTCAAGTCCAATTTAAATTGCTTCACCCAGGCTCAAGCTTTTATAGTTGCATTTTCCTGACCTTAACTCAGTTCTGCTCTTGAACCTCCACATTGGAACGGGTGCCAACACGCTCCCACCCTGTATTTTTTCTTATCAGAATTGGCATTATCTCAACCAGCTTCATGAGGTAGTCACCTGGAATGCATTTTAATTAACAGGTGTGCCTTGTTAAAAGTTGATTTGTGGAAATTATTTCCTTCTTAATGCTTCTTGTGACAAGGTAGGGGTGGTATACAGAATATAGCCCTATTTGGTAAAAGACCAAGTCCATATTATGGCAAGAACAGCTCGCTGGTTCTGTCACTCCCCTCATCTTCTATTGGGCCGGCCCCAGACCGGTATCACAGCCAACCTCCCACAGTTAATATCAGCCAAATTATCATCCTACCCGACTTCCAAAGGAATATAAAGAGATATGTAGGACGTGACCTGCAGGACCTTTTGCCACATTCAACAAATATCACCACCCACAGGTAAATTAGGCATTGGAAATATCTAAGGACAGGTCTGTTGTGATAGTCTCCTTCAAAACCATTCCACTACCACCAACAATTCCACTACTGCAATGGTGTAAAGTACCCAAGTAAAAATACTTTAAAGCACTATTTAAGTAGTTTTTTGGGGTATCTGTACTTTAATTTACTATTTATATTTTGACAACATTTACTTTTACTCCACAACATTCCTAAAGAAAATAATGTACTTTTAACTCCATACATTTTTTCTGACACCATTTACAGGACAGGAAAATTGTCCAATTCACACACTTATCAAGAGAACATCCCTGGTATTCCCTACTGCCTCTGATCTGGCGGATTCACTAAACACAAATGCTTCGTTTAGAGTGTTGGAGTGTGCTGGCTATCGGTAAATTTAAAAAACAAGAAAATCTTGCTGTCTGGTTTGCTTAATTAAAGGATTGTGAAATAATTTATACTTTTACTTTTGATACTTAAATATATTTTAGCAATTACATTTACTTTTGATACTTAAGAATATTTAAAACCAAATAATTTTAGACATTTACTCAAGTAGCATTTTACTGGGTCACTTTTACTTGAGTCATTTTCTATTACGGTAACTTTACTTTTACTCAAGTATGACAATTGGGTACTTTTTCCACCACTGCACTACTGGAGAATCTCCAGCATCATTCAGGCTGAGTTGACTTTCCAGTTAGTCAAAGGGTATCGTTGGCATGCAAGCTGCATCTGGTGAGTGCCTGCACCCAACTGTTGTAGAATTTGAAACTGATCACCACACAGCCCCAATAACCCGCCAGTCATACAGGAAGGATACTGGCCTTGTCGCTGCAGCTTGCCCAAAATGACCAGTTAGCTGTGCAAGCTGGTCAGGCCCCAGAAATACAACCACCACTGGCTACTTTGTCTCCTCACCCTGTTAGGACACACTCATGTCCTGGTCACCTCAAAGACTTTGAATCAACTTGGCTCACTTAGTACAAGAGTAGGTTGCTTTCCTGTAACTTAGTTATGCTACTAGAGTGCCTTCAGAAAGTATTCACACCCCTTGACCTTTTCCAAATGTTGTTGTGTTACAGCCTGAATTAAAAATGTATTCAATTGATATATTGTGTCTCTGGCCTACACACAATAGCCCATAATGTCAAAGTGGAATTGTGATTTTAGACATTTTTACACATTATACTGAACAAAAATATAAACGCAACATGTCAAGTGTTGGTCCCATGTTTCATGAGCTGAAATAAAAGATAGCAGAAATTTTCCATATGCACAAAAAGCTTATTTCTCTCAAATGTTGTGCACAAATTTGTTTACATCCCTCTTAGTGAACATTTCTCCTTTGACAAGATAATCCATCCACCTGACAAGTGTGGCAAATCAAGAAGCTGATTAAACAGCATGATCATTACACAGGTGCACCGTTTGCTGTGGACAATAAAAGGCCCCTCGACAATGTGCAGTTTTGTCACATCACAATGCCACAGATGTGTCAAGTTTTGAGGGAGCGTTTAATTGGCATGCTGACTGCAGGAATCTCCACCAGAGCTGTTGCCAGAGAATTTAATGTTCATTTCTCTAATATAATCCGCCTCCGATGTCGTTTTAGAGAATTTGTCAGCATGTCCAACCGGCCTCACAACTGCAGACGAAGTGTAACCACGCCAGCCCAGTACCTTGATATCCGGCTTCTTCACCTGCGAGACGAGCCACCCGGATATCTAATGAAACTGTGGGTTTGCACAACCGAGGAATAATTGCACAAACTGTCAGTAACCATCTCAGGGAAGCTCGTCTGCGTGCTCGTCGTCCTCACCTGGGTCTTGACCTGACTGCAGTTTGGCGTCGTAACTGACTTTAGTGGGCAAATGCTCACCTTGGATGGTCACTGGCATGCTGGAGAAGTGTGCTCTTCATGGATGAATTCCAGTTTAAACTGTACTGGGCAGATGGCGTAGTGTGGGCGAGCGGTTGGCTGATGTCAACATTGTAAACAGAGTGCCCCATGGTGGCAGTGGGATTATGGTATGGGCAGGCATAAACTACGGACAATGAAGACAACTGCATTTTAATCGATAGCAATTTGAATGCACAAAGATACCATGAGGAGATCCTGAGGCCCATTGTCATTCATCCACCGCCATCACCTCATGTTTAAGCATGATAATGCACGGCCCCATGTGACAAGGATCATCTGTACACAATTCCTGGAAGCTGAAAATGTCCCAGTTCTTCCATGGCCTGCGTACTCAACAGACATGTCACCCATTGAGCATGTTTCGGATGCTCTGGATTGACGTGTTCGACATCGTGTTCCAGTTCCCGCCAATATCCATAAACTTCGCACAGCCATTGAAGAGGAGTGGGTCAACATTCCACAGGCCACAATCAACAGCCTGATCAACTATATGCGAAGGAGATGTACTGTATCGCGCTGCATGAGGCAAATGGTGGTCAAACCAGATACTGACTGGTTTTCTGATCCATGCCCATACCTTTTTTTTAAAGGTATCATTGACCAACAGATGCATATCTGTATTTCCAGTCATGAAATCCATAGATTAGGGCATAATGAATTTATTTAAATTGAATGATTTCCTTATATGAACTGTAACTCAGTAAAATCTTTGAAATTGTTGCATGTTGCATTTATATTTTTGTTCAGTGTAATTACAAATGAAAAGCTGAAATGTCTTGAGTCAATAAGTATTCAACCGCTTTGTTATGGCAAGCCTAAATAAGTTAATGAGTAAAAATGTGCTTAACAAGTCACATAATAAGTTGCATGGATTCAGTCTGTGTGCAATAATAGTGTTTAACATGATTTTTGAATGACTACCTCATCTGCATAAAAACTGCATAAATGTGGCAAAGAAATTACTTTTTTTTCCCTGAATACAGAGCGTTATGTTTGTGTCAAATCCAACACAACACATCACTGAGTACCACTCTTTATATTTTCAAGCATGGTGGTGGCTGTATCATGATGGGTATGCTTGTCATCGGCAATGACTAGGGAGTTTTGTAGGAGAAAAAGAAACGGAATAGAGCCAAGCACAGGCAAAATCCTTGAGGAAAACCTGGTTCAGTCTGCTTTCCAACAGTCTGTATCATGCCTACTCCCACTCCCCCGCTCCAGCGCTCAATGTCGCCGGTCTACTAACCACCGGACCTGGCAACCATCGTTACGCACACCTGGACCTCATCATCACCTTGATTACTCTCCCTTTATTTAGCCCTCAGTAGCCTCAGGCAGTATTGGTTTTGGTCACGTTCAGTAAGCTTCTCCTGTTTTGTTAATCTGCCTTATTCTTATCATTAAACTCACCTTCTGCACCTGCTTCCTGCTCCCAAAATATGGATGCAGAAGAAGAGAAAGACATCTCCCAGACGACTGGCGAACAGGGACACCTACTCCGTCAACACCACGATCAGCTGGTGCAACTAGGTGTGGCTATGGATGAGGTCTTCTGCATCCTCCACCGCCTCGACACCACCCGAGAGGATTTACCTCCAACTAGCGGAGGGCCTCCTACCACGAGTCATCCCAGCGAACCAGCCCCCCAGCCTAGACAGCAGTCCGCCTAGGTCAGCGATGCCCGACTGTCCCTATGACGGGACTCCATCCTACTCCAGTGCTCCCTCTGTTTCGCACATCAGACGGGAGTCCCCACCACCGACAGGTCCAAGGTTGCCACGGTCATTTCCCTGCTGACTGGGTGAGGGTTGGAGTGGGCTACGGCCGTCTTGGAGAGAGGAGAGGAAGAGCTGGGTTCCTACGAGATGTTCATGGCTCTGTTCATGGCAGTCTTCGACCATCCACCGGAGGGCAGAAAGGGAGGTGAGCGATTACTCCAACTCCGGCAGGGTGCCCAGACCGCTGCGGATTACGCCCTCACCTTCCGGACCATGGCAGCCTCCAGAGGATGGAATGAGCCGGCACTCTACACCCTATTCCGAAGAGGACTGCGCGAGGAGGTATAGACGGAGTTGGCGTGCTGGGACGTCCAGGAGGCTCTCCAACAGGGTTTCATCCGCCCATTCACCTCCTCTACGTCAGCAAAGAAGGGCGGAGGTCTACGTCCGTGCATCGATTACAGAGGCCTCACTTCCATCACCACCAAGTACCGCTATCCTATCCCGTTGGTGCCGGCCGCTGTCGAACAGCTCCGCAGGGCCCGTTTAAAAAAACTAAACTGGACCTGCGGTGTGCCTACAATCTGATCCGTAACCGGGAGGGGTATGATCTACCTTATCCCTATATTGTTATTTATTTTGCTCATTTGCACCCCAGTATCTCTATTTGCACATAATCTCTTGCACATCTATCATTCCAGTGTTAATACTAATTGTAATTATTTTGCACTATAGCCTATTTATTGCCTTACCTCCATAACTTGCTACATTTGCACACACTGTACATATATTTTTCTGTTGTATTTTTTTACTTTATGTTTTGTTTTACCCCATATGTAACTCTGTGTTGTTGTTTTTAT